CTGATAAACATATCGGGCCATCAGTTTTATGACAAAACTCAAAGTGAAGACAACTTATCGTCTGGTGTATTTTTGACGCTTGTTGGTGTCCATTAATCTAATTGCAAGCATAATGATTGCTAAAATTAAGCTTTCACGCAACATACTGGGAGTTGGGGGTGTGAACTTGGAGTAAAAGTTGATATTGGGTTTGGGAAGGGAAGTGGTGAGAGGAAGAAATTGTGTTTGGATTTGGTAGCAGGTAAAGTTCATGGTTCGGTTTCTTTTCGTAAAATGCTTTGATTTATTTTAGTTAGAGGTATATTATCATGGTTATGTGGGATCAAATGAACCAAAAATGAGCTTGGGGATGGGAATTCCAACTTAGAAGGAGTGGATTAGATTTTGATAAACTCAAGTTCATGATAAACTGAAAGAATATTTACATTTAGACTTTGTGGCATTGAGATGTTCATAAAGAGTTTAAAACCGATCCAAGGCCATGGATTGATATTGGTTAGTTGATTGTGATTTTGAGGAAGGTGTATAAAAAGTCATGGGAGTAGTTTGCAGCAAGTGAAGGCAGTTGGTCAGGGTAGTGATTGAACCAAGGAGGGTATTGAAAGACATAGAAGCAAAATCGGAGCAGTTGAAGAGAGAGAAGTGGTAGATGATAAGGATATTAATGAAAATGAAGAGGGTATTGAAGGGCATGGAAGTGAATTGGATCAGGTGAAGGCAGAGAAGGAGGAGAAGAACATATTGATGGTATTGAAGATGAGTGTTGGTTTTACGAGCTTATTAAAACTGCCCCGAGTAAGATGAGTTGGCCAAATACAAGAAAGAGGATTGAGGAGTTAGAGATCAAGTTAACAAGAAACTCAATTGAAAGAGAAATTCAGGTTCATGGAGAGAAGGTCCATCAAAGTAGCATAAATGGAGTTGTAGAAGGAGGATTAGAAATTGAATTTTGGTTTAAAACATATACGTCGAGAGATTGAAGATGGAGGGGATAAAAAGTTGGTTGTACAACGGAGAGTGGAAACTATTGGATCTTTAGATGTTATGGTTGTTGCAACTACCACAACCTATGTTTATGTTAAAACGAGGAATCATTGATTGATTTACTAAAGTTAAGGCCGATTCACTATTCAAACTACTGAAACCTGTAGATAAGAAGTGTCTAATTTTGTGCCTCGTTACTTTGATCGAACCTATTAGTATATTGGATGTAACTCTAATTTTGTCATCTGCTCTCAAGTTTTGATGGTCTCTTTTTAGTTGAGTTGTTAGCATATGATTTACTTAAATCACAACTCTTCATTTCTGTTTTATTATAAATCCATTTTTTTATTAGTGGCATGTTGTTCATAGAGGAGAGCTTTGAACCATTTATGTGAGATTGTGAGGTTTCATTTCAGTTTCAAACTATCTATGGATCGTGTGGTAATTCCAATGAGCTTTTACATTATATATTTATGGACAATCTATTAACCAATATAATTTTAATGGGGGCTCAATTATCATTATGAAAATGGGATTAATGATATATTTTATATTCTTAAATGATGAGGGTATTTCCCTGAATGTTCGACCTATATATTCATTCTTTATGTAGGATCTCGATTGAATAATTTTCAATAAACTTAAACGAATTAATAGACTTAAACATAACATAAAAATATAAATATTAAAATATGAACATTCCGGCAAACGGGCCGGGCTATAAGCTAGTTACAAAAATAAGGAGAAAGGTGCTCGCTCACTCGGTTCTTGTTGGGAACGGAAATACGAGAGTCATTAACCCGCGACACGTAGTAGGCGGAGAGCCCTGAGGAGGTGTTGTCGGTTGAAGCACAACCCACCCCGATGTCAGCTGGCGGATAATTTAATTTTTTTGTTTGTTTCACTATTAAATAAATGTAATACGAAAAATAATTTAAAATTAAAACATTTTATTTATCTGGCGCTGACGTGATAGTGAGTTGGAGCGTTGACCATTAGTCAATGTTGTTGACCGTCCACAGTCAAACCACGCATCCGACCAATTGAGTCTATGTATCGTATAGTTGAGGCCATGATAGCAATTTTTGAAACCCACTAACCAAAATTAATTATTTGGGTGTAGTTCAGGTTAGAATAAAATATTAACCTTTATCTCGAAACTAAAGTTTTCTTCATATAAGTTGGTGATTTGTTCTAGAGTATTTGATCCTTCGTGAGATACATAGCATAGCACTTTTGACTATCACAAAATGTTTCAGCGTAAGATGCACTCACACAAAACTTGGTGAACGAACCTCCATGCGCCACAAAATCTCCTTGGCAAACTTTTGAAATAGTCGTTATATGCTCGATTTCGATGGTGGAAAAGATAGACAATTAATAGCTTATGAATGCACTTTCTAACTAATATAACCATGGCTGAGCTCTCCCAAACTACTCTCAAATTAAATGGCCTTTACCAAGATTAGCCATGTATGGCACTTTGGCATGAGATAAACCGAGGGGGAAAACAACTTTAGCATTTCTGACTCCATGACATGCTTAGGATATTGGGTGTGTAACCTTTAGTCACTAGTGTACAAGTACTATTTGACACTAACACAAACAATTAATGGTCATATATATATATATATATATATATAATCCAATCCATCCAATCCATGGCCAACGCCGAATCTCAGTGGAAGCTGCAGGGCAGAGACTAGAAACGATCCAGAGAAAGATGCCCATAATCCAGTAGATCAATGCCAGATCCGAGAGGCACAAGGTTTACGTACAATACAAACCCATACTATTACCCGTCGTGTTTCTCTCCTGCCGCACTGCACTGCACTGCAGCAAAACAATCACTAAACTGCCGGTTTTACCTTTCCGAAGAGAGCTCAGACGATAACATTTCTCCCCAACCCAACGACGGGCTCCAATTTTCCGTAATCTGTCAGTTCAGCCGAACCAAAATAAAAAAAAAAAAAAAACCCAGCATCTCGAGTACGTGTCGCCCGGTGGTTGGGCTGTCATCTACAGTGCCAGGTGACGCCGCTGCACCCTTTGTGTCTCTCTCTCTGCTCTCTTCTCTGTTCTCTTCTCTCACAAAATGTGATTGACAACGGGCCGTACGAGCTCCCGAGACTCGTAGCATCTGATTCTTGAACAACTTGCTTTAGTTTAGTGGGGACACGCGTCATGATTCGACTGCTGTGTCGGAAGCGTGCTTACAGGTTAAGATCGATTTATTTTACTTGGCATGGATGGGTTTCTGGTGATTAGGGGTGGAAATTGGTATATTATCGGTGTTACCAGGGGCGGACCCAGGGAGGTTTGGGGGTGTCCTTGAAAAAACGATTATCCAACTTCCGGTGGTAATTTACGTATAGAAAAAAATTATAATTAATAGTCCAGGACACCCTAAAGTTTGAAAAAAATCATTATTCTACTCTCGTTTGTAGTTTGCGCATTGGAATATAATTGGTAGTTTGGATAATTCAAACACGGGACACTACTAATATTAATAAATATAATTTTCATTAGGCTACAAATTTTTTTGTGGTTCTATTCTAAACACTATGTAATAGCAAAATTGTATGAAACATAAATATTGGGGTGGTTAGGGGGTTAGGCAGCCGATTAGTGCCAAGTAGATTAGTAGGGTATCATTAGATTTTTGGGCTTATTTCCCTATAAATATGTATTTGAGTCATTACGTTGGATTTGGTCAGAAATCAGTAATCAAACCCTATTCAGTTTATCCTCTTCTTCTCCTAATCCTTAATTCCCAATTATATTCTTCCTATCTCAGTTTCCCAATTATCCTTCTCAAAATCCCTTATTATTTCTCTCAATTCCTAAATCTCTTTCTAATCTATCTGGCTACGTTAATCACAAGTTACCGCAGAATCATAGCTCCTTCAAAAACCCTAGTCTCTATCTTTAATTATTTTCAAAACCTAACAATTAATCTAATCACAAGCTACCCTTAATTTACGGGTGTACGACAAGTGTTGAAAATGTATTTTCAGCTTTGAGTTACACCAAGAACAAATTTAGAAGTCGAATATGCATTTGTTCATGAATGATTGTCTAGTAGGATATACCGAGACAACTTTGTTGAGCAGTGTAGACACCAAGTGTATTTTAAATTTTTTTCAGAATATGAAAATACTTATGAACTTTTTTTAACTTGGACGAGTTGGCTATTTTCTTATTTAAGAATTATTTAATATTTATTAATTATTATTATTATTTATTTTTTGAAAGAGAACACCCCTATATAAAATTCCTGGGTCCGCCACTGGGTGTTACAATACGAAATACAGATATTTCGAATATCGAATTCCTCTTTAATATCAATCTTAATCCCGAAATAATTTCGGTATCATAATCGATATTTTCGTATCTCAATCGGTATTATCGAATAAAAAATTAATTATCTTTGCAGTTAATTATTAAATATATAAATTATATTTGATTGTTTATTTTAGGGCACAGAGACTAAGCAAATAGTCTTGAGTTTGCCTAGAGCTAGAACATGTATAGGGAGAAGGGAGGAGAGAGGTGACAACTCAAGTTCCTGACTTCTTGTCATTTGAAAATCTTTAATTCGAGGAATTGGAGGCTAAAAGACGACGAATACCAGCATTTTCTTTTTATATGTTATGAAGATAACAAGAGATTAGATGAGAGACGAGAGTGACTTAAACTAGAAAGGCAAAATTGAGTTGGATGAGGACTTGACGACCAAAAGTTGTGTGCTGCATTTTGTTAATTTTTAATTTTTGTTGTTTCTCGGTATTTCGGTATATACCAATCTCAATCCCGTAATCCCGAATACCAAATAGCACTCCAAAATGAATCCCGATCCCAAAAAAATAAATCGATATTCGATAATACCAAATAGACAAATAGTGATAAGTTCAGTACAATATTCGGTATATCACATATACTGATACGAAACTTCCAACCCTAGTGGTGAATTGTGATCATCAAAGCCAAAGGATTTTCATTTTCATTTTCATTTTCATTTTCATTTTCATTTATTTCGTTGAAACTGGTTATGACTTATGAGTTATGAGATCGTTAGAGGTTGTAAGGATGATGTTTGTGAGTTGTGACAAAATGCATTTCAAATATTACACGTCTCAGGTCTGCCGCTGTTGAATCTGGGCCGGGCCATTTTAGACTTTTTTGCCTGGATACAACCCCACCTCCCTCTGGCTCACGTTCACATATAACGGCCCCATTTTATTTGGCCCATGTCTGATCTCAAATAATTGGAAATTGTGGTGGGCCAAATAAAGGGCTCAGAATCTGTCTTGGAGATGGAAGATGATGATGCGAAATGTGTAGAGGTTTCCTAGAGGATGTAATTCTTTAGTACATCTTTGGCTCATATCTCATGTACTTGGGATATCAATGGATTTGGTTAGCATTTTCCCCCCCTATTGCTCGAGTTTATTGAAGTAGATGTAAAAGTTTAACCGGTCTCAAAAAATTCTTACACCTGCGTGCATGTGTGTACTATCTGTACGCATGATGTTCTACTATGTCTCAATTACTTCATTGGTTTATGAATTCATTAAAGGTATAAGCCACTTTTACATTGAATGCTTGATTATCGTTCCATTTAATTGGTAATGTGATCACGAGTTAATGCAGTCTTCATGCTCACGACAATCTATTATGCTGCTCGTGAATGACTGCGAAATGTCGAAACCCCAATGCTTGCAGTTGCAGAAACTGCCACCTCCTGTTATAGAGGTTACTTATAAGAAACGTGCACATAAACAAACATTTGACCAACATGTGTGTGAAGGGAGGTTGCGAAATGAGCAAGTCCTGTAAGCTTGGTTAAGAGGGAACATGCCATCGTGAGCGTATGAATCTTCCTTGCGATTTGGATGGAGGGTGTAGATCAACTTTCCCTAAGTTAATTAAGCCAGAGTTTTGTGAGCTAGTAAAATGTTTGCTAAAAAATAAAGTTGGGTGATCAACTTGCAATTTGCTCCAAAATTTGATGACATCCATTAAATGGGTTTCTCTAAAAAGAACGATTAAACGGCCCACGCCCCACAGCACACATAGAGGGCAACAAATATCAGTCTCCATTATATAGCCCAGCCCGGGCACAATAGCCCATGTAAGCGTCTATGGTCCATAATAAGCGCGGTTAGCCCGCTCAAACAGCAAGGAGAAGCTACAAAACAACGAAAAATAGTCGCAAAATAAATGGCCCATACAGGTCTCGAACCTGTGACCTTCGCGTTATTAGCACGACGCTCTAACCAACTGAGCTAATAGGCCTACTTGTTTCCAATTGGAGCTTCTTAATGTTTTATAATTGGAATTTAACCAGCCTTCTCAGTGCTCAAGGAACTGCAGTACTGGACACCACTGGTTCCCCATTCATGGGCAGTATATGACGGAACATAAGCTGTAAGCACATAAGACAGATGGAGAGAAGTCTTGAAGCCAATAATTGATGATAGGAGTAGTCATTCGATTCGAGAAATTTGACCTGACCGAATTGAATGGGATGCCAAACCGAAGAAGACTAATACTTGATTGGTTAGTAATTCGATTGAGTTTTACACCAAAATAAATCTTGTATGAACAATATTGTCACTTTAAGTAGTTGGTCCATGTGTATTTGTATGGTCCAATTTATCAAGTCGGGCAATAGGAATGGCGGATGGTAGCTCGATATAAGGTAATCATCCAAAATGGTTAATGTATCAACCACGAACATCCTCCAACCCTATTATGGATGATATCGTCCAACATCATGGATACCATACAAACCCTATTTTGGATGGTACCGTCCAACACCATAGACACCTTATCCAACCCTATTATGGATGGTATTGTCCAACATCATGGTTATCATCCAAACCCTATTATGGATGGTACCATCCCATTCATTTTGGACACCATACAACTTCTAATTGGATGGTGTCATCCAATAACATGTATACTATCCAACCCCAAAGGGATGCATGGTATCATCCCATATCATGGACACTATCCCAACTATTAAATGGATGGTGTCGTCCATGTTTTGTGATGGTGATGACCATCTAATCTGGTTACCATCCATGAATGATTTTCTTAGTCAACATGGATACCATCCAAGTTGTTTGGTGTATGATACCATGCATGAGACTTTCATCTCGCACGGCTCCTAAGTGATAAAAGAAAGAGGATCCAAAGAATCTTCATAGGATCGTAGGTAAACAGTAAGTAGATCCTTGGATGTATGCATTGAACACCCCCGTTCAAAAGGTGTTTGAAAAGGTGTGAACCGAGTAACATCGTTTTCTGTTTTATTGAAGTAAGTGTGCATTTAACAAAGATTTAAACCCTAAGGCTTGAAGCCTTTCTCATTGATTAGATTTGGCTCTTATAGAGAAACCATTACAGAAGAAGAGAACCAGCTGCTACAAGTTGTTTGTTTGCTTGAAAAGGAAACAATAGCAAGTTTGGCAGAAAAGCAAACGTACAACCAAGTAGTGGCAAAAACGACATAGCATAAGTGAAGATCGATTTGGAAATAGGGTTTTGAAAAAAGGATTTTTTTTATTAGGGATTTGAGAGGTTGGAAGGAAACGCGATAGTCGAAAAGAGGAAGAAGAGAATGACAGAACTAGAAAGCGCTTCTGCTCTTCTTCTTCTTACTCGAGAATGGGCCAAGATTAAAACGCAAAGCCCAAAAAAATGGAGAACTGAAATAAGCGTCGAAATGGGCTTGCAGGCAGCCTAAGCCTGAAATAACAGAAGCTATTCTTCTTTCTGGAATGCAGAGGAAGAAGAACAGAGTCAAGCAGCAGAGGTAACGAAATCAAAGCAAGAAGAAAAGAACGCAGCGATTTAACGAGGTTCACCAATAATGGCTACGTCCTCGTCTCGGTAATAGTACACACTACTACCGAGAGACACTATATTTATATGTTTTAATGACACAATTACAAGACAAGAAGACTCAATGAAACCACCAGAGTTTAACCCAAACTCTGTATACTTCAGCCACTCTCACAGAACCTATACCCCTGGAGATGATCACTCTTTTGTTCTGATGAACTAGCCCTCTACCACCAATCTCAGAAACTCAAAAGCCTACTTGAATGGACCGCAAACCAGCGTTTATATAATCCTCCTCTAGCAGATCGTTGGAGAAGAGGGCCGTTGGTGATTAGCTTTGATGTAGCAAGGAATTACCAAAAATTGCAGGCTTTCCTTGTATGATTAGCTCTGATCTCGTCCAACAATCTCCCCCTAGATCAGAGCTTGCAAATGATATAAATCCTGCAAAAAGAGGTAAAACACAAAAGCACAACAAACCACAAGAGCAACACAAAGAAAACGAACTAGCATCTCGCAAACTTGATCCAGCAATTCAAAGCATCCAACAAACCAGATCCAACAAAACAATAAAGCATCCAACAAACCAGATCAAGCAAGTCAAAAGAGCTAACAGTAAACATATGGAGACAAGAGCTCCCCCAAGAAGAAAGTTAATCTCAAACAGTTCTCCCTCTAAACAGTTCTCCCCCTAAACTGACTCATCATCCGAGCTGTAGTCTACCAAACCTCCAGATAGCCCACCAGGTGCTACAGCAGCAGCAGCAACGTAAAAACCCTCTTCAGCAAAGGCTAGTGCTGCAGCGAACTGATCGAGAGAGTCACCATCAAGATCATCCAGATCTTCAATGACATTCTCCACATCTTCTCCTGCCACAGGATTTTCTTCAGGAATTGCTTCAGGCACAGCATCTACGTCGTTGATCATGTCAGCATCCTCCTCTTCAGGTTCATCAGCAGCCATCTCCCCTTCAGATTCATCAGCAGCCATCTCCCCCTCGTTTGCAAGCTCCAACTGGTCAAGAACTTGATCGATGGATAGGAATCGAGCACTAAGTTCAGTGCGGAAGGAGGAGGTAGGAATGCCAAGTCGAATAACAAGTTGGGTGATTGTAGGACCAAAGGGAAGGGGACCAGGATAACTAGTATCTCCATATATCATAAAGACACCGAAGAGAAGATAAGAGAAATCCAGAGGAACGTTGGAAATAGCATGAGCCATAATCCACGGATCAAGAGGAAGAATGACGTTGAGAGATTGAGTGCGAGGGATCAGAATCATGGAGATAACAAAATGAAAGGCTCGCAGACTAGGTAAAACCGAAGAGACAGGAAGAAAGGTTGCAGGACCAGGGTGAATACCAGTCAACTGAATGAATTCGGCAGCAATATTGAAGTTAAAGCGCCACAGTTCTGACTCATGAGTGAGAGATTCATCAATGGGAGGAATATTCAGAAGCCGAGCCAAATCAGAGACAGGAATAGTCACCTGATGACCATAGACCACAGTGGAAAAACTACGACCATGAAGACCAAAAGATCGAAGATTTGAATAAAAGAACCGCACTAGCTCTGGACAAATAAGGGTTGGAGGGTCCTCCAGGAGGAAATACCATCCCAGATTGTGGATGAATCCCCGGACATCAAGGCCATAATCCACTAAGTCAGGAATATGGACATGAATCGGGGTGGCTATGGGTCGGTCCTCATAAAAAAGGGTATGACGATGACGACTCAGCGAAACTGGATCTGAGAACAGGGAGCCAGTATAGGTATGGGCGAAGACTCGATTCATGATTTTAGGGAGACACAGATACAAAGTTGCTACGAGGGGCTAGGGCAGAATGACATAGCTCACAAATTCAAGAGGTATAAATAGAGCAAGGAATAGGAGTCGACACACAGGCCCTCAGAGAATAAGGAAATAAAAATCACGAAGGAAAGGTGCAGAAAGTAAATAGAGCAAGAAAGATAACATAAACAAGGAAAGCAAATAAATCAAAGAAAGGCAAGACTCAGTCTGCAAGAAAATCTCTAAGATTTTCTGGAGATCTAAGTCCAATATCATAACACAGAACCACAAACCGGTCAGTTGACAGAGGCTTAGTAAACAAATCAGCTAGCTGATACTCTGTAGGAATGTAATTGAGCGAAATAACCTGATTGTCCACCAATTCTCGGATGAAATGGTATTTGATCTCAATGTGTTTTGTCCGTGAATGCTGCACTGGGTTTTTAGTCATACATATGGTGCTGGTATTATCACAAAATAAAGGAATTGCAGGAATATGTAGACCGTAATCCCCTAAATGATATTTTAACCAGAGGAGTTGTGTACAACATCCTCCGGCAGCTATATATTCAGCCTCAGCGGTCGACAAGGCAACTGCTCCTTGTTTTTTGCATGACCAAGAGATGAGGGAAGTGCCAACAAACTGACAAGCACCACTTGTGCTTTTTCGATCAGTGAGACTTCCAGCGAAGTCAGAATCACTATAACCGATGAGGTCAAAATCAGTTTGTTTGGGATACCAAAGACCGACATCCATAGTTCCTTTTAAGTAACGGAAAATACGTTTAATAGCAGTTAAATGACTAATCTTAGGATTTGCCTGAAACCTAGCACATAAGCAGACACTGTGTTGAATGTCTGGGCGACTAGCCGTTAGATAAAGTAACGAACCAATCATTCCACGATATAACTTCTCATCTACAGGGGCACCCTTGTCATCTTTGTCTAACTTTAAGTTCACAGCCATGGGGGTTGGGCTGGAATTAATGTTAAATAGATCAAACTTGTGCAACATAGTATTAATGTATTTGGATTGACTAATAAAAGTACCATGAGGAGTTTGTTTAAACTGTAGCCCAAGAAAGAATTGAAGCTCACCCATCATGCTCATTTCAAAGACAGATTTCATTGCTTCACAGAACTCAGAACACATAGTAGAATCAGTTGACCCGAAAACTATATCATCTACATAAATTTGAACAATAAGCATATGAGAGCCAGAGGTTTTTTTAAATAAAGTTTTATCGACTGACCCTTGAGAAAACTGTTGATCTTTAAGAAATTTGGTCAATCGATCAAACCAAGCTCTAGGAGCTTGTTTGAGACCATACAAGGCTTTGTTTAGCTTGTAAACATAGTTTGGATGTTCAGAGTCAGTAAAGCCTGGGGGCTGAGATACATAGACCTCTTCTTGAATATCTCCATTCAAGAAGGCGCTCTTGACATCCATTTGGTATAGAGGAAAATTCTTATAACAAGCAAAAGCACATAGCAATATTATTGATTCTAGACGTGCTACAGGGCAAAAGTCTCGTCGTAATCTATTCCTTCCTCTTGGCAATATCCTTGTGCAACAAGGCGTGCCTTGTTGCGTATAATATTGCCTTCCTCATCAGATTTATTATGAAAGACCCACTTAGTTCCAATTATAGTTTTCCCTAAAGGTCTAGGAACCAACTCCCAGACCTTAAGATATTCAAACTGAGAAAGTTCCTCTAACATAGCATAAGCCCATTCTTCATCATGTAGAGCTTCTTTATAGGACTTAGGTTCTAGTTTAGATACATAAACATACTGGCCTGGAGTGTACTTACCTCGGGTACGAAGACCATCTTTAATACTCCCAATGACTTGACTCTCGGGGTGTCTCTTTTGAATATGGGGAGGAGCTTGTAGTCTTTCAGTGTCACTGGAATGATGTGCTATAGTTTCTGCTTCTGTTGTTGCTTCGGCCTCGGCAGATTGAGTTGCTTGAAAGTCTTTAGGAGACTGCTGTTGTAAAGTTGATTCACTTGCATCTGTTGTTTCTGCTGAAGTTTTTTCTTGCCAACGAGTCAGCTCCAATAGATCAAGAAGTTGTGAATCTGTCTCATATATCTTATCAGAAGTGTTAGCATTGTCAAATAACACATGAACAGATTCTTCCACTTTACGAGTGCGTTTGTTATAGATTCTGTAAGCTTGCCCTTTCAAAGAGTACCCTAAGAAGATTGACTCGTCTGACTTAGCATCAAACTTGCCAAGGGTATCCTTAGTATTCAGAGTGAAGCATCGACAACCAAAAGGGTGAAAATAGGAGATATTTGGTGTCTTTTTCTTTAAAATTTCATAGGGAGTCTTGTTCAGATGCTTTCTCACAAGAACTCTATTGATAACATATCAGGCTGTACTAACTGCCTCTGCCCAAAAGAACTTTGGAAGATCATAGTCAATCAACATGGTTCTTGCAGTTTCAATAATAGTACGATTTTTCCTCTCAACTACCCCATTCTGTTGGGGAGTTCTAGGAGCAGAAAAAGTATGAATAATGCCACAAGATTCACAAAACTCAGAAAACTCATCTGAAATAAATTCTCCTCCATTATCACTCTTAATACTTTTAATTTCTGAATATGTTTTGACAAAGGACTGAAAGTTTCTGAAAGTTTCATCTTTACTCGCAAGAAAATAGACCCAGCAGAATCTGGAATAATCATCGACAAGAACAAACACGTAGTTTTTGCCTCCAAGACTAGTGATAGAGCAAGGACCAAATAGATCCATATGAATTAGTTCAAATGGTTTGGTCGTGGCAATATCAAGTTTTACTTTAAAAGGTCTTCTGGAGTGCTTACCATCAGCACAGGCACCACAAAAAAAATTTCCTCGTTCCTTTAAGTCAGGAATTCCTCGGACCAGCTTAGATTTCGACAAGGCAGCAACCCTTTTTAAGCTAATGTGGCCCAATTTTCTGTGCCAAGTAGCTTCCTGGTAATCTGATTTAGAGACAAGACATGATTCATTGAAGGCTTTTAGGTCATGAAGATCTATTACATACATATTTCCAATTCGATTACCAACAAACATAATTTTATTGTCACGGACACGTTCAACTAAACAGTGAGAGGTTTCAAAAGTAACCTTGTTCCCACTACTACACAACTGACTTATAGAAAGCAGATTGTGCTTAAGACCATCTACCAGCATGACATCTTTGACAGTTGGCATAGGGGACAGACCAATAACTCCTTGTCCCACTACTCTGCCAGAGCTGTTATCACCAAAAACCACTTCTCCTCCTAATTCATAGTTTAAAGTTGAGAAAAGGGCTTCGTTACCTGTCATGTGATGCGAACATCCGCTGTCAAGATACCATTTGCTTTCAGCCTTGCTGAATTCATCGATAAGATCTTTGTGCGTATTGGTATCTGTTGTTCTTGCCATGTATGCCTCGTCAATGTTCCGTTCATTGTCATCCTCTGAATCATAATCGCTCCATGAGGTTGCCATAGCTTGTTCTTTAGCCTTCAGTGTCAAATAGCAATTAGCCCTTACATGCCCTATCTTCCTGCATTTATAGCAGCCTTGAGCTTCTCGGTCGGTTGTACCAGTTTGTTCTTTCCCCTGCGAAGCAAATCTCTCAAAGGAAGCATTTTTAGTTCTACCAGGAATTGAATAATTTCTTCCACTATCAAAGTTTCTTTGAAAAGACTCATTTTGCCTTTGATTTAGATCAGAAAAGCGATTATTCGAATAGGAATAACGACTAGTTGACCCAGGCAAACGAGCATTAGAGAAACGATTGTGAGACTCATAACGACCTCTATGCTCAATATCGCGTTGCTTCTGATCATTTTTGAACTTCATCATGCGATGAAATTTCTTACTAACCAGAGCCAATTCTCGTTCAAAGTCAGAATCGACTTCATTATCTGATTCATAATCATACATACGACTTTTGAACACAAGACTTTTCTTACGCCTTTCATCTTCCTTTCCTACTTGCCTAATAACATGCTCATGACTGAGAAGTGAACCAATTAGCTCATCAACAGTCAATGTGTTAAGATTCCTGGCTTCTTCAATGGCTGTCCGTTTAGGCAGCCATTCTTTCGGTAAGGATCGAAGAAGCTTCCTAACCATGTCTTTTGATGCAATAACTCTACCCAACCCTTTCAATTTGTTTATCAGACTGGTAAATCTAGAGTACATGTCATGAATCCCCTCACTAGGCAGCATATCAAAGGTCTCGTATTCATGCATAAGTAAGTCTATACGAGTTTCCTTGATATTAGACGTACCTTCAAACATAGCCTCAAGAATGGACCAGATTTCATTCGCGGTTTCGCATTGCTCCACCTTGTCAATCTCATGGGGTGGAATGGCTGTTTGTAGAATGTGCATAGCTCGGCAATTCAGCTGTGCACTCTTTTTCTGCGCATCGTTCCAATCGTCTTGACGATTGACATCCATTTCAATTGGTCCATCTTGAACAACAGTCCAGAGATCTGCATCAATTCCCCATAAGAAGGTTTTCATCCGTTTTTTCCAGGCGTTATAGTTCGAACCTGTAAACCACGGAGGATTATGATGCGATGCAGGGCCGAATGCAGCTTGGGAAGAGGAACACATGAATCGCAACCTTTGGCAGTAGCTAGCTCTTCAAAGGAAGGCTCTGATACCACTTGAAGATCGATTTGGAAATAGGGTTTTGCAAAAAAGATTTTTTTTATTAGGGATTTGAGAGGTTGGAAGGAAACGCGATAGTCGAAAAGAGGAAGAAGAGAATGACAGAACGAGAAAGCGCTTCTGCTCTTCTTCTTCTTACTCGAGAATGGGCCAAGATTAAAACGCAAAGCCCAAAAAAATGGAGAACTGAAATAAGCGTCAAAATGGGCTTGCAAGCAGACTAAGCCTGAAATAACAGAAGCTATTCTTCTTTCTGGAATGCAGAGGAAGAAGAACAGAGTCAAGCAGCAGAGGTAACGAAATCAAAGCAAGAAGAAAAGAACGCAGCGATTCAACGAGGTTCACCAATAATGGCTACGTCCTCGTCTCGGTAATAGTACACACTACTAGCGAGAGACACTATATTTATCTGTTTTAATGACACAATTACAAGACAAGAAGACTCAATGAAACCACCAGAGTTTAACCCAAACTCTGTATACTTCAGCCACTCTCACAGAACCTATACCCCTGGGGATGATCACTCTTTTGTTCTGATGAACTAGCCCTCTACCACCAATCTCAGAAACTCAAAAGCCTACTTGAATGGACCGCAAACCAGCGTTTATATAATCCTCCTCTAGCAGACCGTTGGAGAAGAGGGCCGTTGGTGATTAGCTTTGATGTAGCAAGGAATTACCAAAAATTGCAGGCTTTCCTTGTATGATTAGCTCTGATCTCGTCCAACAATAAGGAAGTTACAAGATGAAACGGTGAGTTTGATTTGTGCTTAGCCAAAACGGTGAGCATCGATCAAGTTGAATCTTCTTCTTCAAGTGAGTCCCGCTCTCCTCCAACGGTCGAGCTGAAAGGAATTGGGGATTTGAAATCCCTAGCTGTTAGCATTGATCATGCAAAATACCACCACAAACAGATTGACAACGGTTCTGTACTCAACTCCCGTATGCCACAGGAACCACATAATCCACACTCTCCCAGAACCAATCCCACCAACGGACCACGACCCAGCCGGGCTCCCCCATGACCCCAATTGCAAGGTTCTATATATAGTCACATTTCAGATGTGGAAATAAAATGTCGGAAATATATGTACCAACATTTTTTTTTAAGTGCCACAAAGTTCTGTTATCGCATTCAATGTCGAAGTAAATGGTGGTTAACTTTTTTTGTGCATTATAGGAGGCACCAGGCCAAAGAAAGAGGAACGAGGGGGACAGAGATCAGATGGGAGAGATAGGAGAAGTGATCACAATGTTTCTAGGAAAAGTGATTCCTCGCTGATCATCATGTAAGATGTGAAGGGCCTCTTGCGGCGGATCCTCCAATTCATACATGTCGTAGGGATAGAAGAGACTGTGCTTCGAGAGCCAGTCCCCGACTCTATTCCCCTCTCGGTAGGTATGAACTAGGTTCACCACCCAATCAAGAGAAATCTTCCTCCTGATGGCCAAAAGAAGAGCAGCATAAGGGTGTAGAGGGTCTGTCCTGTTCTTCACAAGTTGAATAGCCAACTGAGAATCTGACTCGATGATGATGGTCCTGTAGCCTTTGTTCAAAACGACCCTCAAACCATAATAGATAGCCCACAGTTCGGCCAGAGTAGCCGAACAAGATCCCAAGCTTGAAACAAAACCACCTAGCCAGCAACTGTTGAAGTCACGAATTACTCCTCCAGGCCCGGCCAGGCCCTGGGACCCTCCTGCTGCCCCATGCCCCCATCAACAACATTGACTTTCATCCAACCTGTAGGTGGTGGCTACCATCCGATGTCTGTCATCACCCGGTTCGGCGCCGGGTTTCCCCTTCCACCAAGCGGTGACGGAGAATTCCAAGCCCGAGTCCAAATACCGGCTTTAATATTGATTGACTGCATAAGAGAAGGTGCTGACAGGGTCTTATTAATACCTTTGAAGACACCTTCATTCCTGTTCTTCCACATGCACCAAAGGACAATCCCGAAGAAGGCGTCCCAGGGGAGCCTGTAGCTGATGGTGGTTAATTAATGTAGGTTTCCGACGATTTATGTATATGTCAGTAACTTTAAGCAACAATATAAACAAAATAGACATTTCAATGTAATTAACCGTCATTTTTCGTATTTGTCGATACACGACTACATCAACATTTTGACCATCTTTAAGTCACGTTTGAAAATTACAACATAGAGCATTTTTTTTCTTAAGAGCAAATAACAACGGATGTAATTATGTAAAAGACAATACAACCAATGACGATGAGCTGAATGCACGCAGCTGGAGCCCACATTACTGAGGCTACTTAATTAATTATCTCCTAACATATATATATATATATATATATATATATATATATATATATTATTACTACGTACGCAAGCAGTCTCATCTTTACGTGCATGGCCGGCGGCGGCAGGCGGACATAATGTTCACTGGACGGCGTCGTTGAAGTTCCACAACCCGCCCCACAGCCAATCCTCAACGATCGGACCAGAACCAAAAGCCGCCGGAACGAGTTGATATTGCTGCGCCGGCCATTGGTTGTAATTCCCCGGGTTCATCATCATCTCACACGTCGGATTCTTGTCCTCCTCCTCCTGCTGCTTCTGCTTCTGACAATCAACGGCCAGTAGTGGATCCGCCACCAGCTGGATCTGCTCTTGCAGTTGGTTGTTATCGTCTGTTGCGGCCGATGGCGACGACTGGTCGCTGTTAATGACGATGGTCTGCTGATAATTATGATCATAATGGCGAGGAAAGGCTGCGGATGGTGATGATCTTCGTCGCTTTCGATGATGACCAGCGATCTCATCGGCTGGCGATGATGGTTTTGATCTTTTCTTGAAATGGGTCCTCCAGTAGTTCTTTATCTCGTTGTCCGTTCTTCCTGGCAAGTAACTTGCTATGGTCGACCACCTGTGGCCACGCAAGCATATCAGTAAGGTTTTGATACGACGATATCAACCTAAGCAAACACGACCTATCAACGTACTAATCGAACCCTAAAAAAAAACTATAACCCAGCTATATATAGAGAAGAAAACAAAATAAAATAAAAAGTGATGGATGTATAAGGCAAATTACTTGTTTCCCCAGAGAGCATGGAGTTCGATAATGATGCCTTCCTCCTGAGGTGTTAATTGGCCTCTCTTAAGTCCAGGCCTAAGGTAATTCACCCACCTCAGCCTGCAACTCTTCCCACTCCTCTTTAGACCTAAAAATTTACACAACCAAAGTCATGGTTAGTTAAGTTGATTACGTATACATAAAGAGTGAATGCAATAAGAACCCTAAAACTGAGAATATATATGTAACATAAAAAGGTTACCTGTGCACTTGGAAACAGAGCTCCACCTTCCATCCCCATAGAGCTTCACATATTCACTCAGCAACTTGTCTTCTTCAGGAGTCCATGGCCCCTTCCTCCAGCCATGTTCGTCGTGGCCATATCCACCCCATCCCATCTTCATCCCTACCATTCTTGATCCTATATTGAGTTGTTTGTTTGAGTTCTCTTTTTCAGGCTTCTAGAGTGTATAGGATGGTTAGCTAGCTTTGTCTGGAATATGTGTGACATGAACTGAATGTGGGCTTCCATTATATATATACGCTCTCACCAGCCATGCACCCACTATTCTTGTCCTTCTTTCTTTGTCTCCCTATTGCTCCTGTCCTTGTTGTTCCTTTCACTCGTTTTTAGCAACTTTTGGTGATCTCATTAGTCACTTATAATTGTTGCCCGAAAGAATCTTTCGTCCTTCCATTTCCATCCTATTATGTGAAGCCAACCCATCACTTCCACCACCTTGGTCCTTAGGCAAGTTTCATGCTCCAATCAAACCCAAACAAGTGTTTCGTGTATCTACTAGCTAGATCGTTTACCAACGCACAACTTATTAATCTTTGTCAAGGAAAATATTAAGGCTCTGATTATCATCATGATCATAAATAGTTGGTCCCAATAACTCGTTTATTACATTATATCAGTGTTGGTTTGTCTTTGAGGTCACGTGTTTAAGTTTTCACGACTCCCAATATTAATTAATGTGTTAAAGCACATAGTATGGCGGGCCTATGCAAACTTTAAACCCATGAGTCGGTTTTCATTTGAGGGGGCGTGTAAAAAGTTAAGTATCATACATGGACCTCTCTCAACAAATCGAGTTATTGGGACCAACTAGTTTATGACATATCAAGAATTGTGTGATTGATGAGCATACAACTATATCATCGAATACCCATAAAACTTTTTTCACATAATACATGATATAAGTGTCAAGAACCAGTTGATCCCAATAACTCGAGTTGTTGGGAGAGGTTCAATCGTGGATCATATACCATTTACTAACACCCCCCTTCAAACTCAAGTCATCAGATAGGCTTGGAGTTTGGACAAGCACATGTCCGGACACCGTGTGCTTAATAGAAACATAAACATATGAGGGTCATCGGGATTCGAACAGAAGACCTCTCGGTCACAGAAGGCTCTGATATCATGTCAAGAACCGGTTGATCCCAATAACTCGAGTTGTTGGGAGAGGTTCAATCGTGGATCATATACCATTTACTAACGATAAGCGGCGAGATTCAAACTAAAAACATATGGTACCCGCCTCATGTCTCGCTATTAATGATTAACGTACAAGAAAAGTAATGGGAGATCTTAGTTATGCAGCTCAAAAGCATCGATCGATCGGATCTTGATGGCCTTAGTGGGTTGTTGATGTGTTTAGCGGAAAGTGGTTTCGAGCCAATGGGAGGACAACATGTGTTGGGTACTTAACTAATCCTTTATTAATATCGTACGATGCTCGTCATTAGTTTAATGCTTAGTGATTCATTAATTAAATTAATGAGATGGTGCTGTGTGTAAAGACTAAAGAAGGTTCTGGGGAGTCCTGTTAATAGTATGCAAAGAGGCCATCGTCATCTAATTCCAAATGAGTCATCGAATCTGCTCCATACATTGTGGCCCGCTTACGCATGCACTATATCGAGCATTTTGGGAATGTTACGGCATGTTATTTTATTGGGTTTAGGGCTGGACACAATTGTTTATTCACATAAATGTCTATTTATAGGCATCGAGTGACTCATCACAATTTTCATTAAATACTGCTAAACATCTATTTATCTATCTATCTATATCTATCTATCTATCTATCTATACTTAATATGATGGCTATTCAAAAATAACTTCTTGTCACATAAGCACTTGGTGAATTCACAAGATGCCAATGTGGAAAAATTTTTAACAAACAAAATTTTATTTATTGATCTATTTATGGAGCTATCTCTCTCTTCTTTTAATACTTCTACTCATTTTTACTAAAACTTAAAATAAGGTACATTTTTTGTGACACATTTAAACAAACAAACAACATAAGTAATAATCTTTTCTTCAATTGAGAATAGTTGATCGAAAGACGAGGTAAACCAGTGGCGTAGTTAGTATTACATCTAAGGTGGGTCCACTTAGAAGAAAAATACACCTGGTAAAATAATTTTTGTTAACTTTGCGAATCATTCATGACATAATCTTATATTGGAAAATTTTGGTTAAGTAAAATAGATTAGTAGTCGAAAATATCAAGAATATTACTTTATATACCAAACAATTATTAATGATTTAGTTAGTCGTTCTGTTTCGTATGATGTTCTTTATAAAAAAAACCATTAGTATCTATAACTCGAGTTGTCAAGAGATATTTAATAATAAATCTTACACCAAACAATAATTCATGATTTGGTTAGTCATTCGCTTACAAATGATGTTATTTGTCAAGAATCTTTTTGAATCAATAAATTGAGTTGTTGGAAGAGGTTCAATAATATATCTTATACTATTTACTAGCACGCTCCCTCATATAAGAAAGTCAACTTATAGAAAAATGAAGTTTGCACAAATCTGTATATCGTGTACTTAACAAATGAGGTCGCCAAAATTTCGAACAAAAAATCTTTCGATCAACTATTCTCAATTAAATACCCCTAATTTTTTATATAAATTAACTATTATACCTAATTGAACAATTTTCCTTCCGAGTCAGGGTGGGCCCCGGGACCCACCCTGTTATACTCTCCCTCCGCCACTGAGGTGAACCAAACCGAGGATTGTCGACTGCTCCCTCTTCCTCCTTGATCTGAAGCTCGCAACTGCTCACTCTTTTTTCCATTATTTTCTTAATTTCTTCCAAATTAAAACTGTTGGATGGTAAATTTCCCTACTTGATGAGCGAATGTATTTATTCTTCGTTTTCACGGAGTTATTTTATGTTCTCTATTACGTCATATACTTTTATGTAAATAGGTAATATATGATTAGAAAGGATAATTGGTTGGACTTAGAGCATATGTCCTTTGGTTGAATAATTGATTTTTACTTAAATGCCTATTGCAACCTGATACTTTAGATGTTGAAATGGAAAGTGGAGTTGTGAGGGTTTTTATTATATTCCTTATGTTCATGATTGACATTCTACTAGCTAGCTATAAGATGATGATCTAGTTAATAATTAGTAGGTAGCAATGAGATTATAAGTAGAAGGGAACATAATTGGGGGTTTTATAAAGGTTGTGAAGAAGAAAGAAAATGACTGTGGCGGTTCCTCGGTTGTGTATTTTGATGTTTTTTCAATTTCTACACGTTTGCAATGACATTTGTTTGTTTCATTAGGGTGAATTTCTCCTCATTAAATCCTTAACTAAAGCTTGATTTTGACATGATTATTTTCTTACCAACTACTATTTTGATTGGTGCATAGATTCAGTTCACAAATTAGGAATCTATAAGATAGAATGAGTTGAGTTGTATTGAAGTATGCTCCTTTCATTATTTGTCTGTGTTGTTATTAGGTAAAAAAACACTATTTTCCTTTAGGAGATATGCAGCTCTCTATAAATTATAAATTGTGTTTATATGAAGTTTAGTTTGTTGAAAATATTGTTTTAATAAATTAGTGACAACGGATAGTTCTGTTTGTGGTTGGTTTTGCTAGAACATTGACAAGATAAATTAATTGAGTATCCAGAAGACTGATGGATGTGGATGCTAATATATTTCATCATTATTCTAGAATTGCAGGTGTAACTGATAATACACGATATTCGTGAGATTTAGATCGGAATATTCTCTATTATCATATACCAACATAGGAGAAGGGAAAGAAAATAAAAAGCTCTTCACTTATTTTTTTACTAATTGAATTCTATTTTCTTATCCTAACTTCTTCATTTTTTTACCTTAAAATTTTTAACTTATTTATCACTTTTTTGAGTTCGATACAATATTTTAAATAAATAAAGAACGGTCTACAAAGAGCTCAATTAATACAATTAAATTTTTCATACATAAAAATGTATAAAAGTATGAAACATTACCTAAATAAGGTAAGTGAGATTTACAATTTCATGTATATTAAATCAACAAACATAAATTATAATAATAATTAGAATACTATAGCGAATTTTAAAATAATCAAATGTAATGCACCGCCCAACGGGCGGGTAAAAAACTAGTATCTAGTATAGCTATAGTGTGTATATGTGATATATTTTTTAAGTATGCCTACGGTGACTGCACCGTAGCTTGGAGAAAACAGTCGACCTTTTCCATCAAGTGGTCGAACACTTTCCAAGAAAATGGCAGACCTCTTCCACCAAGTGGTCTACCACATCCGGAAATAGGTCGACCTAATGACACACTTACCTTCAAGAGGTCAACCTCTTCCACCAAGTGGTCTACCACTTGAGTCATCCGGTCTAACACTTTCGAAAATGGGTCGACACACTTACCTCCAAGTGGTCAACCTCTTCCACCAAGTGGTATACCACTTGAGTCAACCGACCTACTGCTTCAGAAATGGGTTACCTGATGACACAATTACCTTAAGTGCTCGACACTCTTCCACCAAGTGGTATACCACTCGAGGCAGCCGGTCTACCGCTTCTGGCAATGGGTCGACATGTGACACACTTACCATCAACTTACAACTGCTTGTTGGAGGAGGTAGACCGCTTCCGCCAAAACAGCCTACCGATTTTGCAAAATGGTTACATATCTCTTTCGGCAAATAATTTCCGGTTTCGGCGACCATTCAACTAGACAACACAGTTACCTTATACTTAAATTAGGAAAATAATGGACAGTAGGAGACCAAATATATAAAATTATTTTTGTAGTAACACAACATAAGAAATAAATATGCGTAACATTTTTCAAATCTACGAGAGAACATTCACTCAAGAAACTTGTCATCTATATTGTTATTGGACTCTAATTATATATGATGATATCACTAGGAATGGTTCATCAGGTGGATCAATTTTTAAAAGGGTTGGACCGCTTGACGAAAGAGGTAGACCATTTTTTTTTATAGTTCCTTTTAGTAGAAGTTGTTGACCGTTTCTTGAACATAGCAACTGAAAAATAATACATCTGGATCTGGTCGACCATTTTGTCCAAATAAGTCGACCATATCAGTGAATAGGTCAACCGTTTGTCCAAATAAGTCGACCTCATCAGTGAACAAATCGACTATTTTGTCCAAGTTACGGTAACTTACAAGTCATCATAGCAAAGTGCTATTTTTTTATGCCAACCGGAATAAGCACTTAATATATATTTTCTGTGTTAAATGGTGTTTTGGTGATACATAATGTTTTTAAGTCATTGTGAAGGCAGTATATATGTTGTCTCTTGATGGAGTATTTGTGGCATGCATGGTGTACGTGATAACGGGTATATAGGGAAATGCGACCAAAGAAACAAATAAAGCGATGTAAATTTGGACAACAAAAAATATGGAGCAAACAAGAAGTATGGAATAATTTTTTTAGATAGCTAGTATAACTGTATAAGCTCATATAACTTTCGATTGCAGATTGAAGCTCAAATAAAAGTATATAAGTATCTCCTTATGATCAAGATGACTACTCAACAACTTAAGGTAAATTTCGATCATCATGATTGTCGAGCTCACCATGTTGGCAACTGATTCAAGCATCGGCAAAGCTATGTTATATTAGGAGTGTTATAGGTAAACCTTAATATTTGGGTCAAACTTACCAACCTCTCGGTATGTATTCGGGAATCGAATACGGAACCTCCACGTTAGTATGAGAACGTTTCACTATTACACTAATAAAAGTATAGACGATAAATCTATTTTATGTTTCTTTCATAATATTAAAATATGTCGTGCGTGGTTGTTTATGAAAAGAAGATTGTAGAGACATAAACCTTAAGGACCGCATATATATTGATTAAAGTATAAAATATTGTTTCTGAGATGAAAATGTATATTCGTTGAGTGATTAAGTTGAAGATGTACGCATGGTTTGGTTGTCCTAATCCCAGACAAGGATTAATTAAATATAGGAGATCAATAAAATCTAGCTAGCCTTTTCACTTACTGGCCAGTCGCATCTGCTTTTCTCCATCCTCCACTTACTGGATTTGTCATCTTCATACACCAATTGGTGTACTATTTCTGGAAGTTGTGCTGTAATAATTGACTAAAAAAAGCACTCACTAATAAACACTAACATGCTTAAACTCAGACAATATAATGGATATAGAGGTGCATGTCAAGCTTAATTTTTTTTTTTTTTTTTTGGAATTGAGCTTTGGTCTTGGATAAGAGAAGTTGATATATCCTACCACTCTGTCAATTTTCAATATTTGCTTATTATACAATCCATATATTATAGTCTAAAATCAAATGTCGAGGAAAGGGGCTATAACTCATTCTTGGCTAACAATAGATGAAATTCTGTGACTATCACAAGATTCAATCTCAATAATTATAAGATTTGACGACTAGATAATCATTTAAGTTGGAGCATGGAGGAACTAAAAAGTCATGAACTCAATGATTTTTAAAAAAATATCATACTAGTCACGAAATAAATTAAAATGCGATATTTTGAAAACCAAATAGAGGAAAATATCTGAAAAGGGTCATTGCAATCCAAAAAAAAAAAAAAAATCGTTGCAACATTTAACCTCTAGAACAATTCTTTGATGAATCGAAAAGCAAGTTAGCAAAAAGTAACATATTATAAGGTTCAGGTTAGTGTACGACTTAACTTATCATAAACTTGTCAAGTTTTGTTATTTAGACCATGAATTAATCTTAGTTAGTGGTATGATACTATACCCTAACTTCTAATGGATGAACACCAATACCCTATTTTCTAACCCAAATGATGAGATTCATTTATCTTAAAAATGAAAATCAACAGTTTATGATTCATCGAAATTATCAAAGTACAAATAATAGGTGTGAACGCATGACTGTAGCGTATGCTAACCTTTACTTATATATATATGGTTCTATCGTACTTTGAGTAAAATCAAAGATATATCATACCTTGAGTAAAAAACTGATATCTAGATCTCGAATTAATCGGAGTTTGCGATGTGGTAGTATACCCTAATCCTTATAGATTAAAATCTAGGCCTTAAACACTAAAATGAATTTAATTAGAATAAAAAATCGACGATCATGATTCGTCAAAATATATGCAACAATTTACATGCACAAAATCTTGGGGTTTAGGGTCTATGATTTAGATAACTAAGACTTAGGGTTCACTCATCAAGGGTTAGGGTATAGTATCATATTCCAAAATCCAGTTAATTCGAGGTCTATATAGCATTTTCTTACTTAAAGTATGTCGTACTCTATATTTTACCCAGGGTACGATAGAAGTCACGTATATGTACAAATATTATCTATAGATCAACGGTGAATTGTCGTTGACTAGCTAGCTGCCCTAAACTTCTCACGAATTACCTAATTTTGTCGGTCAAATGTTGGAAATAGGTGCATTGGGTGTGTAGTCTCGGCACTCTGAGAATCTCTAGAAGCCTTTTTAATTTCTAATCGGCAATTTAATAAATGAATGAATGGAATCGGAAGACATAAAATTATCGGGTGGGTTTTATACAATTAGTTCGGTGTAACTTTGGAGGTCAAAGTAAACTTCATTCAGCGTCCGCCTACTCCACTCTCTCATTAATAAATTCTTCGTGCCATAATTGATGAGCCAAACACATTATCATTCCCTCTTAATTACATTCTCTAATTAATTTTTAATTTTTAATCGACTTGCCTGCTACTGCACTGCGTCACTGTGGCGGAGCTATATATGAGTCATTAACCATGGATTAGTCTAGTGGCAATCCACTAGTATTGAACTTCAGGTTCGAATCCCTTAGCTCGAGATTGGTTGGTAATTGGTAAGCATCTAAGAATATTTCATCATTTTTCAATGATTTATTTAATTTTTAAAAAATTAATTTAATTTTCTCAATTTAGCAAACAATTTTTTATGTGCCAAAGATAGCTTGATTTAGCAAACAAATCTTAAATGCTTATTTTGATAAATAAATAGAGAGATTCTTTTGGCCGATGATATCCATATAACTTTTGGAATATTCACACCATACCATGTATTCATAGAAAATGAATAATGATGAATTCATGTATTTTTAAATGTGTTTTGTAAACATTTTAACCATGTGAATATTGTCGCTCCCGAAAAAAAATATCAAATTACGTACCTAAAATTTATAAATTACAGAATTATTATTTTTAAAATGAAATCATATACATTTATGAAAAAAATAAAAGGTTTAAAAAAATGAGATTTACTAGTCGGCAAAAAAAAAAAAACAAAACAAAAAAAAGAGCTTGTGAGCAGCAAATTGCCTTGGGCCCATTTCAGCCAATATTTGCAGAGCCCAAACCTTTTATTTTCTCTTCCACTTAACGGTAAAATGCTGTGGCCCAGCTCCGCCTCTGGATGTCCAGTCATTTCATTATTTTCTGGCAAGTTTCCCAAGCCCAATGGGCCTTTTCCTTTTTTCCTTGCTATTGCTTGCCTTTCAGCCTATATGTTAGTTGTTACTCATTTGCTCTTGTAAGCATTCCGCCCACCCCAAATTCTTTCTCGACTGGGTTCGATTACATTGTCCAGTAGGCATAGATAATTAGATAGTAAAATACATTAGTATTTAATTTTTACTCTAAAATAATGGTACGTTTAATAGTTTAATAGTAGGTCAATAGTTATAAAATAAATTAAAATATAAATATAGTTAAGTTAACAATTTAATTCATTAAAATACGGATATTAAATGTATTATATGGGTTTTATACGATGGGAGACATCAAATGAACGAGAAAAAAACGGCTTGACAATCAGCGCGTGGATCTAGGGGGGCCGCCCCCGGGCCACGGCCCAGCCCTCCCCGGTCCCAAAGCTCGTATAGTACTTGTAAATTTTCGATTTTGGGTATATATTTCAATGTTTATAGGGTTACGGTCCATCCCTCTCCACCGCTTTTTAAATGCGGCACAGTGCTCTAACCTGTTCTGAATCCGCCGCTGTTGACAATAACACAGATATAGAAGTTTTAAACAGATAAAATACGTACGACCATATATATGCATATTAAACAGAGTATTTACTAAGGGAGTACAGATAGAATTGGTACGATAAAATTATACAATGAAGATTAGCACGATCCATGCATTCCGCCAAAAAAATATACATTAGTGCACCAAGCAAGCATATCACAACTTAGTGGTGGTGTGTTTGAGTCCCGAGATCACAACTAATCAGACCATTACTCTAAGAACTAATTTTCAATTTTGAACTCTTACCCTAAAACCCAAATTGTATTCACTAAACACTAACCCCTAGATCCCTTAAATCCTTTAAATCAAAGTAAACCTTGAAAATCATGTGTTTTCTTTGTCCATCATATTGCCAATAATGATTGACATCGTTTTTGACATAAATCAGCTACTCAGAATAACGATTATGACTATGCACCCCGAAAAAATGAAATGCACGAAAGACAAAACCATATATATCTATAAAGTAGCAACAATTGGGATTAAATTGGGTGCCATAAAATGTATTTGGAAGGTTTATCATTAGGGTTTGTTAAGTTATTAGTATTGTAGTATAAGCATTGAGTTGAGTGGGAAATTCTCCCTGTTTTCGGACATGATACCAATTGAATGAAACCCATTAGGAATGTTCAATGTATTATTAGTCTCGAGAAGCAAACACATTACACATACACACTCACATGATAGTATTATTATCCATTCAATATTCTCAGTTAACCTTTAATAACCCACTAATTTGGCTGTTAAAATATATACGGTCTTCTCCCTTGGAGAATTTTATTGGTTCAGCATTTTAGTACATGGTTGTCTTGTCGAGAGCATTAGCCAAAAAAATAAATGGTCCCGGGATCGGGACCAGTTGCATCAATAGGTGGGAACTCTCTTTGTCACCCACATTAAAATATGGGAGGATTGCATCAACCTAAACATTAAATCATGCACCCACGAAATTTGGTTCCAGTGAGTAAGTAGTGAGACTGTATGGACCACAAAAAAAAAAGGTGTAGTTTCTTGGTTGAGGGAGAGCAGTATATATGAATTGCTGGCCTGGTATAGTGTTCCTTTTGAGGAAACAGTTGGAATTTCTCCATTGAAATATAAGCTGGGGAACAGTGGTATAAGTGCAACAGAGAAAACCCAAAAAGCCAACAAGCAAAGTGCCCAAAAAACCTTAACAAAAGCTAAACAGGAGAAAGAAAAAGGAAAGGAAAGGTGGAGTGGTGTAATGCAGTAGGTTAACTAGCTAGTCAAGCTGTTGTACTTGTTTAATGAAGGTTATAAGTTTGGATTCTACAAGTGTGATGTAGATATGGATCTGGGCATCGGAATTGAGAGGAGAAATTAAACAAAATTAGTTGATGTAGAATTGATTGAGAGGAGAAATTAAACAAAATTAGTTGATGTAGAATTGAGGATTAGGGTTCTTAGACGAGAGTAGAGGGAATTAGGGTTTTGACTTTTGAGAGATTAGCAACAAACTGCTATTCTTCTTGATTTCTGATTGATTTGACAAATGACCTAAAGTAAATGTATATAGTAAATACATGAAAATCTAACCATAATTCTAATACGACTCAAAATACTAATAATATAATAATAATTAATAATGAAAGACCGGTCACCATATAAAAAATAACAATAATGGAAGACCAAGTCTCCCTCATCGACTGTGTTTCCATCAACGAGAGTGAGAACTAGATTTATCTGTCTTTGCTTGTCTACGAAACCAAAGACTTAAAGGGTGAGAAGTAATTCCCAATAACTCATAGAAAACAAACACACAAAAACTTGTTCATCTATATGAATCAAACTTATGACCCATAGTTGTCGGGTGCACCCAATGACAATATGTGAAATCTTTTTTTTTTTGTAGAAAGGTTGGGCCTATAGCGCCTAATTCGTATTAGTAATAGAACGACTTTGGGAAATCCCCATTACATCGTAAAAGAGCCATTGTCTAAGACCAGCATCGTACACATCAAAGAAATGTGTACCAAAAGGAAAGCGGTGACCAACATTAGCAAGGTAGTCCGCCGCAACATTCATTTCTCTAAATACATGAGAAACTTTAACCTCCCAATCGAGGTTCAAAAGGACCCTGATGGATGCAGCAAGCAATCCATTTCTATGATCATCATTCTCCGAGCAGTTAATAATGGAAATGGCAGTTTTGGAGTCAAGGTTCAGCTCCACTTTTCTGTGACCCTCTTCCCACGCAATCCTGAGGCCAACCGCAGCAGCTTTCAGCTCAGCATAGGTGATCGAACAGGTGCCCAAATTGCACACAAAGGCCTTGCTGCAGCTTCCAAGGTGATCACGCAGGAGTCCCCCAGCAGCTTCCCCAGTAGAGGTGTACACTGAACCATCAGTTTGAATCTGATTCCAGCCCTCCCTAGGTGGTTTCCAGGAGATCTGCTTCACTGTACATCCAAGGGAGTTTCCAATTCACGTTTTCCTGATGCATTCCTGAGTTTGCAGAACAATGTTAAACCAAGCTTGTATTCTGCAACAGAGCCCTTGAAAGTTGAAAGGTTTCCCTTCCATGACAAGCTCATTCCGCTGCTTCCAAAGATTCCAGCACACAATACCAAAATTGACACCACACTCCATGTCAGAGAGGTTAGCCATCAGCCATTCCTCGAAATCAATGGTAGGAGAGTTCGTTTTCATCTTGTCTTTGAATTTAGCCCATGTCTGTTTTGCAGCAGGACATTCCTTTAGAATGTGTTCAATGGATTCCTCCATGTCCTTGCAAAGGCTACAGTTCTTGTTGTCAGTCATCTTTCTCTTCTCACGTTCCTTGTTGGTCATCAGGCGATTATGCAACATCAGCCACAAAAAATGCTTAATTCTGCTAGGCCCCTTCCATCTCTAGAGCTTGATCCATTTGTGTTCCTCATCAGTCTCTTCCAACCCTGCAGCAAGTGCATAGGCAGATTTGAGCTTGAATCTTCCATCACGTTCCAGTGCCCATATCATCTTATCCTCTCCAGTCTGTGCAATTGGAGCTTCCATGCCTGTAATCAGATGGAGGATATCATCAGGAAAAAGGGGATTCAATTTGCCCCAGTCCCACTCACCTTCTTAATTTACCCAGTCTGCAACAGAGGAGTCTTTCTCTTGAACAGACTGTCCCTCCAACAGGAAGTCCTCAAGCTTTATGTCACAGTCGAGCCAGGGGTGTGTCCAGAAGCTAGTAGTGTCACCATTCCTTATGCTCCAGCAGCAACCACTTTTCATCAAAGGCATTGCTTTCACAATTGCCTTCCACAAACTCGAGTGGTTACTCTTTTTCATGGAGGTAATGGCACCCTCCTTGTGCTTGAAGTACTTCCCTTGGAGAACCTACACCCAAAGCTCATTTTCATTGTTAAGAATTTGCCACGCCAGCTTGATCATGTATGCCATGTTCATGTTGCGAGCAGAACGAAGTCCAAGACCCCCCTGACTTTTGGGCTTGCACACAGTACTCCATGATAAGAGGTGGGTTTTCTTCTTTCCTGCCTGTCCACCCCAAACAAACATCCTTATTTTCCTGTCAATTTCACCACACACAGCAATAGGAAGGGGTGAGGTTTGCATTGCATAATTAGGGATAGCATTCAAAACAGCCAAGGCTAAAGTAACTCTCCCAGCAAAGGAGAGTGTCTTAGCCTTCCAAGCAGTGAGCTTGTTGTCAATTTTCTCCAGGATGAATCTGTAGGTGCTTTTGGTGATTCTGCCATGGATGACAGGCATGCCAAGGTACCTCCCAAGGTCTTGTGTTTTTTGAATCCCAAGTCTAGAACACACCTCACCCCTAGTAGCTCTAGTCGTGTTCTTGGAGAAGAACACTATGGATTTCTCCTTACTAATGAGCTCCCCAGATGCCAAGCAAAACCTCTCCATACAAGTCATGACAACATCAGCATGTTTAGAATTGGCTTCAGCAAACAGCACCATGTCATCTGCAAAAAATAGATGGGAAAGAAGAGGGCCATCTGCAGACAGTTTCATAGGTTTCCAGTTTCCATTCTTAACCTCACTAAGGATACAATGGCTAAGTCTTTCAATGCACAAGGTAAACAGATAAGGAGAGAGGGGGCATCCTTGTCTAAGGCCTCTAGAGGGTTTGAAGCTCTCAGTAGCCCCCCCCCCCCATTCCAAAGAACCTGGAATCTGGTGGAAGTGACACAAGCCATGATGAGGGAGATGCAGCCATTAGGCAAGTGAGCTTCCTTCAGTGTGTCCTCCAGAAAATGCCATTCAATCCTATCATAGGCTTTGGACAAGTCAATTTTGAGCAGCATGTTCCCTTTCTTTCCTGATTTCTTGGACATAGAGTAACAATCTCCTGCAAAATAATAATATTGTCAGTGATGTGGTGTTTGGGCACAAAGCCTGATTGATTAGGATGAACAAGGTCAGGCATAAGGGCCTTCAGCTTGTTAGCAATCCTCTTAGCCACCACCTTGTACCCCACATTACATAGACTAATAGGTCTGAATTGGTTCATAGAACAGGGTCCTCCCACTTTAGGAATAAGAGCCAGGAGGGTTTCATTGACCAACTCAATTCTTTTGTGATCTCTGAAGCACATCTGGATAAAGAGGGTGAACTCCTTTTCAATGTGAGGCCAACATTTCTGGTAGAAGAGTGCCTGGTAACCATCCTTGCCAGGTGCTTTGAGGCCATTCATCTCCATAACAATGGCCCTAATCTCCTCCACTGTAGGCATGAATCCAATACATTGCAGCCTAGGTGCATCCAAGCGAGGGAAGTCAGCTGAGAGGGAGATTTCTTCTATTCTTTCTTCTTTTGAGTAGAGCCTAACATAGTGAGATCTAGCCATCAGCACAAGGGCCTCAGGATCAGTCACCCACTGCCCAGTGTCATCTTTCAAACTTAGAATTCTGTTGTGCTTTCTTCTACTGAGAGTTGAGTTGTGGAAGAAGCTTGTGTTCATATCCCCAAACACAACCCAGTTAGCTCTAGACTTCTGAATCCATAGTAGCTCTTCCTGCCAGAGGATATTTTCCAGTTCCTCCCTTGTTTCCTACTCTTTTGCAGTTGAGTTCCTGGTGGGATTCCTGCAGTTGATGAGCTCCAGTGATTTAAGGCTGTTAAGCAGCTCCCTTTTTCTCCTGAAAATATTACCAAAGACCTTTTGGTTCCAATCTTTTAGGTCTTCAGTGAGGCCCTGCAAAAGCACAGTGAAAGTCTGAATTTCTCTTCCAAACAGTTTGCAGGAAGGGGAAGAATTCATCATGAGTCAACCATGGTGCAAGAAACTGGAATCTTCTCACCGGTTTCTTATCTCCTTGATCAGTAGAACTGCAGGTCAGGATCGGACGATGGTTAGACTTGACCTTTGGGAGGTGTGTGACAAAGGAGGAGGGGAATTCCTTGTGCCAATCCAGGTTACAGATACTTCTGTCGAGTCTTTCCTTTAGGTTAGACTTGCTTGTGAACCACGTAAACTTAGGCCCTGTGAATCCTAGGTCCATAAACCCACAGTCATCCATACAATTTCTGAAAGCTTTGGTCTTGGCCATGTTAAAGGGAGCACCACTTTGTTTCTCTAACGATTTGAGGATATAGTTCCAATCACCTATGAGAAGCCATGGCCTGTCAACCTGCTGATCCATAACTCTGATTCCCTCCCATAAGGCTCCTCTCTCATGCTCATTAGGGCTGGCATACATCACCGAGAGAAAGAACACGACCCTGTCATTCACAACACACTTCAGATGGATAAATTGCTTGTGTTTATCAACCAGTTCCAGGTTGATATTCTTGCTGTTCCACACCACCCAGATTCCACCACTGAAACCAGTGGCATCAAACACCTCACTAGAATCATAACCCATGGCTTTGATTACCTCTTTGGCGTCTTTGCCACTAATTCTTGGCTCCAGAATACAGACAACATCAGGCAAATGCAAAGACTTGTAAAAGGCAAAGGTAGACTGAAATTTGGGGTGTCTAGCACCCCTGCAGTTCCAGGAAAGCACTTTAACCATATGATCAGGTTAAAAGACGTTTCCCTAGATTTTCTGAATCAAGATCAGCAATTATCGATGGCCATGGCCATCTCTTCCCTCCCTTGATCTTTGGCATTAGCACTGATCTCGGATGGAAATGCGCGCACTTTCTGGCAACTTAGCAGCTTCAACCGGAATCTGGTCGAAGTTGATCTTCTTTGGGCACCCAAGATCGACATCAGGGGATCCCACTTTCTTCTTTGCTTTCTCCTTACTTTCATTGCAAGGAGCTTCGGCCTTCATTTTTGGTTGGTGTCCTGCTCTAGCTCCCGAGGCTTGCCCTCTTTCATTTCCACAGCCAGGGGAGCCAGAGTGATATGTGGCCACTCCACTCTTTGGTTTGGCCAGCTTATGGTGGGGCGGTTGCTTAGCCTCATTTGCTTGTTTAGTGCTCAGGGCACTCTTGGGGGTGTCTTTGGCAGGGCGATCACCACTACTTCTTACTTGCTTGGGTGCGCTGACAGTCCTGCCAATGAGGGGTGGGGTACTTGATCCAGCCTTCTCCATCTTCTCTTTGTTACCTTCTCTAGTCTTCAACTCCTTCTTTGCCTTGCTCTCCTTCACATTTGATGCTTCACTGATTCCCTTCCTGGTTTTCTCAATCTATTTTCTCTCGGGAGGACTTGCTGAGTTAGTTGCCTCCATATTAGAATGTAATCCCTCTTCTTCATTGATTGCTGCACCAATATCTTCTTCAGCATCCATTTCCACTTCCCCATCGAGAACACTAAACCGAGATCCTTGCTCCCCTGGCTCTTCTCTCTTCTTTTCTTGGTTGTTGTTCTTTTGGTTACTCTGTTGCCTTGGTCTTCTTTTGGCCCTCGTCGCCAGCATCCAGGGCCCAAAGTCCTCAAGAATTTCAGGTCTAATCTTCTGCTCCTGGTGTGTCTCCTGTGTAGCTTTTGTTTTTTCCTCGGGGGTCGCTTCTGGGGGATGGACAAGGGGGCAAGAATACTCAAAATGGCCATAGCAGCCGCACCCAAAGCACACAGTGTGAAGCCCTTCATACTCCACTCGTCTGACCCTTCTTTTGATCCTGTACTTTGAAACAAGCCTTTTCCTTAGGTCGATCTCCACACAGATTCTTGCGTAGTTTCCTCTTGAACCATTGGCCGTGTTGTAGTCTATCTTCTCTACCCTTCCGATTCTGTCCCCAATACCCTGAAGGATTTCCTCATCAAAGTAAGCCAGGGGAAGTCGAAGAAGTCTTACCCAAACAGAGGCTTTGGTGATGGTGTCAAAATCAGGATCGAAATCCAGCCGCCATTGTTCCGCCGCAATGTAGTGGTCATCGATAGTCCATGGCCCTCCATACAGCGCTCGATCATGATCTAATTGAGAATCAAAGGAAGCCTGGAAGAAACCATTTCCAATGTCTCCAATTCGGACTCCTCCTGTTCTTGCCCACATTTTCTGGATACGCCGGTGAACAAAGGCAAAGGGGAGAGATTTTTCTAGCACACAGAAGGTAATTGCACGCCTCCATCGGTTTCTGATGCGAGCATCGATGCTTTTCTTTATCCGAATGGTGGGACAGTCAGGATCGTCTTCAGTTGATTCATCTTCCGATTCATCTGACATGAGCTCATCGCCATCTGGTATGTCAATCGACGGACCATTCCCCAAAAAGGAGTCCTTGTAGGAGATTTTGGGAATCTCATTCACCTGCACTGGCTCCATTGGGTGATCGAGGTTTTCCCCAGCCCCTTGAGTCTCCACAGCAACATCTTCAACGTTCTGGTAATGGGCTGTGGTGACAGAGATCACCATCTCTCCCCCCCCCCCCCCCCCCCGGAAAATCACTCACTCATGCTTGCTTTCGCTTTCTTGCTAGGCTGCGGCGGTGGCGTGAACGGCGGCGTTCCGTCCGGCGCCATCCCATCCGGCGGCTTCAGGCAATGGTCCGGTTCCGCCACAGGCGGAGCAGGCCCAACGGTCATTTTCCCCAGAGGGGGGAATACAACGTTCGAAATCCCTTAGGAGAGAGGGGAGAGCTTCCTTCTCTCTACTTTTTTCACTCTCTCTCTTCCTAGCAAGGTTGTCAAACCGGTTTATACCGTTGTGCCGGTTTGACAAGTGGAATGGTACGACCGGTGGTATAACCAGTTTGTGCCGGGTCATGCCGGTTAAAAAAAATGTGAAAACAATTAATATCTAATGTATTTAATCATATATAAAACATATTAGTGGACAATTTTGTTACAATTCAACAAATATTATCAACTTTTAGCTATTACATTCATAAAATGAATAATAAATTAATTTTTTTATTCATTAAGTTCATTAAAATGATGTCATTTTACTTAGATAGCGTAAGTCGATCATACCGGTCATACCGGTGGTGTCATGCCGGTTTCATGACCGGCACAGGTTGAACCAGGTTCAACCGGGTGGCATGCCACCGGCATGACAACCATGCTTCCTAGTCTCTCTAGTTCATAAAGTTTGACCATGCCCTAAAGAAACCATCAATGGAGCTTTTTTTTGCTTGTTTTCAATGAGCCTTGAAAACTGATTCAAAGGTACGTAATTATGGAGCAGTAGTAGTGAAGCTGAAGCAGCAGGAGAGGTGGTACGTACGTACGTGTGTAGGCATATATAGCAAAGGCCAGAAGAAGAAGACAGACAGACAGAGAAGGTACGTGAAATCGACAAGCCATAGATGGATGCTTGCTGATGAGATGTGCACGTACGTACGGAGAGGGCAAAGTCGGTAATTGGGGCATCTTTCCACTGGGAATCCTGTGGCTCAGGACGAGACAGTAACACATTCATCACCTCTCAGCCAATGAGAACTCGACAACGCAAAGTCCCCTTTTTTATGTTTTCCTTCTTCTGACCCAACGTAGCACCTTTTTTAATGACCAGACTTTGCCTAGTTTCATTTCATAGTACCCTCTGTTTTTTTTTTGTCCAGACATGATATGAGGTAAAAAAGTATTTGTTATGAGCTTCACAATTTGGTACCTGATATTAACTACGATTTACACCTTTCTCCCCAATTTATAACTTCCTTTGATGTTAGATCGTTTGGGGAAATAATTAATGTATAGTTCATGCATTTAAAGAATTGATCGATGTACTTTGTAGGTGGAGTAGTAAATGTCTAAAATGACATGTACTATTAGAATACATTGTTTGACAATGTATGAATTTGGTGGCATCCACGTAAATTGATATGAAATATCACATGTCTCGAGTAAACATAGAGCATTAAATATATATATATATATATATATATATATATATATCATGGTGAATTATATATGCAAAATAAATATCATGTTGACAAGAATTCTCAGGTAATATGATTTGTCAATATCGTGATATATATTTTTTAAAATGAAACAAAATACACCATTGTAATACGAGGTATCAGAGTCGGGAGGTAGATTACTAACTTAGTTGTCAAACCACTCCTTTGAATTCTCTAAGTTCATCAATATTGAAACACGAAGGAAAACTTGATCCAGTGATAAAATAGTGGGTACAACTATGGTGACATGCAAGGCACCCGTGACTTGCATAATTCGGTTGATCTATGTGCTCATTCGATCGATCGGTTACACCATCGTGGTCATTCTGATAGAAACTACGGTCGACTTTCTCTACGGTTCAACATGAAGATATTCCAAATTTAAATTTCTGGTGGACTTTCTCTACTTGGCAAACTCCCATCAGGGTATAGTAAGACAATAAGAGCTTGCTAGAGAAAAATGGTATACGCATGGGGATAGTGGAGTGAGTAGCAACATTAATTTTGTTCTCTCTAAAAAAAGGAATGCATGTTGCAGAAGAATAACAAACTTTAGAATCTTTAACTAGGAGAATTTTGCGTGTTTTTAGGATGAACGCATTTGTACTAAGAATATATTGTAGGAATAGATGTATTGTAATTTGTAACACTACATTATTTTGATTCTATCATCAATGGTGACTAAAATATTTTGCTCAATAACCACTTTTTAAGGCAAATGAGGGTAAACTAGGAATCATGGAAAAAGTACGGATCACAAAAGAGGAGACAATACAGCTTAATTATATATGAAGTATTTGAAAATTTGGCTCAAAGTAGATTTGTTTGCATCCTTGATTTCTTCAGAATGTTTTCTTGGAATATATATTATCTAGAATATATAAATGTTTAGCATCTAGAATATTTTTTATTTATTATAACTTTAGAACATAATGTTTCTATTAAAAATATATGGTGTTTTCATAATACATAAAAAGTGTATTATGAATCTTTTTTTTTTTGTAAAATCATAGTATACATGATTTCATATAATTTACAATACAATATTTTCATAATTAAAGGTTTCAAATAACCTCAATCCCCCAATAATATATAGTACACGTTTGTGTATTTTTCTCTATTTCAAATTTCCTACAACGAGAGTGAAAGTAGGAAGGACATTTTTGTCTTTACAATTAATTATTTATCTCACATTAAAAATATCAACATCAGGATTTGAACCTGGGTCTCTTTAAACAAAGACAACAATCACAACCATTTACACTGAACAAATTTGTTGTGTCATTTTGAATATAAAATATAAACGAAGTTCAACTATCTGAAAATCGCAGGACTTTCCATCATGATTAGCAAGCCCACTAAGTATAGCGTATGTTTTCTTATGGTGATTGATACTTCAATTTTCATAGTAGAGTTTCATGTAATTTTCTCAATTTTAAAATTCTTTCTCTCTCCTTAATTTTTGCTAAAGGTAAATTGGTAATTGGCTAACATGGAAAAAACTAATTTTGTCACTATGTGTTGTGTCTTTGCATTTTTCAATTTAAATTTTGTGGTTTTTATCTTTGTTTTTATTTCTTTCTAACTTCCTCGAAAATTTCCTCCATCGTACAATAGTTTGCGCTCCTTTCACTTCCTAGTACAAGGCGACCTTTGAAAATCGATCATTCGGTATCTCTTGGCACGCGGTTTTATTGTTGGGGATTTAAGTTGGGCAAGTAAAAGAGTTTAATCAATAATGGAGTTGCAGAAGGAGGATTCGAAATTGAATTTTTGGTTGAAACATATGTCTCTTGAGATAAAATTTCGGTTGTACAATGAAGAGTGGTGGCTATTGGATCTTTATGTTTATGATTTTTACATCTATCACAACCTATTTATATATTAAAACGAGGAATCATTGATTGATTTATTGAAGTAGGTCGATTCTTTATTCAACCTACTGGAACTGATAGACAAGGAGTGTGTAATTTTGTGCATTATTACTTTGATTGAGTCTATTAGTATGTTGGAGATAACCCTAATTTTGTCGTTTGCTCTCAAGTTTTGATGATCCCCTCTTAGCTGAGTTGTTAGTATATAGTTGACTTGAATCAACAACTCTCCATTTCTTTTTGATTAGTGACATATTGTTCATTAATGGAGCGCATTAAACCCTTATGTAGGATTGTGAGGTGATTTAGTTTCAAACTATCTAATGGTCGTGTGGAATTTCACTGAGCTTTTATACCCTCTTTCTTGACAATCAACTAACCAATAGTATTTTAACGATGGCTTAATTATCATTATGAAAATGAAATTAATGATACATTTTATATTTTATATTCTTAAATGATGATGGTATTTCTCCAAATGTTAGACCTACATATTCTTTCTTTATGTATCATCTCAATCGAAGGATTGTCAATAAAATTAAACCGGTTGATTGGCTTAACATAACATAAAAATATAAATAATCAAATAAAAACATTCCGGCCAATGGGCCGGGTTATAAGCTAGTGTTTCAAATACGGTAAAAGGAACATTTGAACACTAATTACCCACAAAAATGGACATGATATCATGAGGGCATAGTTATAAAGTAAACTAGTATTTTTGCATGGTAAAATATCTGCCTAAATTTCAAAATCCTAATTGGTGATAGATTATATATATATTTTTTTCTAACCTCACTTCATTCTTTATTATTAAATCAATAATTATCTTCTACCCAAAAAAATCAATAATTATCTAGTGATATCCCGCAATTCTCTTTTACTACTGATAAATATATATATCAGGACTCATACAATTAACAATATATCCTTTCTTAAAGTTTTAGGACCAAGTAGTAATATGCCAAGAGATTTAAACAAATTTAGAAGCTTGGAAAAAAAGCAGCAAGCAAGATAAAAAAACCTAGTAAAGAACCACAAAAAGTAGCAGTCACTCATTCATTCCCTTTACCACCATTCTAGCTATCCCTTTCCTTTCCTTCTCCTCCTCATCCTCCCATTCCATTCCAGTCCATTTCCTTCCCCTTTCCATGTTAAGCAATTTCATCCCCTCCCAACACAACACTGCACTAACCACAACCAAAACTACTTTGCTCTCCCCTCCATTCACAAAAATGGAAAAAACCTACTCATTGTGAATCTCTTATATAACAACCCTTTTCCTATTTTGCTCTATATTCTCATATTCTGCCTTCCTTGCACACCCTATTCACAGCAAAAAAAAAAAAAAAAAAATCCCCCTTGGGCAGAACCCAACTGCCCAACTTCTCCATATATATACAAGTACTCCTTTGACCCGCTGAACTACTGTATTTTAGCTTGTTTTTTTGCTGGTTTCCTTGTCTGGGTTTTCACTTAGAAGCTGCAAAGTTTGAAACTTTGGTGGAAAAAAAAACATGGGGAGAGGTAGGGTTCAGCTGAGGCGGATCGAGAACAAGATAAGCAGGCAAGTGACCTTCTCCAAGAGGAGGAGTGGGCTCCTGAAGAAAGCCAATGAGATCTCAGTCCTCTGTGATGCTGATGTTGCTCTTATTGTCTTCTCCACTAAGGGCAAGCTCTTCGAGTACTCATCCGATTCCAGGTACTTCTTCTTGCCATCTCTTTTCCACCTCTTGTTTAACTTAGAGGGTTTCTCTTTGTATAATATTCTTGGCATGTCATGTTCATTAATTCATCTGATACTTGTCGATCCTTTGTTGAGACTGAAATTCCCCCACCCATTTTTGGGTATAAACTTGATCCTCGATCGATCTCATATCTATGTGATATGGCAATGGGTGTTGCTTTGGCAGGGTACAGCTTGTAGTGTTATTAGTATATAATAATAATAATAACCTATTTCATATATTTGTGAGTGCTGTAATGATATATAAATATATTTCCAACAAGAAGGCCATGCTTTAACGTACGGATCCTTTATTCTCCCCATTAATTACTTACTACTGCTGCTGCTGCAAGCTGGTGGGAGATTGAAATGGGAGAAAGAAAGAAAAAAAAAGATTTGATGCAGTATAGAAGTAGTAGTAAGTACTGGGCCTTGAGCTGTGTGCTTTTGGGTCATTGGGTTTTGTGAATTTTGTAAATTTCATCTTCCCACTTTCCTTTTCCATATATGTTTTAAAACCTAGGATTCTGGGGAGTGGGGAGTTTTACTTAGTTGTTGCTGCTGCAACCCAACCTCGGATTGCTACCCTTCTCAACTATAGAAGATATAGTTGTACTATACATGTTAATGAGAGCAGATAGACTTGCTAGGCTAAACGAAGAGGGAAGCAAGTTGTGATGATCAGTTGCATTTCGTCAAAGATCCTCACTAGTTAGTTTAGCTCTGATTTTCTTTGCTAGGGCTAGCTGAAGGATAAACCTATGTTTCCCAGCTGATATGTTCATTCATTAGTTAGTTAGTTAGTTAGTCTCATCATATGTATGCTTGTGTTTTTAGGATGTTTCTATGTAAGCCTTAGGTTGATTTTTTTTTTATGGCTCTTAATTAATACTCCATAGGGGTTTAGTTCATCATTGCTGTGTCTGCAAACCCGTTGTTTTTGTTCGAGGATAGATAGCTTTGTATATCATGGTCAGCTATAGTTGCAAGTATAGGGTAGGGAAATGGTGTTGTCTAGTCTAGACCAGATTATAGTCCAAACAAGAGGTTGGAGTATAGACCAGGGATTAGAACAAATACTACTATATGGTTTAGAACATATCATATATGTCTGTGTTGATTTGACTTGAATCGGACTATCTGTCGCTACGATTGGAAGTCATGGGAGTCTTGATGTTATTTGGGTTTGTGTTTTGGGTCTGGTCTGTAACTGTTTTTCCTTTACCATATTGGATTAGGGTTAGACCTGGGAGAAGTGCTACAAGCACTTCTCATACTCCTCTGTAATCTATATCTCCTCGAAGTATAGTGAAACTGGCTCTCTCCTGCCGGTGGACTAGCTAAGCACGCATCGTGTTAGTGAAGCACGTAAATCGTGTGTCGTGTGTGTCCTTGTGTTTCGCTTTCTTGCTTTGTCGAATTCTCCTATTTCCCGAACCGCAGAGAAACAATCGTGATAGTCTGTGTGGCTTAGTATGGTCGGAACCAAACATATCACATTGAGCAAAAAATGAATAATTTGTTTGAACCACCACACAAAAAGTTTTTTGCCTTTAAAACCTAACTTCTAACACGCATGCCTAATTTGGATACTCTAAATCTAAGTGAATGACAAATAGATTAAGTTCGAGCAACCCAACTTTCACGATAACAGCATAAAACATTAACATAATTCCATATGAAGATGTGATCCTCTCTACTCTTAGGTGCAGTGTGATTTGTGAATAAATGAGGGTAAAGAATTTGCAAAGTTAAAGACTGGGACTTGAGTTTTGTTAATTCATCGCTGTCAAAGAGCCACTTGTAAGCCAATTAAGTACAAGTATCATGACATTTCTAATATAATTAATTCTTGAATAACTCTTAACAATTCAACTTATTAACAAAAAAAAGTATAATGATCATGGACAAACTTGAAGGTTGATAATGTTCAAAGTTCTGTTAGGACCTTTACATGCACCAAATGTAGGGCGTATTATGAAGGCACCCCAATACTATTCATTTTTGGATCTCACTTAATAATTCTAGTTATTGACAAAACAGATTTCAATAATTACAAGCATGTTATCTTTTTTTCTTCTTCTATTATATACATATAGATTGAGAGAACCCCCAACAGCTAATTAGCTTTGTAATAATGGGGTGAAGATAACATCCACTATTTATAGGGGTGGCTATACGGTCCGGTCCGGTTAAATTGGACCAAATTGATCTGCTCCCAGTCCGGTCTTTTCGGGAATATAAGGACCAAAGATTGGATTAGATATAGTCTGGTCTTGACCCGGTCCGGTCTCAATTTTATCTTGATTTTAGGTGTTGGTGGTCTCTTATCCGGTCTTTATCCGGTTTTTTACCTCAAATCTAAGCCCTAATATGAGAGTGCATTGTTTACTATCCGGTCCCAGTCCGAGTTATACGGTCCGGTTTCGGGTAAAACCAAACAGTCCGGGACCAAATAGCCAGCCCTAACTATTTAGTTAGTTGAAACATGCAGCTAGTTGCATCTCTTATTAATTGATCAAACATAAGATCAGTAATACTAATATGGGTGCCTTTTTCTCTTGTCTATAAATGGTTAAGTATGGATTTGAAAATCTTGACTAGTTAATAACGTTTAATAATAATAATAATAATAATAATAATAATAATAATAATAATAATAATAATAATAATAATAATAATAATAATAATAATAATAATAATAATAATAAGGGTATGGTTTGTCTTGTTATGCTGGTGATGATGCAGCATGGACACTATACTGGAGAGGTACGAGAACTATTCATATGCAGAGCGACACCAACTTCCTATCAACGACCCTCATCTACAATCGGTCTCTCTCTCTCTCTTTCTCTCTCATCAAACTATATATAGCAACTTAACATTACTGTTCATAATCATAGCAAGATGCAAGATTAGGGCAAGCTGGAACTGGGCTAGCAATTAATTCATAATAGTTTAGTACTGATGCATGGAAATTTTTGGGTTTTGGGAACTAATAATTAACAGGGAAGATGGTCCATGGAATGTCCTAAGCTCATGTCTAGGATTGAAGTCTTGCAGAGAACCATAAGGTAATTAGGTGACTTGGCAGTTGGATATCAGTTTTTATTTTATTTTTTTTACTCTAGGGGTAATTAATTAAGTGGGTGGCATTTTTCTTTATTGTAGGAACTTGGCAGGAGAAGAAATTGACCCCATGAGTTTAAGAGAGCTTCAGCAGCTGGAGCAGCAGATTGATACTGCTCTTAAGAGAGTTCGTTCCAGAAAGGTCTAGCTTAGCTAGCTAGCTTCATGCATTATGTCACAGTTGGATTTTTAATATGTTTGCTCTTGATCTTCTTTTCCTTAATAATTGGGTGATGAGTCCTAACTAATTTGTGCCCCTCTCTCTGCTCCCATCCCATCTTCAGAATCAACTCTTTCATGAATCCATCTCAGAGCTCCAGAAAAAGGTACGTACATTCCTTTGTACAATAATTTACTTTTGATTGATTGATTCTGAATGCAAATCCAAACGTACCGAATTAAAAAAAAAAAAAAAAACTAACAATAACCCTAATAAGAGTTGGATGCTACTAATAAATATAATAATCATAATGGTAATGGAGACCCGGTTTCCCTCTCTTAGGCTGAAAATGAATTATGTATACATACAGTAGTACAGTATCGTTGGCTTCTGATTTGGCTTTTGCAGGAACGTTCGTTGAGTGAGCAGAACGGCGTGCTATCCAAGAAGGTAAGTAATTGATGTGCCTTAGCTAACACAAATGCATGCAGTAGCAGCAGCAGCCAGTTAAAAGTGAGCTATAGCCTGATCAGTAAGCGCGTTCCGTTTGTACCAACAGCTGAAGCATAATGAGAAGGAGTCGAGCACTGGGGATGAAGATGAGCAGTCAGAGCAACAACAACAGCAGCAGCAGAGCAATGGTGAGATGGGCTTATCCCAGCAGTATTTTGTGCCGCCGCAACCAATGCAGATTCAACGTCAGCTAGGTGCTGCATCCACTTCGAAGACTACCCAGCAGCAGCAGCAGATACCGCTTTGGATGCTTCCTTTTGTTCACGAATGAATGCTACGACGTCGTACCCAGATCGATCGAGCAATTGGTTAGAGTCATGATGAGCAGTTCTTAATAATTATGTGGGGAAAAATAAAAATTAAAGAGCAGTGAATAATTAGAATGCAACTAATTAACTAATTAATTAAATGTGGTGTATCCATGTGGCACCTGTCCATTCTATTGTATGATGATGTGTAATTGTAATAATCTATAGGTAAGTGCAGAAAATCCAAGATCTCTTGTTTCGCCCGTTTAATACTGTATCCAAAGATTGCAGAACCTAATTAAGGAGATTTGTCTGGACATTGCTGTTTGTTTTGGGCGTCTGCTGGCATACATGTCTTTAATGTTATAAGATGATGCTACTCGACATCTGTTGATTGGTAATTTTTAGCAATGGTACAACTTCAAATTGTACTTACACTTTTTTTTACAAATTCTTTTATAGTAAAACTTGTATATTTATGTGATGATACAACTTCAAGTTGTACTAAGAAGTAGAAATGAAAGAAGAGGAAAAGGAAGCAGCTGCTAGGTTTAGCTGCTGAAAGATTGGAGGGGAAATCTCAGAGGAAGCTGTATGCTTCTCTGTTCCTTTTTATACCAACAGAATTCAACTACAGTAAAAACGGAAAGGAAGTTTAAAACTGTAATTTAAATGTTACTGTGCCTAACACGTGGCAACAAACAACCGTCCAACACTTAACGGCTAGCTAGTAACGGAGATAATGAAAACGGCATCGGATTGAACAAACGGCTGCGTATCACTCTTCTTCAACCTTCGTCTTCCCTCTGCCTTGGTTCTCCAGCTCTGCACAGCAGGGTTCATCAATCTCCTCTAATACTCCCCCACAAGTTGGCGAGTGTATATCCAAAACTCCCAACTTGCTAAGTAGAAACTTCAGCCTGTATCTTGTCATGCCTTTGGTAAACAGATCTGCCAACTGATCTTCTGTTCTGACATGTTCAAGCTTGATTAATCCAGATTTCAACCTTTCTCTTGTAATGTGACAATCAATCTCGATGTGTTTCGTTCTCTCATGAAACACGGGATTTTCAGCTATATGGATAGCTGATCTGTTGTCACAATAAACCTGAACAGGTAGAGGAATTTTGACACCCATTTCTGCAAGCAATCCTTTCAACCACTGCAACTCACAAACCAGGTGTGCTAAGGCTCTGTACTCGGCCTCAGAAGATGATCTAGAAACTGTACTCTGTTTCTTAGACTTCCAGGTTATCAGACTGTCCCCAAGTAAGGTGCAATACCCTGTGATTGACCTCCTTGTGTCAGGGCAACTTGCCCAATCAGAATCTGAAAAACCTCTTAACTTCAATTCACAATCAGATTTAAAAAGCAATCCTTGTCCTGGAGCATGTTTCAAATACCTTAAAATCCTATAGGCAGCCTGCAAGTGCTCACTATATGGATCCTTCTGGTATTGGCATAATTGCTGAATAGCAAATGTTAAATCTGGTCTAGTGATAGTAAGGTAGTGTGATCTTCCTACTAACCTTTTGTAAACTTCAGGATTAGGAAGAGGCTCCCCTTGCTTAGCAGATAGCTTCAACTTGTAGTCAATTGGTGCCAAGCAATCCTTTGCTTCCAGATATCCAGTATCTTCCAGCAATTCCATACAGTATTTCCTTTGGTTCACATGAATCCCATTTACATCCCTATAAACTTCCAGGCCAAGGAAAAACTTTAGATCTCCAAGATCCTTCACCTTAAATTCTCTTCCCAAGAACAATTTCAATTGTTCTATATCTCAAGGAGGCTCCTGCAATCAGTATATCATCTACATACACCAGAACAATCAACATTCTTCCCTGAATTCTCTTAACAAACATTGAATAGTCTGAAGCAGTTTGAGCAAAGCCATTTTTCAACAATGAACTAGCTAATTTGGCAAACCACTGCCTGCTGGCCTGTTTTAGTCCATAAAGGGACTTCTTTAACTTCAGTACCATCCTCTTGTCAGGTAAGTTCATCCCTGGTGGTGGCTTCATGTAGACTTCTTCATTTAACTCTCCATGAAGGAAAGCATTTGATACATCCATCTGATGTATAAGCCAGTCATTAGCAGCAGCCACAACTAACAAAACTTTAACTGAGTTAATCTTGGCTACTGGTGAAAATGTATCCAAGAAATCTATCCCATAAATTTGAGTAAATCCCTTGGCCACTAATCTGGCCTTAAACCTCTCTATGGTACCATCAGCTTTAAGTTTCACCTTATACACCCATTTACAACCAATTGCCCTCTTACCAGTTGGCAAATAAGCTGGTTCCCAAGTCTGGTTTGCTTCAAGAGCATCAGATTCATCCTTCATGGCCTCCCTCCAACACAGTTCTTTACAGGCTTCTTCATAAGTTTTTGGTTCAGTAACAGCCATGGCACTCATCACATAAGTTTTATGTGCAGGTGGGAGTTTGTCAAAAGTGACATATTTATCCATGGAGTATTTGCTAACTGCTCCAACCTTGTAGTCTTTGTGCCAAACTGGCACTGTTCTGATTCTGTCAGATTTCCTTAACTCAGGACCACCTTCTCCATCCTCAAATTCAAGTTGTGCAACTAACTCATCCTCCCCTTCAGAGTTCACTCCTGAAGACTCTACTGCTTCACCAACAGAAGAAGCAGGCAATGTGTCTGTGGCAGAAGGAAAAGAAGTTGAGGAAGAAGGAGTAGAGGAAGAAGGAGGTGAAGTCTGAGAAGGTATGGAAGAGGAGAGAAATGGATCAGGAGGAATCGGATTATTGGGAAAAATTGGTGTATTGCTAGAATAAGTAGGCTGTGGTGGTGAAGAGGTAGGAACAGAAGTAGAAGAAGAAGGATCTAAGAAAGGAATAATGGTCTCATAAAAGACCACATGTCTGGAAACAAAGGTTTGATGTGTGTTAAGATCAAAGAGTTTGTACCCTTTGATCCCTGGAAGGAAGCCAAGAAAGACACATTGCCTAGCTCTAGGACTGAATTTGGTTCTGTCTCTCAACAAGGTAGAGGCATAACATAAGCAACCAAAAACCTTTAATAGATCTAAGGCTGGTTGTTTATGATACAGTAACTCAAAGGGTGAGACACCATCAGTTACTGGTGAAGGCAATCTATTAATTAAGTAGACTGCATGCAGGATGCAATCACTCCAAAAATGAAGTGGCAATCCTGATTGAAAACGTAAAGCTCTGGCAACATTGAGAATATGCTGATGCTTCCTCTCAACTCTGGCATTCTGCTCAGGAGTTTCCACACAGGAAAGCTGATGTTCAATCCCAAAAGCATTGTAGAAATCAATCATGTGAAACTCACCCCCCTGATCACTCCTTATAACCTTAACAGTTTTGCTAAACTGGTTCTGAATCATAACACAAAAAGATTCCAGAAGATGAGAAGCTTCTGACTTATGTTTCATTAAAAATACCCAAACACTGCGTGTATGATCATCCACAATTGAAAGGAAATAAGAAAAGCCATCATGTGACTTAACAGCAAGAGGTCCCCAAATGTCTACATGAACCATATCAAAAGCAGAAATTGCTCTACTGTCACTAATAGGAAAGGGCAGTTTCTTTTGTTTTGCCAAGTGACAGGTTGGACAATGTTTAAAAGAAGTTCTATTACATCCAGTAGCTTGATTCTCTCTGTCTCTACTTGGATGCCCCAGTCTCCAATGCCAAAGGTCTATTTGGTGAGGAAGGAAATTGTAGGTGGTTGCTACTTGGTGGGATGAGATGTCAGATGTGGATCTTGATGGAAGAGTGAGGTGGTAGAGTCCCCTATCTTGTTTTGCTGAACCAATCAGGTTCTTGGTTGTTTGGTCCTGAATATGACAAGAGTCAGATTCAAATAACAAGGAAATGGGAAGGTCATGGGTAAGTTTGCTAATGGAGACTAGGTTAAAAGTGAAACTGGGAACTAGTAGAACATCTTGTAAAATCAACCCATTTGGTATTTGGACTGAACCTATATGACTCACTTCCACTTTAGAGCCATTAGGTAGATAAACAAACTGATTTGAAACTGATCTAGCTTGTTTGAACACAGCAAGAGTGCATGCTATGTGGTCTGAAGCACCACTATCTAAAATCCAGACTTGAGTCAGGGCCATCAAACCATGTTGAGCATAAGAAGAGAGAACATATTTACCAGCATAGTTGGGTTGAGATGGTAAGTGTTGTGAAACTGAAAATGAGGCATGCTTGATAGAAGGGGATAATGGTGGAGATGGACTCATGCTATCAGGCTGTTGTAGAAGTTGCCTTAACTTGTTCAGTTCTTCATTAGTAAAACTGAGGGATCCAGTTGAAGAAGATTTGCTTTCATAACCAGCACTTTGTCCTGAGGAAATGGAGTCACCACTTTGTGAATCTGATTGGGAGACAGAACCAACAAATCCACCTCCTTCAGCCATTCGTGCTTTCTTGTTCTTCAACCTATAGCATTCCTCCTTTAGATGACCACTCATCTTGCAATATCGACAGAACTTCCCTTCTCTAGCATTCTCATACTTAGTCTCCTTGTTAGAGTTCAAATTCTTGTTCTGATCAGACTGTCCCTGTGCAGCAAGTGCCACTGACTGAATACCCCTGGTGCTTCTCCCTTTATCACCTTGTAACTTCTGCTCATGTTGTAAAACATCATCCAAAGCAACTTCCACAGCAGGCAAGGGTTTCAGCATGAGTATTTGAGATTGAATCACATCATAGTCTGATTTCAATCCCTTCAAAAACTTAATCAGATAGTCAGTTTCAAGCTTCTGCTTATAAGCAACAACTGCTGCACAAGGTCTAACTCTTACAGCTAGACAATCACATTCAACCACAGGGCTATACTGCTGAATCTCTTCCCATAAACCCTTAAGTGTGATATAGTACTGAGTCACACTCATATTACCTTGCTTATAGGCAGCCATTTCATCCTGCAAGTTAGATAGCTTGATGGCATTAGACCTGCCAAAGCGAGCCTTCAATTCGTCCCACACAACTTTTGCATTTTCATGCTGTAAAACACTCCTGCTAATGTCTTTATGTACTGAATTCAGAATCCAACAGAGAACCATAGTATTTGAAGCATCCCATAAAACGAAATTAGGATGAGTATGATCAGGCATTGGAAGTGTGCCATCAATGAAACCCAGCTTATGCTTGGTCTTGAGAGCCATTCTTACAGCTCGCTGCCAGGTCTGGTAGTTAGATCCATCTAGGGTTTCAGCAACGATGGATTGGCCTAGGTTTTCACTAGGATTAATGTAATAGGGACTTCCAAACACCAGACCCAGATGAGTATTGTTACCATTCTGCTGTTGACGAGCATCCGCACCAGTATTGTTGTAGATCTGGCCTCCAGCACCACTTGACTCAGCGTTGAAAGTGCCAAATGGTATGGATCCTGAGTTTTGAGAACCTGGTGGAGTTTGTGGAGGTGGATTGTTCGCCATTGCAGACTATGAAGCGGAGAGATGGATCAGCGCCGCTATGATACCATAAGAAGTAGAAATGAAAGAAGAGGAAAAGGAAGCAGCTGCTAGGTTTAGCTGCTGAAAGATTGGAGGGGAAATCTCAGAGGAAGCTGTATGCTTCTCTGTTCCTTTTTATACCAACAGAATTCAACTACAGTAAAAACGGAAAGGAAGTTTAAAACTGTAATTTAAATGTTATTGTGCCTAACACGTGGCAACAAACAACCGTCCAACACTTAACGGCTAGCTAGTAACGGAGATAATGAAAACGGCATCAGATTGAACAAACGGCTGCGTATCACTCTTCTTCAACCTTCGTCTTCCCTCTGCCTTGGTTCTCCAGCTCTGCACAGCAGGGTTCATCAATCTGCTCTAATACGTAATATAACGGTACAAATTCTTTTATGGTACAACCTGAACTTATACATTTAACGTTATGGTACAACTTCAACATGTTAACCTAAAATATTACATTTGCTAACTCAAACTTTTTGTCCCAACAATAGCGCGGAAATGTAAAATAACGGGGTGGGGTGCCGGAATTAGAATTACCGCATCTGTGGATTTTTGTCCCAATATCTGGGGTCCAATTTCCACATGATTTTTGTTCATTCAAATATGGAAATTGAGTCCAATTACTGCATTTTGAAGGATTGAGTCAAATTCCTACGCTGAATTATCACAGCCAAACAACCCATATATATTATGAGTAGAGGTGGCAATTTTAATCCAATCCACCAATCCAATCCATCAATCCATTAAAAATATCCACCTAATCCAATCCATTTAAATCCAATCCATTTTATCCAAATCCAATTGGATTGGTGGATTCATGGATTGGATCCATGGATCATTGGCAAATTACGGTTTAGTACCTATAATTTTTATTTTTCACATTTTGGTACCTAAAATTTAATTTTTTATACGAAAAATATCATTGGAAAATTACGTTTTGGTACCTAAAATTTTTCATTATGACATTTTAGTACCTAAACTTTTTACATTTTACATATTAGTCCTTGGTTGAGGATGTCATTTGGATTCATGGATAATCCACCAATCCACTTGATCCAATCCATGAATCCACCAATCCATTAGATCCAATCCATTTAATCCATGGATCCACCAATCCAATCCACCAATCAACCAATCCAATCCATTTGCCACCTATAATTATGAGAATATGATGTGGCGATTAAGGGGTTAATTGCATGGTTGGTCACTGAGATTACAAAAAACGTTCAAGTTTGGTCACTCGAAATATTTAAATCCATTGGTGATACTTAAGTTTACTGAATTTTGCTCAAGCTGATGCGCTCCCTCTTGCAATCGAGAAGGCTTATGAAGGTCTGGAGAGAACTGGGTTCTCTTCTGGGAAATCGATTTTGGTCCTCAATGGCGCTGGTGGTGTGGGAAGCCTTGTGATTCAAAGGTTGAAATTTTTGATAATCAATGTTTGTATAACTTGCATTTCTCTGAAGTTTGAAAGGTCTTGAGGGGTTTGTTGATTGGGTAATAACATTTGCAGCTGGCGAAGCAAGTGTTTGGAGCATCAAGAGTTGCAGCCACTGCCAACACAGGGAATTTGATCAATTGGGGTTACTGAAGAAATGGGTAATTGGGTACTGGTGGTATTTTTGCAGGGCAATGACCGGAGTAGTGACCGGACAGTGACGCCTCCAGGTTTCAGATTTGTGGTCGCTTCCAATGGAGAGGTTATGAAGAAACTCAACCCTTATCCGGACAGTGGTAAGGTGAAGGCAGTGATTGATCCCAAAGGCAGTAATCATTTTTAATTTTATTATTTTTAAATTGCCACGTCACACATTTAACGGTCAACTTTTAGATTGACCGCCACGTAAGCAAAAGTTAACTGATTTGGACGGAGAGTGACCAAACGTGAACGATTTCAGTAAACTTAAGTATCACCAATGAATTTAAATATTTCGAATGACCAAACTTGAACTTTTTTTGTAATCTCAATGACCAACGATGCAATTAACCCGGGGATTAAGTTAAGTTTTCAGAGTTAACCAATGACCACGTGAAAACCCTCAACTAATGTTAAATTTAAGATGATGTGCACTTTATTTGTGTTAGCCATAATATAATGAATTTGCCTACGTGGAAATCAGTATGGCATCAATATGTCGGTAGAAATTTTGAATATCAAATAATAGTCTAAATTCAATCTCAATCTCAATCCTATAATAAATTGGATTGAGATTTCAATCTGTAATATTTTGTTTGATATTATTATATACCAAATTTGTTCCTTTCAAAATTACCAATAAAACATATAAAAGCAAATATTTTTATCTACTAGCACTCCACTAGGGATGGCAATGGGTCGGGTCGGGGGCGGATAGTGCATATCCGTTACCCTACCCAATGTAGTTCGGGTTTTACCCATACCCGTACCCATACGAGAAACGGGTAGAAAATCAAAACCATGCCCATGCCCGTTCGGGTTTCGGGTATCCACGGTTATCCATGGGTAATAATTTCTCCTTATAATTCCAACCAATATGTTAACTTTCACACGTATATTCACATTACGTAAGAGGAAAAGTACGACAATAATTCACTAGAATGACGAAAATTAATTAAAACAACATAATTTCATGAAAATATTATATTTATATACTAAATATAAAATATTCTAAGGAAAAATAATGAATATTTCTAGACAAAATACATATGCATGTGTATAATCGGGCGGGTTCGGGTTGGATAGTGAGATAACCATGCCCACCCATTACCCGCAATATTCGGGTTCGGGTTTTACCCGTACCCACGAAAAATGCTTCGGGTTCGGGTTTTACCCTACCCGATTAGGTCGGATTCGGGTGGATATCCACGGTTACGGATATTTTTGCCATCCCTACACTCCACAAAGCATTTTCAAAATATATAGAAGCAAAAAATGATATCAATACTCGTGCAAAACAAATGGAAAAATCTCAATTATAATAACAATAAACTAGAAAATATGTGATGTGTAGCACGTAATTAAACAAACTAAAATAAGCGACGACTAAGCAGTCTAGATACATACTACATTAATGAAATGGGTTTGGTGTGGGTAGGGGTATGCAAAGTTTTGGTTCGTAGTGGACCACACCAGACCAAACCGACGTTTATTAATTGACCGGATCAAACCCGACCAAGTGCAATAATGGTCCGGTCTTTCGTCCTAAGATGCCTTTCACTTTTGGACTGCGGTTCTCATACAGACCAGACCGTTGCACACCCCTAGCTAGGTCTAGGTTGTCTAATACAGAGGGAAACTATGTATAATTAAGTGGTCATTTTGGTGGTTGCTGATCTAGTAACAATGATTAAAGGAGCCTTGTTGGGAGGGTTAAAGCACGCACTAGTTTATATTTCAATATCTTTCTGTATTTCAGTATATACTAATCTCAACCTCATAATCCCTAATAAAAAAAAAAACACTTGAATTTCAATCCCATGAAATAATACGTTCATTCAGTAATATATCATAAACCAAATTTAGACAAATTCGATATAGTATTCTGTATATCCAAACTCTTATACCAAACTTCAAACCCTACTCACTAGGAAGGATTGTTGGCTTTCAGCTAGTCATAGAATTGAGTCCTGAGATTATGTGCAACAAGTTCATTGTCCATTATACAAGAGTTGCATAGAGATGCAACTGAAAAGGCGGTCTGTCTAGGCGAACCATGAAGTGCTCAGGGATAAACCCTAGCTGTCATGAAAATGTGACAATCCCTGCAGGCTCGCCCGTGTTGTATTATGTGGAGAATTTCTGCTGACAGAATTTATGACATTAGATGCATGATTGTGACATTAGTTAAATGGAATACACTGTTCAAGCAAGCGTCAATGCTGCCTTCTAGCTTAACTTCTTGGAGTCGACTCCGATCCGTACAGCATCAGAAGTCAGAACAGGAAGATCGTCATCAGTAGAACAAATCCGAAACCACAGAATTAGATTGTACATTAATTACACTACTTAATTCCAGCATATATACAAGTTCAGTACTTACAGACTTCCAATCACTATAATAATAATTCAAGTTAATTCACAGCAATGGGTAGACTATGTAGTCATCCAAGTGTCAGTAATACATACAGCTACATACGAGATGGAACAGCAGCATATTGTGAGGACACAATAACCGGAAGTTCGACTCAACATATTAGTTGGCCGCTTCGTGTTCCAACAATCACAGAGCTACAATACTTACAGATGCTGACACTGCAATCAGCACCTCTGGTTCATAATAGGGGAAGGACTATTCACAGAAAATCAGGACCAATTCTTAATGAGAGGTTCAGTGCTCACTGGTCTTCATCATCGTAGTTTTGATCTCCGATGTCAACCATATGCTGTCTGCAAATACAAAGAAGAGTCATTGGCAAAGATCTCAGATCCAAAAATGATCACAGGAAGCTGAGCAAATAGTTTGAAGCAAATGAAGCCTTACCTCAATCGTCCACAGAGACGAGCTAAAGCATCAGCCCCAGTTCGGGAAGCAACATCTTCAATCTGTGATGCGTTCGATAACTTTACCTCGTCTGCAAGTCTAAACTCACAGAGTTCCTTTAAGGAACAAGCATCGGTCAGCACAGCTGAGTGACCACCCCCAGCAGCTAATTTCCGGACTGCCCCTACGCACCTGCAAATTATGGAGAGCTCGGTCAACATTCAATAAAAATTAAAACACAAACTAACACCGGCTAACCACCAAAGGGTTTTGATCCCTACCAATCAACTGGCGATGGATACCAAGCATAAGTCGATTTCTCATTTGATGCCTGCCCATAGCTATTGTAACCCCATCCCTGTATCCTTCCATCGCTCAAAGAAGCAAGTGTATGAGAATGTCCACAAGCTACATGTTCAACGCCATTTGGAACAACCACAGCAGGGATGTTTCGGAGGAAGGATTCAGAATCACTTGGAATGAATGAGAATGATGAAGTTTGGGGTCCCAAGCCTAGTTGACCGGCTTGACCACCACCCCAAGCGTATAGAGCTCCCTTCTCAGTAACTGCACAGGTATGCACTCCTCCGCAGGCGACATGCTTTATGACAATACCATCAAGGGAAACCACTCGCCGTGGTAGTAACTCTTTATCCCCAGATTGGAGGGAAGTGTGCCCAAGTTGGCCCATACTTCCGAGCCCCCAAGTGTAGCTGAAACAATACAAAAAGAAAAGGAAAGGGAAGTTCATGAAGAGGGAATCAACTATGTGCATCTGAAACAATAGATTTTAAAACATCTGGGATGAGTTCATTTGGTCGAAGCTGGAAAGGATATAAGGGCAGCTATAATATTCAAATAATATCTGTGTAATTCTATGGTAATGGCTTGTGTACAGCTAGACAGAAGCAATGACAAAATAGTTCGGAAGAGAGGACACAAGGATATCAACTACTAGTTGGAAATGAACAATTAAACAAATGAGGAATTTATGCGATCAAGCAAAGGGGTAAGAGACTTGCGTATCAGAATTTCCATTGCACCCCAAACTCTGGAGAGTCCCGCAAGGAGATATTTTCCAAGCTTCACGGAAGTTGCATGAGTAATGAGAATAACCACGATTCTCATGTTAATAGTAAGACTTTATCTCCATCAACAGAATCATACAGAGACTTACACCTCGCCCATTTCACATAACGCAGCTGAGTGGTACTCCCCACATGACACTTCAGTTACCCTCACTGGCTCTGGAGCATCATCAAGAAATTTTGCATAAGCAGTGATGACACGAGCAGCTTGCAGGCCTTCACAAGTGACGCCATGACCAAGCTGGCCATATTCATTGTATCCTGATTATTCATGAACCAAATAACAAGAAATCCATGACTAGTGAGATGGTTGGTTGCTTGCAGGCCTAGTGTTTGTATTTAAATTTCCAGTGTAGGATCAAACGGCTACAAATGGAGAAGAAGCAAATTCAGTCAAAAGAGGGAAAACTTTATATTATTACCCCAGGATTGTAGCATTCCATCTTCTGATAAGGCCACTACATGAACTGCACCACAGGATACCTGGCGGATCATCTGAAAAAACCCCGAGAGAGAGAAAGCATATGGATTAACTTACTAATTCAAAGTGCTTCATTCCAGTTGTAGGGCTGCTCAAGTCCAAGCAATCATTTACTAATACATGCCAAGCCTCATACAGATTTGCATGAATACCCAGAAACTAAAGGGATTCCCAGATATTTACTAGGTTGCCAGTACACCAGCCTAACCCCAGGAACATAAAACTCAACTCAACGCATACCGTGTCAGGTTTGAAGGCACCCCAAAACAGACGCGGAGAATTGGACCCCTGGAACAAGAAGAAGAAATCACAAGAAAGCTAAGGCCTAGAGTTTTGACGAAATGAAACACCTTCACGCAAAACAGAAGGCATTGGTAAAATCTAAGCACCTGGTTCTGTCCCCAAATCCATAGCCTACTTTTGGAGATGGTTCCATCATTATCACGCGGTTCTGCAATAGCAGCAGTGCAATGTGCCCCACAAGCTACAGATTTCACAAACTCGGACTCTAATTGCTTTACTCTCTTAGGGTACTTCCTCCCCTCTTCAGAGCCATCCCCCAATTGACCAAATTCATTAGCCCCTAGACAAAACAAAAGTTGCATGTATGATCCTTCTAACCAAAACCATGATTAAATTATAGAAATTGGATTACAAAGACAAAAAGAACAAAGGATATGCAATGCAGAAGACAATCTCTTGACGTCTCTCATAACCAGAGCAACAAAAAGTTTCACCATTTTGAGCAATATAACCGTTATTCCACAGGAAATTGAGAATCTGCGATAAAAACAATAGAACTGAAGATAAGAGCAAGAGCAAGAGAGCAAACCCCATGTGAAGAGCGATCCATCGGAAGCAACGGCGGCGGTGTGCTCCCGACCACAAGCTATATCCAACCACCGGGCGTTATTACCAGCGGGACAACCGAATAGCTCAGGCGGCAGCTGCTTTGGGATACGCAATTGCCGCTCTTTATCCTTCCTTCCCGTTTGCCCGCTATGGTTATATCCCCACACATAAATTGCGCTCTTGGTTGGTACTAGGCTTCCTGGCTTCGAGCTCTCCCCAAGTATCTCGTTGATATCCATCGACAATCGATTCGATTGTTCTCAATCTCACTTATAATTGATTTACGCTACACAAATCAGAAATGACAATTAGAACCCTTCAAGAAAGATTATGAGCTGGGTTTCCGAAAAATTCTTGAACTTTGGCCACTTGGATGGGAAGATTGTAATGGGTTGCTGGGAAAAGAAACTTCTTTTGAGAAAAGAAAACTGCGCAAGGAAGGACGGTAGAGAAAAGATGTTGTTACCTTTAAGAAGCGTTGTTGCTTGGGATAAAATGGTGGGATGTCGGACAAGTGGTAGATCGCAATCTATATGGAGATTTCACGGTTGAACCCTTTTACGATCATTTTCCGACGGCTCACGACGCAGCGAGAAAGGGCAAATACAGGGACAACCAAAGGAGAAGATAGTGCAACTAACAGGCCCAAATGGATCAACGGCCCAACCGAGTCCTGTAACGATGGGAAAATCAATCTAGTTATGCTCCTAATAGGCCATTTTGTTAGAAGATACTGACAGGGTAGGATAGATGGCCACGTCGTCGAGCCGGATCGGACGGTGGAGGAGGATTGGCTCCGACCTGTAAAAGGAAGAGAGCCGAGTCCATCGGCTGCTCCAATTCCACTATCCAAAGGGGCCCACAAATTCAAAAAAATCACTGCCTTTTCTAAGTCTCCTTTCTCTCTTCAAATCACTTAGTCAGTTTTCATTCTCTCTCCTCAAAAACTTTTTTGTTTCCTCCTCCCTTTTTCTCCCAATAATCACCAGAACCACTCTCCGACTCTTACGAAGCATACGACGGCGACTGTGAAAACGACGGTGACGACGGTATCGCGACAAGGAAGAAGTTGTCGGCGACGGTAGCCGTGCTTGAAGGAAGAAGACGATGGTAACCGTGCTTTTTCCTCTCTCTCTCTCTCTCTCTCTCTCTCTCTCTCTCTCGTCTCTATTTCATTCTTCACCTTGCTTATTGTGATTCAATCGAGTTTCTGAAAGCGATTGTTCTATTTTTTCTTTTGATTTTGTTTCTTGGATTCTCATTTTGTGTTTCAAAGAAATAAGTAGTGTTTGAAGTTAGGGTTTCATGGATTCGACTAGATCTGGGTTTTCCTTTTCTGCGTTTTTTGTATGAGTTTGATGGATTTGTTTTCTGGTAACTTAGATTTGACTGGATCTGGGTTGCTTTCTTTTGTGGATTATGTGGATATGTTTTCTGGGTTTGTGGATGTGACTGGATCTGGGTTGATTTGTTTGTGGATTTGATTGGATCTGGGTTGCTTTGTTTTCTGGGTTTTGTGGATATGTTTTGTGTGCGTTCCGATATTAGTTCTGTTCGGGCAGGATATCAATTTTTAATTGCCTGGATAGTTGTTTGATATATCTGGATATTCCTACATTGATATTGGTTTTGGTCGACCATGATATCATTTGTGAATTGCCTCGATAGTTGTTTGATATATTTGGATATGACTTGTTTGATATTACTTCTGATCGTTGGGGTATTCGTTATGTGAAGTCCAGATATTGGTTAGCTAATGTCAGGATATTCTACTGGGCAGGGAAATCACAATGACAAGAACTAAATCAACTGCAATGAGGACCACATCAGAAGGTGAAACCTTTAGGCCTAAATGTGCCAAACAACAACAACAAAATGAGGACCAAGAAATTGAGGATGAAGAAAGTGATAACCAAGACGATGAGGGAAAAGGAAGAAAAGTTGATTTTAGATTTGTGTAGTGTGATATTGGTTTGTAAAACTGAACTTAGGGTTAGATAATATTTAGGGAAGGATGTTGATTTGTAGCAAGATGGATAATATTTTGTCAAATGTTGGATATAATTACCAACATAAGTTCTTATTCAAAAATATATCGTAACATCTGAGAAAAATATCCGTCTTTATGTAGAATAATATCCTTAAAGCTCAGACTAATACTTTTTGTGTGCCAAAGCATATCTTGAAAGCCCAGACTAATATCCTCGATCTCTTTGCCTCTTCACGATTCTTCGATTTGTTTTCCCCTTTAGTCATCAATTAAACACATTTAATATATTACCCACATTTAGTCATCAATTAAACACATTTAATCCCTGTGAAGTCAAGATATTATCGAGGCGGGAAAAAGTCCAAAAGATGATCGACATTTTGGAGCAGCAAGCCCACACTTGAACTAACAATTTTCTTAAGTAATTTCTTTTTTTTTTGTTTGGAATGTTATAATCGCCATGTCGGAATGGCTTTGAATACTAATTGTATCGAGTGTTCTCACTAGTTTTTCTTACTTTGAATACTAATTGTATCTAGTGTTCTCACTAGTTTTGTGTACTTGAAAACCATAGCAGAACAATATCCGTACACCATAAACAAATATCCATACCACCCCGACAAATATCCGTTCTTCCCACAATAAATATCCTCACCTACACAAACTAATATCCACTCCTCAGAGACTAATTTCTGACTGTCTTAGACTAATATCCGACTACACAGCACAAATATCCACACATCTCATACTAATATCCTCCAATCTCCATGTTTGGATATTTGTTTGCTCTTTATTGTATGGATTATAGTTACCTTATATTAGTTCTGTGTGGCCAGGATATCAGTTGATTTATACGTAGATATTTATATATGCTCCAGGGATATTGGACAATGGCAAGAACAAAAACAACAACGAAGAGACCGTAAGAGAAGAATCATCCCAACCTCGTCGTGGCATGATCGAAACGTGGGGGGCTCGGAGGGACATGATAAAAAAGATAATCGAGAATTTGCACAAGCAAGACAACATTTGAACTATTCCTTTTCCGATTTTTATGTGGTTATACTTTTTTAGACCACCCTACATTGTGTTCAAAATCATTTCCACAATATTGTCTTCTAAACCCGAAACCAAAACTCAAACCCTATACTTGAAACCCTAATTGTAGTCACTAAACACAAAGCTTGAACCCTGAACCCTTAACTCTAAACCTCAACCCCAAAGTCAAATCCTAAACTCCAAACCCTAATTCTAAACCCTAAAGTCTAAACCCTAACACTAAACCCTAAATTGATGTAATCATATACAAATCAGTAGATAAACATCCACACAGAACAAATATCCAAACTACCCAGACTATTATCTGACCGTAGCAAACTAATACCCACCACACACAGATTAATATCTGACCATCACAGGCTAATACCCACCACACACAGATTAATATCTGACCATCGCATACTAATACCAAATACACATAAACTCGAAACCCTAATCGCTAAACACTAAACACTAAATCTTTAACCCTAAATCCTAATCGCTAAACCGTAAATTGGTGTAATATGGTTGGCTAAGTGTGTGATGTTAGATGCTTAAATAAACAAAGGATCACATCGGAATAGTTACCAAAAGTGCCCCAATATCCGTACAACATAAAAAATATCCACATCACCTAGACTAATATTCGTTCCTACCATAAAAAAGTATCCGTACCACCCAGACTAATATTAGTTTCTACCATAATAAATATCCTCACCAACCCTAACTAATATCTACCTCTCACAGACTAATATCCTGCCACGCGGTCAAAATATCCACACATCGCGAACTAATATTTTCCAATCACATAATAATATCTTATCACCACAGACAAAAATCGACCACCCTACATTGTGTTCAAAACCATTTCCACAATATTGCCTTCTAAACCCGAAATCTTAATCGCTAAACACTAAATCTTTAACCCTAAATCCTAATCGCTAAACCGTAAATTGGTGTGATATGGTTGGCTAAGTGTGTGATGCTAGATGCTTAAATAAACAAAAGATCACATTGGAATAGTTATAAAAAATGCCCAATATCCGTACAACATAAAAAATATCCGCACCACCCAGAGTAATATTCGTTCCTACCATAATAAATATCCTCACCAACATTAACTACTATCTACCTCTCACAGACTAATATCCCGCTACACAGCCAAAATATCCCCACATCGCGAACTAATATCCTCCAATCACATAATTGTTGGGATTGAACAAACTGTTGGTTCTGGATGTTATTTCTTTTCATGATTGCATCGAACAAAAGTTTGTTTTCTGTATCGAATGATGAGATTCGAGTTTGTTAGCCGTGGATAACTGGTGCTTTATGTTTGGATATTACTCTGTGTTGTCTGATAGTAGGTGCTTTATGTTTGGGTATTTCTCTGTGCGGTCTAGATAATAGCCCTATAATGTATGGATATTACTTTGTGCTGTCTGGATAACAGGGGCTTCATGGTTGGATATTACTCTGGCATTTTGGATAATAATTTAATGTGCTTGCACGCGTTTTTTCAGCGACCAAAACAAAGAAGGAGTCATGATCAGTAAATATAGTGATTAGGAGTTTCTTCTTCATGCATCGACTAAATGCAACAAACAACCATTCAAACGACGGAGTAGTCTCGTCATACATCAAACAAGCACCAAACACACAAGTTTGACGGTGGTGATTGAAACCTACAAACATCCCTACACAAGACAACTATTAATGACAATGCATAACCGAACAAATGTCGAAAAAACTCAAATGAATCAGGTGATGAATAGTAAACAACATATAATATCCATACTGCACAGAGCAATGTCACAGAACATGCCCAAAAATATAGGTAAAGTCTGGAACAATATCCTGTAAAACCTAAATAATACCCATACTGGTATAAAAAAATACCCTGGTTCCTCTCATATTATTATTGATTCATGGGCCTTCGGCCCATGGGACCTAGGCGGGCAACCCTAACTAAGGTTGCAAGCCTTATGTGTTAGGTCTTGATAGTGTCACAGTATATGTCAATCAATATCAGTAAAGCCCAGACTAATATTGTATGAAAGGTTACTAATACCCTTCGTGTTACAAATAAATATCCTGGCATCACATGTCAATATCATACCACAACAAACCACTTCTATTCATAATCATTTCTGTAATATAACTAAAACATCAGAGAGAGAGAGAGCGGAATGGGATTTGGGTGGATGTGTCATTTAATTCCAAGCAATTACATTTTCTCTTTCCATATTTTTCTTTTTCTTTACCCATTTTAATCACAAAACTGGGCCCCCTTTTTTCCACTTTATCCCGCCCAAACATTGGCTTCTACCAAGCTTTCCCCCATCAGGGCTAAAAACCCCACAAGAAGCCACTAAAATGGGCTGTCTCTTGCAACCGTTGGATCTCGGCTGAGCTTGCGTGGACAACATCCAGTTCGTGTCAGCATCTCCTAACAAAAACATTAGTTAGGAGACTAACTTTTTCGTGGGAAAACGTGGTGAATTTGGAATAAAGGTAGTTGGTCAGAGAGAGAGAGAGAGAGAGAGAGAGAGAGAGAGAGAGAGAGAGAGAGAGAAAAAGAGCTGAATCCGATTCCAGACCAGCCACATTGATCGGTTATCATATAAAGCATATTAATTGGAAGAGTATCCTTCTTACCATTATCAACGGTCCTCGCAGGCTAGCACCAAATTGTTTCTTTCAGCTCGGACATCAATTTGTTCTCCCAGTCCCAACTCCCAGGTCCGCTTCTAGCCCTTCTCTAGTCTTTTAGTGATCTTTCAACTTGTCTGGTCTTTAGAGAGTGCCATTGTTGTGATTGATTAATGAACACAAACGAGTCTGTCTGCGTTTCCCTCTTTTGGGTTTCTCGTAGTTGATTTGCCGTTGATCCTGGAAAAAGAAAGGAAAGAAATCTAGTTGGTGGGTTAAGATAGTTGGCTAACATAGATAGTTTGAACTTTTGAGTTGAGAAATCGGAGCCTTACTAACGTGGCCTGGACATTAAAGATCCATGGCTGAGTCTGCTGCTGCTGGGAAGAAGCTTATCCGCGTGGATGTGAGTTCAGACACTATATGCCCATGGTGTCTTGTGGGAAAGAGAAACCTGGACAAAGCTATAGCTGCCTCCAACGAGAGATTCAATTTTGAGGTCTCTCTCTCTCTTTCATTCTCATTCTGCAGAGTTCAGAAGCCCTTGATTGTCTTAGAATCATAATTTGGAATGTTTTGCAGGTCAGATGGCACCCTTTTTTCCTCCATCCTTCTTTACCTAAAGAAGGGATGAACAAGTTGCAATTTTATAAGGACCTTTGTGGACCTCGAGTTGATGGAGTTGTAGCAAGGATGACTGAGGTTGTATTTAATTGGTATTTCTGCTTCTAGTTCCCAAAGATGTGAGCTTGCATAGATCAAACTCTTACTGATATCGTTGGCCTGCTTCCCAATTTCGTTATTTTGCAGGTCTTCAGAGGTCTTGGTCTCAACTATAACTTATCGGGCCTCACGTAAGTGTAAACCCTTCTCTTTTTAGTTAGGAAAGATATCATTTTTTTTTTTTAGAGAGTGTAAGAATCTCAGGCAGATTTTCTTGTCGGCAGGGGAAACACTCTAGATAGCCATAGGCTTATATATTATGCTGGAAAGCAGGGTTCTGATAAGCAAAATGACCTTGTGGAGGAGCTGTTCCTTGGCTACTTCACTCAGGCTAAGTACATTGGAGACAGGTAATGTTCAACTGTTTATGTGGTTTAGCAAGCCTAATTCCTTCACTGGCTTCATAGACTTCATTCACAGTCCTATCACAAGAGTGTATGTGCTTCCTTTTTTCCTCTATTGCTTATCTAGCAAGGCAATCAATGTTGCAGAGAATTTCTTTTGGAATGTGCTCAGAAGGTTGGCCTAGAAGGAGCAGCCGAATTTCTCGGTGATCCCAATAATGGGCTCCAAGAGGTCGTTTTTACCTTCCATTTCCTTCTTCAGTTGCCAAATCCACTGCAGGCAGAAATGCCCTGTGTTTTCAGTTTGTGTTTTGTTTATAGAAACCCACTGATTCCTATATGGTGTAAGGCACAATTTAATATCCTAACAAACGTTTTGGTTTGATGAAGGTGATGGAAGACCTCGACAAGTACTCCTCAAACATTACCGGAGTCCCATACTACGTGGTACGTGTCAATCTATTCCTATCGCCTTAAGATTCTTCAGTTCTGCAATTCGATTATATAAGCACCACCTCGCAACTAATTGAACATGTGGAACAGCTGAATGGGAAGGTCAAGTTGAGTGGTGGACAGCCATCAGAGGCATTCCTGAGAGCTTTTGAGGCTGCTGCAAATTGATGAACTGAGATTCCAGCCCCTGACAAGAGTCTATGTATGTGTGTATCAATAAAGGAGCTACATATAACGCTCAAATTAGGCTGCACGGAATTCTATTCGTGTGTTATGAATAAAGGACCTACACCTGCATATAATTGTTGTATTCTTGTCATGAACACTATGAAAATTATGTGAAATAATGAGAGATTGTGAGCCTGCGTGAGTTCCTGTGCTTAATGTATGAACACAACAATCCCACTCCGACAAGAAAGTTCCTTCTTTTGGTTGGTTGATGAATAAAAGGTTGTGTTCATACCCTGGTTCTGTTATAGTCAGCTATGCGAGGACATGAAAAGGAGAGACCTTTCCTTATGTATAAATGGAATCAAATAAGCAGCCTTTGACAGACCAATACAAGTCTTCGCGTTATGGGGGACGAAAAAGTCAACGTCACCAAACACGTTACACGTCCTTAAATAAGAGGAAAACGCATGATCTCCTTCTCATTCTGCTCTTTATGCGCTTCCTGCTGCCCTGCCTCCACAGAAGTCTCAAATCTTCTTCCGGGTATTCTTCTTTCTCTTTTGCACTTTGCTGGATTTCTTACACAACTACTTGAAGAAACGGAGCTTAAACCGTTTCCTATTCGAACTTTTTTATTGAATGTTCTAGGAAAAACAACAGATTCTTGGGCGCCATGGCTACCAACTCTGGGAAGAAGCTGATAAGAATTGATATAAGTTCAGACACTGTATGTCCATGGTGCTTTGTTGGCAAGAAAAACTTGGACAAAGCCATAGCTGCCTCTACTGACAGATTTGATTTCGAGGTACTGGTCCATCTACCTCGGTTTCATTATAGCTTTTCATCAAATATTCTTCAAAGTCTTAATTTTAGGTCCGGCTCTTCTCAAATTCTGTTATTTTCTCCCCAGATTAGATGGCATCCATTTCAGCTGTATCCTGATGCCCCAAAGCAAGGAGTGAACTTGTTACAGTTCTACAGAGGAAGGTTTGGAGGCGGAATCGACGGAATGATGGCTCGCATGTCTGAGGTTCTCCATTTACTATTACACTTTGCTTTGCGTTTCCTTGGACTTCAGGCTATGGATGGGTTGGTGATAACTACATTTTCATACTTGCTTGCAGATCTTCAGGGGACTTGGCATGAACTATGATGTTACCGGGCTAACGTGAGTCTTGAAAACTACAATGTTTGATTGCCTTAACAGTTGGTGCAAGAAACCGTTGAAGGATTAATCAGACGTTGTTGTTTGTTTTATCAACAGGGGAAGTACTATGGACAGCCACAGGCTGATGTATTTAGCAGGTGAGCAAGGGCTTGACAAGCAGCACAAGCTTGCTGAGGAACTCTTCCTTGGAAACTTCACACAGGCCAAGTACATTGGAGACAGGGAATTCCTGCTGGAATGTGCTGAGAAGGTTGGATTAGAAGGTGCGGCCGAGTTCCTCGATGACCCCAATGCTGGACTGAAACAGGTTTCTGTTTGTTTTCTTCTCTTCTAAGTAGCCCATCACTTCTTCATTTTGCGTTTTAGTTACTCTTGATGTTCTTAACTTATATATGGCTGACTTGATGCTTAAGGTAAATGAGGATCTGGGGAAGACAGTGGTTAGAGGAGTGCCCTACTATGTGGTATGTTAATCAAATTTGTCTGCTTTCACTTTTTTAACAATCTTAAAGCTTTGAGTTTGAGAGAAGGGTTATAATTTTTTTACAAAAATCCTACAGATTAACGGGAAGCACAAGTTGAGTGGAGCACAGCCACCAGAAGGTTTCCTGCGAGCTTTCGAAGTTATTGCCAAATCATAAGTCTGCAACCAGATTGCTAGCTGTTTCCTTGTACTTTCATACTTTCATATTCACAGACAACTCTCTACATGTCTCGTAAGCCTTTCTTTCCTATTATGCGCTGGTTTTCATCCACCAAACCACACCATAACTATCAACTCGAACGATCATGTCGTTTCATCGAAAGCCAGCACCTACAACCAGACAAAAGGTTGCGCTTTCAGCTAAAACTATGACATAGTGGTCAAAAGAACCAAGTGTTGCCTTTACATACACACAACATTCATGAACTCAAACCCATTGATAATCAGCCCAAAGAAAAACTGACTTAAAAAGAGATATAGTTACCTTTCCACAAACAGGACAACTGTCACTTAGTCATAATCTTAGGATTCTCCGGAGTATACTCTGCACATGTGAGAACTGGAAAGTTAGAGATCCGTTACCTTAGCCTTCATCTTTTGCAGAATGGAATAGAATGCAGCTTAAGAACAGACAACGGGCTACTAATGCTCACACCACATTTCAAATAAAATAACACATAGATATATATATATATTTTTTGGTAGAACATAGATATATTTAAATACAATATTTAACATCAATAACTTAATGTTTATATTTAATTTGAATAAATAAAATCAAATTTTCAATTTTAAATATATAAATAAATAATATTTTTTTATTAAATTCATTAAAGTTTAATTATTTTATTTAGAGTTTGTAAATTAATCATGTCAATCATATCGATGATGTTCATGTCAGTTTCCTAACCTGCGAGCAAGTAAATTTCTCTAATTCTCCCTTCCAAACAGTTAAAACTCAAAGCCCAATCTCTTGTTTTGAATCATTTTCCTTCCAGGCCAGCAGAGTTTTTTTTCGGTGCGAATTGCGATTGCGAGCGGGATCTTCATTTTGAATCATTCTCTTTCTCTCTCTCACACTCCCTTTTGTCAGTTAATCTGCCGGCCGCCCTAAGTCGAATCGACCAGCCCCGCCACCACATTTCTCAGATCTATCACTCTTTTATTCTTCTCAGCTCTCTCCCTCATTCCCTGGGGCTTCAAATCGCCCTTCCGAATTCCCTGATTTGGGCTGTCATCGCATTGGAATCTGATAACATGGTTCTGGGATTCTCCCACAATGCAGAATCCCAACTCTCCCAGTGCAATGGTTCCAGTTTCGATCTTGGTTCTGTAATGGAGTCATAGTCCAATTTCGGTTGCTATGCAGACTCTGGTGTTCAGAGGTGTTTGGTGAGTGTGTCAATTTTTTATTTTTATTTTGTTCCGAATTGGAATGCAAAGGTCGTCGAGCTCGATGGCGCAGCCGGATGCCATACTGGAGTGGCTTCACAAGGAGATGGGGTACCGGCCGTTGGGCAACTACAGTGGTTCGACGAACAAGTCCCAGCTGCCGTCCATTGACGCGCTGCGGAAGATTTGTCGGGGTAACTTGATACCCGTCTGGAGTTTCTTGATTAATCGAGTCAAGTCGGAGAAGACGGTGGAGAGTATAAGGAAGAACATCATGGTACACGGCGACGACAGTGTTGGTGGTGTTGAGCGTGGGGGTCCCGTGAGTACTTCCGGGAAAGATGATGGCGGTGCCGGCGGCAGGAGTAAAGGAGGTGGGAGGAGGAAGGAGAAGGTGGTTGGTGGGGATGTTTCTAGTAGTGCAGCAGAGAGTAGGGATTTGGCGTTGCAGGAAAGGGAGTTGGCTGCAAAGGAGGTGGAGAGGTTGAGGAATATTGTTAGGCGGCAGAGGAAGGATTTGAAAGCCCGAATGCTCGAAATCTCGAGGGAAGAGGCTGAGAGGAAGAGAATGATCGATGAACGCTCTAAAAACAGGTGATGTTCTGAACAGCTTACATGAAATGAGCAATTTGACTTGCGAGGTTAACTCATGATTATGATGAATTTACTGTAGGCATAAGCAGGTGGTGCTGGAATCTTACGATCAGCAGTGTGATGAAGCAGCAAAAATATTTGCCGAATACCACAAACGTCTTTGTTACTATGTTAATCAAGCTAGGGATGCTAGGAAGTCAAGTGCTGAATCTTCTGCTGATGTGATTAGCAATGCCAGTGCGAACAGTGACAAAGAATCAGTTTATTCGACAGTCAAGGGTGCTAAATCTGCTGATGATGTTATTCTTATCGAGACAGCCCATGAGAGAAATATCAGAAAGGCTTGTGAATCTCTTGCGGATCATATGATTGACAGAGTACGCATTTCCTTTCCGGCGTATGAGGGAAGTGGTATTCATTCATCTCCTCAACTGGAAGCTGCAAAAATGGGTATCGATTTTGACGGGGAGTTACCTGATGAAGTTAGAACCATCATTGTGCATTGTCTGAAGAATCCTCCTCAATTACTCAACGCAATCACCCTATACACATCGCGACTAAAATCTATGATTTATAGAGAAATTGAGAAAATTGATGTCAGAGCTGATGCAGAAACTTTAAGGTATAATTTGGGATCATGTTTGTTCTTACTGGTATTTGCTGCAGCAATCAAATTACCAAAACCAATGCATTATTCCGCACTCCACTTCCCTCTATACTAAATTTTTCTGTCTCAGTGAAGAATTTTATATATGATTGCCTCTTAGGCAGTTGGGTTTAGGATCTGTGTTCTCTGAAAACTGAGCGCCATTGGCTTGTGCTGAAGGTTCTTTTGATCTCTCTCTTATACTGGCTAGTCTATGTAGCTATAAATTTTAGCGAGCTATCTTCATTGACTGTATGGCGTATGCCTTCAATCAGATAACTGATACTTTGGTTTATTTGTTAGATACAAGTATGAGAACAACAGAGTACTGGAGGCTTCTTCTCCTGATGCCAGGTCTCCATTACATTATCAACTGCATGAAAATGGAAAGTTTGGAACAGATATTCCTTCCGGAGGAACTCAGAATCAGCTCCTTGAAAGACAGGTATTATAGATGATTGCCTTAAATATTTTTGGAAATTTCATTAATTGGGTTCTTGAACTTCTTGTTGGCAAATCCCCATGATTCCAAGTTATGGTCCTTTGGGATATAATATCCATTTTAATTTTCAAGTCAATTTGCTATTTTTCATCTAAATAATTTTCCCCAAATGTTGTTTCACTAGTTCTTTGATGTTGTTGATATGGAGTTTCTGCTTCAATTTGGCTGTTTGCAGAAAGCTCATGTTCAGCTATTTCTGGCTACTGAAGATTCACTGAACAAAGCTGCCGAGGCTAGGGACTTGTGTCAGAGTCTTATAAAGCGATTGCATGGGAGTGGCAATCTGAGTTCTACAAATGCACTTACTGTTACTGGTGCATCACAGAACCTTGGCAGTCTTCGACAATTTGAGGTAGTTCCTTAGTTCATAATCTTCTTTGCTACCCATGATTTGAATATTCATAGATACTCCCATGGTTGCTTTACCAACTTCAACACTCTCATGTATCCTTGTAAACAGTTTCTCCTTCACTGACTTCCTCATTCTCAGTTGAAACTTCAACCTAGACGTCGTCATATATGTGATTAGCTGACATGTCCATTGCTTATGTAGTTGGAGGTTTGGGCCAAGGAGAGAGAGACTGCAGGACTAAGGGCAAGTTTGAACATACTGATGTCTGAAATCCAGCGCCTAAATAAGCTTTGTGCGGAGAGGAGAGAAGCTGAAGATTCTTTAAGAAAGAAATGGAAGAAGATTGAAGAGTTTGATGCGCGGAGATCTGAACTTGAAACTGTTTACACTGCTTTACTGAAGGCCAACCAGGTATGATAATGCATCATTAGAATTTAGGAATTGAATATTGCAGATAACCGGGTTGAAAGACAGAAAAAGAAATCTTCAAATTTGTGTAATTGCTTAGATTATAGACTTCGGGGGTTGCAAGAAACCAACGACATCATTAATGGGTTGAGTTGAATCATCAGCCTAATTTCATGCTGGATTTTTGCTGAAGTCTTGTAGAAAATTTAGAAAGGAGAAGGACATATGCACTATAATATGCAACTGGTCTCAAATGATCTTTTGAGACATGGCATCGAGGATGTAAAAGCCGTTTTCTCTAAGGATTTCTCCAGATTGTTCTACATTTGACACCAGGAATTGAATTTTATTTTATCAAGAAACCAGCACATGTCTTGTTAATTTAGCTTGCTCTCAAGGTTCACAAAATGAGTCCTGACTCAACTTAGGCATCCATGATACAGTCAGCAATCAAACTGTGAATCCATGTTAATTGCATAGCAGAGTCTTGTAGCTAGAGACTACTGCTGCATAAAAATGCCATATTTCTACTCAGGGGCAATGTTAAAATTACACTTGCAAGTGGTAGCTCCTTTTGGAACCTGTTGGCACATGAGGCACGTGAATTTCCTTTTTGTTCGTTTTCTTATATAATTTCTGCCAACGAAACTATAATTTGTCATGCTAACTTATTTCGCATATAGGATGCAGCCACATTCTGGAATCAGCAGCCGTTGGCTGCACGGGAGTATGCATCAACTACTATTATTCCATCATGCACAGTTGTGTTGCACATTGCGAACGCTGCAAAAGATCTTATCGATAATGAAGTTAAAGCTTTCTCAAGGAGTCCTGATAATAGCCTTTATATGCTGCCTTCTACTCCACAGGTCAGTATGACTCTTGCAGAATGGTCATCTGTTATTATTCATTCTGCAATAAACTGCCTCTTTCCGAGATAAGTGGTTCTTGTCATCTCTGCTCAGTTCTAAATGTGTCATTTGATATGCTGTTTTGTCTATTAAGCTTTAGAAGTTTCGTTTTTATTTTAATTTTCTAAGGATGAAGTGTTGTCAGTTGAATCTTCAAAACACCATTTTCCTGTGTGACAAAGATTAGAAACTGATATGGCGTGTTTTCTAACAAATTTTGGTTCAATCATTGTCAGCAGTAGGCATTCGTCTCATCTGTTGTCTCTGTGTTATTTATTTATTATTTGTTGATGAATGGGTTGCCTATTATATGTTGTCCTCCTATTTGTTAGCTGCTACGGTCTTATGTTCAAGGTAGTTGATCTAGTACAGATTCTTTGTTGGCACTCATTATTGTCCTTCAATTTTTATCAGGCACTTTTGGAATCAATGGGTTCCACAGGATCTACAGGACCTGAGGCTACTGCTGCTGCAGAGAAGAATGCTGCTCTCCTCACAGCAAGAGCTGGTGCTAGGGATCCATCAGCAATTCCGTCCATATGCCGAATATCTGCTGCTCTCCAATACCCTGCTGGTAAGTTTTTCGTTATCAATAAAAACCTGTGTGACCAGATTCTCAATTTAGAATCTTAAGCAACTGCATGAGACTAGTCTTTACAGTATCTGTGGGATCATGCATGGTATTAAACGAGTGACTTATTGCAGTATGCTATTGCATCTCAGTTAGTCCTCATGATTTAATGCAAAAGGTTTGCTGAACAAACCACATCTATCATAGAGAGGTGGCTGGTAGCCTACACTTTTTTATTAACTCAATATCTAAAGGCCCTGAAAATTTTACGGCAATTTCATTTTCAGTCAACTGACAGTTAGTGCCTGCTCTAACACGTGAACTCGAAAGTATGAAGGCTGCTTGTAGGGAAATTTACTTATTTATTGCAAGTTGCCGAGCGTGCGAGGACTTTCTTAATGCCAATTCACAGCTTGAGAATGACCCTAAAGTGTTGATATAGGTGTTTCCAGTGATAATAATTAACAAATTATTATTGGTAGTAAATATTGGTTTTTTCTTTTGTGTGTACATGAACATTTTCGTCTCAGACGTCTATTTTATTCTAGTTATACATAGAAGTTTAATTTTTTGAAGATAAAAGGCATATCCTATAAAATGAGATAGGTGCATAACATTTGAAACCAATCCGACTTCTTGAGCTTTTCATGTGAGCTTTTGCCTGAATATTGGCAAATCCAATTGTTATTTGCTACTAGGTTTGGAGGGTTCAGATGCTGGTCTAGCATCAGTGTTGGAGTCCCTGGAGTTCTGTCTGAATCTACGTGGTTCCGAGGCTAGTGTTTTAGAAGACTTGGCAAAGGCAATCAACATGGTCCACATAAGACAGGATCTTGTTGAAAGTGGTCATGCACTTTTAAACCATGCATATCGAGCTCAACAAGATTACGAAAGGTAAAGTTAAATAATTTGCTAGTTGATTTTTATTGAAATTTGATGAAGTAGCATCCCTTGATGATTAAATACTCTTGCATATGTTGTCCTCGCAGTTTAACTTCCTTACTTTTTCATTTACAATTGGTCTAGTTTCCTAAACTCCATTCTGGGACTATTCAGTTGAAAACTTTTTTGTTTTTGGGAATTCCCGGTCATTTAATTATTTGTTGTTAGACAACGCATTCTCATTGTCTGAAACATTATGCAGGACAACAAACTATTGTTTAAGTTTAGCTTCCGAGCAGGAGAAGATTGTCAAGGAGAAGTGGCTTCCTGAGCTTAAAGCTGCCAGTTTGGAGGCTCAAAAGTGTCTGGAAGATTGCAAATACGTTAGAGGTTTGGTGAGTAATTATCTCGATTGTCTGACTTCATGAACTCCCTGGATTTGATCTTTGATCTGTTTTCTGTCAATTATAGGATCTGCCTGGCTTGAGGAGCATTCCTAGTTATTCTTTCTCTGGGATGCTATTGCAATTTCCCAAACTAGGCTTCTGTGTGAAGCATGTGTAATTAATCATTCAAAAAATCCAGAGACTAGGTCTCATGATAAAATCGTGAAATTCCCACCTAAGCAAGGAGAATTTTTATTTCGAAAAGGCTTAGTTCTAAAACTATAGAGCAGCTGCTTGTATTTAGTAAAACTAGCTACCCAACCCAATTTGCTGCCAAAGTGAAAGGAGCTATCAGCCCACTGCCTTACTTCCGAACTGTCCTCTTATAACATGTTGAATTTCATGATTTGTTTCTTCTCCGTATAAGTTGAATTCTGCCTAAACTTAACAGCTGACATTTTAATGCAGCTTGATGAGTGGTGGGAACAACCAGCATCCACAGTCGTTGATTGGGTTGCTGTTGATGGGAAAAACGTCGCTAGTTGGATTAATCATGTCAAGCAACTTCTTACATTGTCATGAGGAGTCTCTTCATGAATAAGTAGCTTCACAGAACAGCATCATGCAATGGTTACATACCTTCTCCTTGTTTGGCGAGGCGCTTCAGGTTTTGTTTCTTACCAATTTACTGTGCATAAGGAGAATTTTCAAAGGTTCAGGCTGTTGTAATAGGTATAGGTGTTTGGGATTTTTCTTGAATGTCGTTGCCACTGAGTCGATTGCCTTTTTACGGAGTTTTCACAACTGTTGTGGTTTACCTAACCAACTTTGACAACGTTACTCCTATGTATAGGATGGTTCCTGTTTGTTCAAGATGATGTGTATAATCTAAACTTGGGCAGATACTTGTCTGGTGTGTTATGAATGAGTTCTTGCAGATTAATTTGGTGCCTGTGATGAGTTGCTTTGCAACTTAGCACTTCCTATCTGGATTCCCATTTTTAACCTGGTACTAGCTATCAGGAGTATGCTTTTCCGTTTACATATTTAGAACAACTATTCATTCATATGATTCAAAGCTCCCAATCTACATTCATTCAATACGAGAAGACTGCCATCTAGTGGCATCGAGGCTTCTTGTCCATATGCAACAATGTGCCACACCCGTCAGCAGACACCAGGAGAGGGTTAACCACAGCTCCTAGGAACAGCACAATCCCTGACGTTTCCTCCACGATAGTGAACATGAAAGCGTGGTCTGCCACAAAGCTAGGAGGGTTCCTCCTCCCGCACTTCCTTATAAATCTCGGTGCAGTGCTTGCCGCAGCTTCTGTCCCTTCCTCATTCACTTCGACGAACGCCTTGTGAAACATCTTCGACAGTGATAGCTTATCCTCTGCTGCTCCACAATCCACCATCTCCGTTAGCTCCCCTGCTTTGAAACCCATCCCCAGTTCCTCCAGGGCCTCCTTAGCTTCCACGTCGAACGAAAACTTGAACCTAGGGATCCAAAGCTGAGGCAAATTTTCCAGCTTCAGCTGATCGGAGTAGTCGTTCAACATCCCAGGGTTGGTTCTGATTTTCTGTACGAGGGTAGGCAAGCTGTTTGGTTCGTCTGGGAGGAAGAAATGCATCGAGAACTGCATACTGTTGTCTTCGTTTTCAGGTTCAGGGTTCTGGTAGGGGATTTTGAGGACCTTGTAGCCGTCGAACGATTTGTAAAGATGCTTTTGGTTTGGTTTGGTGGTCATGAAAGGAACTGCCACGGTTTCTGGAGAGTTGAGGAGGTGAAAGCTCCTGACTTGTGTTCTTGCTGGGTCAAATTTCCTGTCCCATTGGCCTTTGAAGTAGAGGGCGTTTGCAAGCACTAGTGCGGTATCATCTTCAAGGCTTCCTTGTGGTAGTAGGCTTCTGATGAGCCCTTTCGTCTCCTTCGCTACCCACAAATTGATCTCATCTTCTACTTCTCTTGCCTTCACAGCACAAGAAGAACCATGACTGATCGACCGACCGACAATCTGTACATGTATATGTTGCTTGATAAACAAGATATCAAGTTTAAACGTTCACCTTGCAGACAAAGTCCACTTGTTTGACAGTGGCACGGTAAACTTGCTTGGCAAGTTCTTCAAATGAAGGCTTGAGCTTGAACCTTCGATCCACCCAAGCACTGTTAATGAACGAGATGATCGGGCCACTCGCGACGACATCGTCTCTCTCGTTGTTCACCGTCGATAACATTGGCAGCAGTGCCCTAGATGCCATAGAAGAACTGACTTCTTCCAAGCTTCTGTATCCCAGAACCTGGAGCAACTGTTCCAGTACAGACCCTTTGGCCCCGGCAGCGATTAGGCAGAGCATGGAGTTGAATGAGAAAGGGGAGAAGACAAAGTTTGAACCTTTACTGCAGGATTCTTTGAGCATGATGTTGAGGGCTGCATCTAAAGAGAAGCCATTTCTGTTGCTGCTGCTCCTGATGTTTTCATCTGTTGTTTGCTGCTGCTCCATGATTGCCTGTTGTGCTCCAATGTTTAATGGGGAGAAGATGAATATGCTTGCGTTCTGAGTTGATAATGTAGAACAAGAATAGTGTGGTAATATAGGGGCATCGATGATTTCAATGTAACATAGCCATGATTAAGGATATATTCGTGGCATTTGCAGCAAACTAAAATAATCTATTTGGACATAGACAGGCATGAGAGAACAATTCAATCAGACAAAAGGCCGGTCAGGTAATTCTAGTGGATTATTGATAAGGATTGGTAGAGGATATACCATAAGTCAGAGCATAATGTTTTTTTATGTTGAGTTTGGTTTATATTAGGGTTATGAGTTTTCTTTTTTTGTTTTTTCTTCCTTTTATAAAATGAGGTGTGTTCATACTAGTAAGTAAGAGTTAATATGACATTGACGAATTAATGTAATTTTATGGATTGTTGAATGAAACGAGTCTATGTATAATGTTTAGAGAGCACATGAATTAATGCAATGACTTATTATAATTTTTAGATGATTGATTTGGAGAGTATAAGTATTATTTAGATTAATCGACATTTTATAACGTCATGAATCACATGTAATGAAATGGACCTTTTAGAGTCGGTATCCTTCATAACCAAGATTTTTCGATGCAGAATCAAGAACAAACATTTTTAACACAACTTCAAATCATGCCGATTTATTTAAAACCTACCAATATGGCAACGTATCACAAACACACATGGTTTATTTGTAGCTTACAGAAAACTAAATGCATAATACTATTGTAGTCTCTCATGGCGAACTGAACACTCGTAGCTAAAACAAAAAAAACCTTACACATGCTTAACTTCTTGATACGTAAACGGGATGAACTTTACACAGCTAATTCAAGGATCAATGGTGGAGGGAGGATTCGACTTCGATTTGTGAGCGGCATGAGCTGCAGGAGGGATTCCAGGAAACCCCGGCGGCAGAGGAAGCAGAGGAGGCGGGAAGGGGAACGGCAAGACCGGCGGCGGCGGCGGCGAAGGGGTTAGCCCTGGAATCGGAGGAATTGGAAGGAACGGCGCCGGCGGAGGCTGAAGCGGGTTCGGCGGAAGAATCGGGGGCACCAATGACGGCGGCTCCAACGGGTTCGGCGGCAGTGGAAGCGACGGCGGAGACGGCGGCTGCAGCGGATTTGGCGGCAAAATTGGGGGAAACAGAAGCCCTTGTGGCTGACCAGGACGCCCCGATTTCTGATCCGACAATTCATCCCCTTCTCCCTGCCTCAAGGTAGGCTTCTCGTGCTTATTGAAGCTCTTCGCCGGCCACGGCGGAAGGTACGGCAGCCGCGGCAGAGTGGGGAGCGGAGGCAGCCGCGGGAGCAGGGGAAGCGGCGGCAGCCGGTTCTGATTCATCTCCGGCGGAGGTACTCCGCCGTTAGGGTTTGTATTCACCGGCGGTGGAAGCGTAGGTTCGTCATCGTCGCCGCCACCGCCTGGAGACGGCACCGCCGGGAACCCAGATAAGTCCTTCTGCTCATTGCTCCCTGCTGACGTGGTGGTCGGATTCTGAGAGCAGAGGGTAGGCTGGTGGGATGGCTTGAAAGTGAAGTAACCGGCGGAGTAGATACGAGAATCAGACCCTAGCTTGTTGTTCCTCGACCTCAGGTGGAGAGACGATGACGTGGCGGTGGATGCCACGGCGCAGTAAGGGTCGCTGCTGGTCAGCAGCTTCACTGAACATCGCTTGATCTTCTTCACCTCTCTGTTTACAGTGAACGGAAGCTCGACGCTGAATTCTCCCAGCTGGTTCGTCTTCACTTCTCGTCTGAACCTCCCATCTTTGCACTCGACTACAACCGATGCGCCTGAAAATTGTGCAAGAGAATTAGTAACAAAAGGCCTCTCGACGCCATAAGAGAAGAAGAAGGAAGGAAGCTTAATTTACCTGAGATGAAATGAGTGGGCTTTGAGAAGCGGTTGTTGAAGCAAGTGTCGCAGTAGACAGTGCCGACGACTACTGCCTTTGTGGGGTTTTGTGGGAAGTGCCTGGCTTCTGATGTATGACTGAGGGTAGTGAATGTGAAGGTAAAGAAGAAGAAGAAGAAGAAGAAGAGTGATGTGATTAGCCTGTAGGCCATTTTTGCAGCCATTGTGGAGGAGGGAGAATGATTTAGGCTGGGTTTGTTATATATTGGTCAGAGATATGGTGGAGGGAGTAGGTGTTTTGGGGAGCTCATGGGTTTGGCGCCTGGTTTTTTGGGGTGTGCAGGTGGGAGTTTGGAGTCCTAACTTTGGAGGGTTTATATAGTGGTTTTTGAGTAGGGAAATGCTATTGATGTGATTCATGGGAAAACCAGTCATCTACAAATACCAGCAACTGCAAGTGAGGCCAATAATGATTTCCTACTTCCCCTCCACAAGGTGAAAAAATTGTATGGTTGGGATGGAAAATATGACAATCCGCGGCGGCTAAGATGTACAAGTCTCTTGCTTTATGTAGATTCAGAACGTATATGAACCGTTCGATTGCGAGTCTCGGACAAGGGAGATCTGTCCGAAATGGGAGCCCGTATGATAATATTCTGTTTCTGTTGAGATGGTAGCACAGTATCAAACTATGATTGTGGAGAATTGTTGGTAAATAATTCCCCAATGCTGTTGAGAATACGTACAAAGTGAAAGGGATGTGGTTGGGACCGGGTGCTGGTTCACGAGAAGATCAGATAGGCCACAAATTTCATGTGCTGCTGCTGCTGCTGGACAAAAGCCAAGCCAAGCCCAGCTGCCTCTCTCTCTCTCTCTCTCTCTCTCGGCATACTTGTGTTGTGTAGCTGCGATGGTTACTGTGTGTGTTTGTCCATATACGGACTTGTTTGTTGAACTCTGGGTTTTCTTGTCTTGGACAAGCTGAACTTGTTTGTTTTGAAGTTGAGATTTTCAAGATAGAAACACTGGTCATGTCCTCTAGACATTCTATCATGTTGGAGATGATATGGATATGTATTGACAGTATGGGTTGGAAATCCAAAACTATACAGGGCCGCATCCTCCTCTCTCAACTGCTGCAGATCAGTTCATAGATAGAAGGCAATGTAGCAGGGTGGGCGAAAACCATATCTTCAATACCCATATGTTGGTTCCATTTCTACGACGCGAGGCAGATCATATAAGATTGCGTCAATTGATTCGTTCGTGGTGCAGATATAAGAAACAAAATATATGTGTGAAAGAAGTAAAAACAACGAATCAGGGGAAAGGATGATTAGTAAGTTCTTTGATATATAAAAAGCTAATTCTTAGTTGATGCTACGAATTTTCATTGATTTTCCAACTTCTTGTTTCAGGGCGCATTGGTGCTGTATCGTCAATGACCGTACTGTTAAGAACCAAGTTTGCACAGGCCCACCATACCTTGTGTTTTAATCAACTGTTAATATTGGGGGTCGTAGAGATTCGAACACACGACCATTTGGCCAAACCAGCTCTGATACCATGTCAAGAACCAATTGCTCCCAATAACTCGAGTTGTTGGGAGAAGGTTCTGCTGGATCTTATACCACTCTCTAACACGTACTATACATACACTTGAGTCATGATGAGTTGATAAGCTCCTACCTGCTGCTCTAAACATGAATCTTGCAGCATTATCACCAGTCAGTCACCGCAGCAATCAGTGCATGTGAGTCAACAGTCTGATAACGAAGTTCATCCGCTCTTCCTCGCGGATGATATGAGGATTTAGGATCAGGCCAGTTTTTGTGATGGGTTGAGAGCGATGGGGAATTCTGTTCAATTCTTTCTGCACCTACTCAACTGGTCACGGGTGAGTTGAAAAAGAATGTCCATGTCGCTTTATCAATCACATCTCCACAACCCCTTCACGGGCCAATGTTAGCTAATGCAACCATTCGATTATAAACTTGCATCTTGACGCAAAGGTTGATCGTCGTTGATGATACATACGTCACATGTTTTCATATTATAGCATCAATACTGAAAAATCATCGCCAGTGGCGTAGGATATCTGCTGCCTTTTCATAAATTGCCTAAAATCGAAAACGACCTGGATTTGGATTTTCTCAGTTGCCTTGTCTTCCTAAACTGGCTGTACAATATTTTATTTGCAAACTTGCATAGGAAGGTCCGATTACTGACCTTAACAGGAAGAAGAAGAAAAAAAAATCCTTGCTCTCATCATCTGCTAATTCTTCCTTTGGAACCGAACAATGGAGATCAACATGGAGCATCAATTGAGCCCGCGCATCACCAAATTCAACATCAACCCTTGTTCAATCCTCGTGGGACTACACGTGCTGATGAACAGACTAGCAGCAAAGAACGGAGAAAGATCCAACTTCGCTTTCTCCCCACTTTCGTTCCACTCCATGTTAAGCCTCATTGCTCTGGGCTCAGAAGGCCCTACTCTCAAACAGATGCTTGCCTTCATGGGAATCGATGGTCTCGATGAACTCAACTTCTTGGCTTCCCATCTCGTTTCCTCAGTACTGCCACCTCCCCGAAATGACAACGACGACATCAGTCATGGCCCGATCGTATCGTTTGTGAATGGCGCATGGCTGGATCATCGTTTCAAGCTGAAAGCTCCATTTCAGCAAACTGTGAGAAGTGTCTATCGTGCCACGGCAAAAGAAGTTGACTTTCTCGAACTAGTAAGTTCCCAAGTTCTAACCATGTACATAATTTGATGGAAGAGGTTGCAATTCACACCTTTGTGTACCGTGTTCCCCTGTTTCATGATTGCTTAGCCCGATCAAGCAAGAGAAGAGATCAACACATGGGCAGAGAAAGAAAGCAGAGGACTCATCAGAAACCTCTTACCACCAGATGGTATAGACGAAGAGACAGTTCTGATACTCACAAACGCACTCTACTTCAAAGGAACATGGAGCATCCCATTCGACATCTCCAAGACACACCAGAGAGACTTCCACGCCTTAACCGGCAGCGCCATCCAAGTTCCTTTCATGGCCACCGACGCCAACCAGAAACATCTCTACGCATCCACAAGCGACCATCAGATGCTAAAGATGCCATACCGAACCGGATCAGACCATGACAGCCGCCGTTTCTCCATGTGCTTCTTCCTTCCCAACGCCAGAGACGGGCTGGCTGGTTTGTTGGATAGGATCAGAGCAGAACCCATGATGCTGAACCCACAGGTGGCAGAGAGAGTCGTTTCGCCTGTATGGATCCCGAGGTTCAAGTTCGAGTTCGAGGTTGAGGCTTCGAGTAGTATGATGGAGCTTGGACTGGTGCTGCCCTTCTGTGATATGTATGGGTTGAACGGAATGGTGGAGATAGCGGATGAACCGGTTGTCCTGTCGAAGGTGTTTCACAAGACGATGATTGAAGTGAATGAGGAAGGAACTGAAGCTGCAGGTAGTAGTGCAGGGAGGATTAGAGGACTTCGTTGTAGGTCAGCGGCTCCTCCGAGCTTTGTTGCTGATCATCCTTTCGTGTTCACGATTGTGGAGGAGAATTCTGGTTCGGTTTTGTTTCTTGGAGCTCTGCTCAATCCTCTGTTAGTCAGTTGAAACTTGAAAACCTAGCAGTAGCAAAGGGCATACATACTCTTCTCTTCTTCCAAACATGTGCTGCAAAATGTTAGTGAGCTATGAAGTTATAATCCTTATTCAAGATAAGTCATCTGTGAAACCAAAAGTGTCATTACAACAAGCTGCTTTAGTTTACAAACAGGACTCACAGTGGAAACTCAAAAGTTTGGACCTCTCACAATTTATGTATATACGAGAGAAGAACGAAAAGTTGCTATAGATCCATTCACACGCACAAATGGACTAGAGTTTACACACAGATTTCACAAGGTTCTTAGGTTACATTATACAAAGTGGCCAAACAAACATAAACCAAGCAAGCAAGAGTGGACTGACTAGTCACTAGTCTGCTGCTGTAAACTGGTAAGAGGAATAGGAAAGTGTGCCAAGACTCCAGCTCTGGTGGATAAGCTTGGCCTCGGAGCTGTCACCAGCAGCGCCCATTGCAACATGAAGAGGAAAGAAGTGTTCTGGCCATGGATGAGCCTTCTTCGCGTGTGGTGCTTTTACTTCATAGTGATTCACATCTTCATATCTGCAAAACCCGAAACGAATATGGAAGTTGAAACATATTCCATCAAGAAAGTGCAGCAAACGACTTTCCAAAGCTCGATCATTGTTCTGGATTTTACCTTCCTTCGACGAGGGAGTCCTTAAGCCAAGTATCAAACTGCTGAGCCCAGGGAGCAACGGAGCTATCAGAACTACCCAGAGCTCTCAAATTGTGAGTAGCTGAGCCAGAGCCGATGATGAGCACGCCTTCCTGTCTCAATGGAGCCAAGGCCTTGCCCATGTTGTAGTGATACGTTCCGTCTCTGTCAGACTGAACAGATAATTGACACACTGGAATGTCAGCCTCTGGATACATGAGCATCAATGGCACCCAAGCTCCATGATCCACTCCTCTTTTCTTGTCTTCCACTACTTCATCAAACCCAGATCCCATCAGCAGCTCCTTTACCCTCTTTGCCAATCTGGGTGCTCCTGGTGGCGTGTACCTCAGCTGGTAATCCAACGTCCAAAAGCCAAGTTTTGCATTATCATAATCAAATTGACAAAAAATATTCAAAGCTTTCCCCATTTTCTTGCCGAGTATAAGCAAGCAAACTTGAAACTTCTATCCAGGTTCATGAAGATTCAGAAACTTCAGTTTCAAGACTACCTGGTTGAGAGGTTAAACTATGTCAAGACCCATCAAAATTCAAACACAGAACCTCCACACACCAGCCTCTAATCTACACTATACCCTCAGAGACCCTAATCTTAAGCCTAAGATTGCACACAATTGAGTATTCTCAACGATCACAGACCAATTCTCGGTTGACGAGGGATCAAAGGGATTGCAAGGAGATCGAGAGAGAAGGGGATAGTTACCTCATACATCTGTTTGGGGAAGCCATAGAAGTCGTGAATGGTGTCGTTGCGATCAACGACGTTGACGGAAGGGAGTTTGGTGTCCCAGTGGGCGGAGATGATGAGGATCGCCTGGGGTTTCTCCTTTTGGTATACCTTCTGCTCCCAGGATTTCAAGAAATGCCTGGCCGGCAGAGAGTCGTCGATGGAGAGCGTCGGGGAGCCGTGCGATATGAAGAAAGTCTCGGCTATTGCCATTGCCGATTCTCTTTTTGGTGGATGATGATATCAATTTGAGCGCAGGGAAGATCGGAGGCTGGTTCTTGGTGCAATCCGATCTCCCGTCGACAAAATTTATTTATAGGAGAGGAGATAGGAACAAGAAACCGGTTTGACTTGGATTCACCGGCAATCGTCACAGTCACCAACGTCATCGCTGACTACTCACCGTGGGATTTTTTTTCAAATTAATTGTGAAATATAAATAAATAAAAACTTTCTTTTTTCCTTGTACTCGTGGTTCGCGTGTCCCGATTTCGGGTTTTTAGCGTCGACGGTGACCGGTGGCGACTGGCCGACTACCGATGGAGGGGTAACGTAAATCGAATAATCGAGCCAGGTCCATTCGATCTGTAAGAAAGGGAAGCCTCCGGATAGAATAACAACAACCTTACGGTTGTTATAGTAACAATAAGGGTAAAAGGGTAAACTCACATAATATAACAACGAAAAAATTAATTAAAAGATATTTATCCATCCTTACCTACCAAATCTTGTTTCTCCTCCAGCCCCCCGCCACGCTTCTTCCCGCCATCGTTGGAAACAGGCTCTGCCAATTTTCCTCGTTGATGGCGTCCTTCGTTGTTACATCTCGTGACGACGACGCCTCTCATTGTCATCGACCTACACGTCCAACGTTGTTGCGGGGAAGATCTGCTTCTCTCCTGGCGGTTGGAAGGAGTTTGTTCTAGTCTTGGGACTTCGCTGATTGGAGGGAACCGGGAAGGAGAGATTATCTATGATTCTGATGAAGTAGCCAATGTGAGGCGGATGTGCGATACGGTTCAAGAAAGCGTTGATTTTCTTCAACCACAATGAATCTTCGAGGTTTTTAGGAATCAATAGGCTGTAAAATCACCCGGTTTTGTTGTTACTCGATTTCGATCAAAATAGCTATTCAAAGTTGTCATCGCCCTGAATTGGATTTGTAACTCCACCGTATTTAGTTTGTCTGTCTACTGAAATTTCCCAATGGAGACCACAGTAAAACAAACCACAAAAAACTTACCAGAAACTTCCTAATGCAGATCACAAATCTCTTAAAATATACCAGAACCCCACAAATATTTCATAAACACAACAGAAACATCCTAATGCAAATCAGAAAAACGATAAAATAAACCACAAAAAGTATACCAGAAACCTCCTAATGCAGACCACAAATTCCTTAAAACAAACCAGAAACCCCACAAAGCATACCACAAATATTTCATAAGCACACTAGAAACCTCCTAATGCAAACCACAACCACGACAAAGCAAACCACAAAAAGTAAACCAGAAACTCCACAAAGCAAACCATAAATATGTTAAAAGCACACGAGAAACTTCTTAATGTGGATCACAAACACAATAAAGCATACCACAAAATGCATACAAAAAACATGAGAAAGCAAACCATAAATCTCACAATGCATACCACAATATCCGGTGATTATTGACCGTTGACCACACTTCGACGCCTATCACTGATCGAATTCCACATCGATAAGCATATTTTGACCCCGATGACTAGATTTCGGCAACGATGAGTATATTCCGGTCAGGTTAAACATATTTCGGTGACAGTCCACATATTCTGGTCATGTTTACCGAATTCCGGGGACCAGATCCTAACAACTGTGGACCGGATTCTGGCGACCGGTGACCAGATTCTGGCGATCGATGGCCGAATTCCAACAACAAAATTTATAATTATTCTATTTTTTATTGATTAGTTAAATATAATATTCACAATGACTATTATACTCTTTCATTGTTTTCACACTAGGTCAACCTAGCTAATGAAAAGTAATCACAATCCTATCTTCCTGTTGGTTGGATACTGTTATTGTCAACCTATCCAATCCCCCATCCATCATTAATATCAAATTTCGACATCGTTATTCATCGGGATGCTTGTAGTTTTGTCTAACCTTAGGGGCACATCACCAAGGTATTTCGAACCTGTACTTAGTAGAGCTCCTAGCAACTCGTAATGCACTATATCTCCCGATCAACCGACAACCATCATATTCGCAATGTGATTAATTTTTATATCGAATGCCAGGGTGATTATTGAAGGTGACTATGAGGTCTTCATTTGCCTGCTTCAGCAGAGGGTGCATTTAGATTTCTTGGGTGGATCGATTCTTCGTCATTGTCTTCAATTGTCTTCCTCCTTCTCTCACGTTTAGGGCAGTTTCATGAATTGAAAATGATGGATCCCGATAGATTGGCGTGAGAGGCCCTGGTGTTGTACGTGGCCTTCATATAAAGTTATCTTATTTCGACTTTGTACGTTGGCTTCTGTAGCTTTTCAATTAAGGGTGTAACTGTGTAAGGGAGTCTAGGGTTGATTGTTTGTCTAATTCTTTTTTCTCTAGCGGAAAATATGGAAGAGGAAGGAGTGCAACGAGTAAAGTCGATAAGAGAGGTTCTAGAGATGTTGTAGCCAACATGAGAGACGTTGATAACTTACAATTCGATTAACATGCATGTAATATTTTGCGTAACCACCTACTTACATGTTTAAATTGCACATTATATTATCTTTAATTATCAAATTATCAGCTTGTATATATACTTATAATTTTGTATGTAAATGTTAGGGTGTGTATCTAATGATTGTGGATCACCAAATACGCAATCGAACAATATAAGCACATATGAAAATTATTGTAAGCAACATAGTCGAATTTGAGATAATCAAATATACTTGGGTCGTTGATGGAGAAGATTCGATCATCAATTTGAACGTATCAAGACTTCTACGGAAGGGTGCTTGATAGGATGAAGAGTTCTTACCATTGATTAGGAACGAATCTAGTAGTGAGACGTTCCTCTTGCATAGAACCATTTATAGGCACAAGATCAAAATGAGCTTGTGGTTATTAACACACATACATACATATACATGATTTTTATACCTTTTATATGTCATAGCTAAAAATCAAATAATTTAGAGCATTATTATTGTCACACCAATTAGAAAATTTGGATTTTAGACAATATTTATTTCATCAGTTGCAACACAGGATAACTATTGGATATGTGCGTAAGAATTACAACGAATTTGAGGGGGAAAATAGAGTAAGAATAAAGAGAAATAGATGAAAGAAAAAAAAAACAAAATTGGGTTACGAAGTTACAATCTTCTAACCTGGAAAATATGAACATATTTAGAAGAATTACGCTCCAAATTCTTTTCCTTCTAACCTTGCGCCTAGAGATGGCAATGAGTTTGGTCAGGTGGATAGTGCATATTCGTTACCCTACTCAAAATAGTTCAAGTTTTACCCATACTCACATGAGAAACGGGTAGAAAATCAAAATCATGTATATACTCGTTCGGGTTTCGGGTATCCACAGTTATCCATGGATAATAATTCATCTTCATAACTCCAACCAATATGTTAACATTCACACCTATTCTCACATTACATAAGAAAAAAAATATGACAATAATTCACTAGAATGAAGAAAATTAATTAAAACAACATAATTTCATAAAAATATTATATTTATATGCCACCAGCCTCTCCCCTCTCTTTTTTCTAACATAATTTTCTTTCTTAACCCACAAGTAACATTAATTAAACATAAAACAACTATCAATAAAAAATCCTAATCATTCATAAAAAAATCCCAATCCAACTAGACAAATTTAATAAATTAATAAGATAAATCATGTGAAAATAACACGTAAATATGAATAATAGAATAAAGATACGTCTAAAATATCATATTAGTCACACCGACTCATGTATGTGACAATCATCACCATTGAGCGCAACTTTGTCCTCAAGGTTGGTCATCCTCAAAGACAAAACCTCCCTCTTCCTCCTCCTTGCGGTTCTCAATTATGAGCATCACTTGAGCATTCTCGATCATCGCAATGGAAGCATAGCCCATTGACCCTTCTCTATGCCATTTTCTTTTGATGATATCCTTGTCAAGAATCAGTTGCTCCCAATAACTCGAGTTGTTGGGAGAAGGTTATGATGGATCTCATACAGGCCCATGTATGGTACTTAACCACTTCCTTACACGCTCCTTCAAACGAAAGCTGACTCATGGACTTGAAGTTTGCACATGCCCGTCATACCATGTGCTTGAAAGACAACGATTAATATTGGGGGTCGTGAGGACTTGAACACGTGACCTCACAGACAAACCATCTTTGATACCATGTCAAGAATCAGTTGCTCCCAATAACTCGAGTTGTTGGGAGAAGGTTATGCTGGATCTTATACAGGCTCATGTATGATACTTAACCACTTCCTTACAATCCTTCAAGTAATAGAATTGCAAAGCGGGCCACGTGTGCTTGCACAACTAATGGTGCGGATGTTGGTTCTTGAGCTGTGCGTGAAGTATTCCTTTTCACACTTTGAAGTTTCGTCAACTCTTCATTCTTCAACTTGGTGAGTCGATTTGTCTCTCACACGGTCTCTAAAGGAAACATGCAAACAACATCATAAATTTTCAGTTTAAACCCTCCAATAAATAATCCCACCAAATCTCCTCGATCCAATTTGTTTAACCTTGGCATGTTTTACATGGCTAGACGCTCCTTCATATGGCCCAAATCGATCCTATGGTTCCTCTTAAAATTGGGGCCAAGTCATTGCCAATGCAAAAGTTGCATACGTCCTCTCCAACCACTCAATTTGGGCCAATTTTGGCATGAACACCCTAGCTCAACCGCTCGAGCCTGCTAGCCTATGTGCCTCGCCATAGTCGTGAAGACCAATGTCACTATTTTCCATCTAGTCTACATGATCCCAATCAAGCCCATGACCACTGAGGCCATCATGTTTGACCGAGTCCATTGTCTGACGCCCATTCCAATGCTCAAAGCCCATTCTGCAAGTGCTTCTACTTCCGACCATTGTCAGCAATCCACAACCTGGCCCGAGAGCCAAAATGTCTTCCAGCGCAACTCCTCCTCCTATCGTAATGCTTGTTTTCCTTCCAAATCCCTTTTCCTCTAGCCTTAGGCCGTTGGCCTCCATCGTCTGCTTTTTCTAATCGACTCCCCTTCCTAACCAACAAGTAACATTAATTAAACATGAATAATTATTATAAGAACTCCAAATCCAACAAGAATAATTGAAATAATAAAAAAGACAAATAATCCCCAAATCATATGTAAATATGCATAACTAAATATATACGTTAGCTTATCAGATTAGTCACATTGGCTTGTATACATGACATCAATGCTCTTTTATATGGACATTTGAAGAAAGTTTATATGCAGTTTCCAGCACTATGACCACAATGGTTTGTAAAGCTAACCACCTCCCTCTCAAAGCATGCTTTATTACAATCATCAAAATACTACTTTAGCTCCTCAAGTCAGGGAGGAAGTGTTTTTTTTTGTAAGAAGACAGACGCAAGAGCGCCTTAATCATATATTAATAACTAGAGGTTGGTAGATTCCCATTACATCATAATCAAGCCATCTACAGAGATCAAAGTTAAACACATCAACATGATGTGTTCCAAAAGTCAGGCCATGACCTAAATTAACAAGAAAATCAACAGTCTGATTTCCTTCTCTGTACACATGTGAGACAGCAACGTCCCAATCACGTTCCAAAAGATGGTTAACTTGTTTTGCCAGTAATCCATGTCGATGATCATCATCAGAGCGGTCCCAAATGATAGCAATAGCAGTAGTAGAGTCTATCTTAAGCAACACTTTTCGATAGCATTTCTCCCAAGCCATCTGCAAACCAACAATTGCTCCTTTGAGCTCAGCAGCAGCAATCGAACATTTACCTACAGTACAACATCTACCAAAGTTGTCGTGAATAAGGCCTCCAGCAGCTGCAAATCCTGAGGGAGAGAGGACAGAGCCATCAGAATGAACTTGTACCCATCCCTCAGGTGGAGGCCTCCAGCGAATCTATCCTTCTTTTTTCTCAACAGGGGGTCTGAAACTTCTCTCCACATTCTGCAGTGCCATTTTGTAAATCTTGAACCAGGCCTCAATTCTGCAGATGAGGAATTTTTCCACATACACCTTCCCATCCATGAACTCTTCATTTCTTTGTTTCCGTAGATGCCACACAATAAGGCCAAAGTCAACACTATGAGTCTCATCACTCAAATTGATTGACAACCACTCCTTAAAAGGCAGGTCCCTGTCTTTGCAATTGACTTTGGAACTAAACTTATCCCAGATAGCTCCTGTTTTACTACATTTTCTCAGGATGCATGTGTTATGTTGTTTCTTCCACGTCTTTACAGTGGCTGCAATTACCATAAGTAATCATCTTCCTCTTGACTCGTTCCTTGTTAGTGAGAAATCTGCCATGCATCACAAGTCAGAGGAAGTGTTTTGTACGACTTGGCCCTTTCCACTTCCAGAGTTTCTTCCACATTGTCTCTCCTTCTGTTTCCACTTGGTCAACTACGAGGTTATAAGCTGACTTCAGCCTGAATCTTCCATCCCTTTCCAGTCCCCAAAATGCTATTATTTTTTCCCAGGCTACTTTTTGGAGGTTCCATGCCAGCGATCAGAGAGATAATGTTGGGGGAAGTCATTCATGGAGCTTCTGCCAGTTCCACTCTTCATTATCATCAGTCCACTCCGCCACAGAAGAGTCCTCCTGCTGCAAATCAGCAGTCTGCATGATGTGGTCTATGAGAATGATATCATGGTCTAGCCACGGGTGATTCCAAAAAGTGGTTGTTCTTCCATTTTTTATGCTCCAACAGGTCACACTCTTCATAAGGGGCATTGCCTTCATGATAGCTTTCCACAGTGAGGAATGATTGCTCATTTTCATTGCCACAATCTGCACATCGACGTGATTAAAATACTTTTCTTACATCACCTGCACCCAAAGGTCAGAACCATTATTAAGGATTTGCCAGGCAAGCTTGGTCATGAAAGCCATATTCAAGCTCCTAGCAGTTCTTAATCCTAGTCCCCCTTGGTTCTTAAGTCTACACACTTTCTCCCAGGAAACCATGTGAACTTTCTTTTTGTCTTCATTAGAGCCCCAAACAAACTATCTGATCTTTTTATCGATCAAGTCACAGATAGAAGCAGGGAGAAGGGTAGTTTGCATGACATAAGAAGGAATAACATTTAGCACAGAAAGGGCGAGGGTCACTCTTCCAGCTAAAGAGAGGGTTCTGGCTTTCCACGAAGATAATTTATGGTCAATTTTATCAATGATATACCTATAAGTGTTTCTATTTATCCTCCCATGGATAACAAGAACACCAAGGTATCTTCCTAAGTCTAAGGTAGACTGAATGCCTAACCTATCACAAATGTTCTTCTTATCCCTATCCTTAGTGTTCTTAGAGAAGAAAATCCTGGATTTTTCCTTGCTTACAAGCTCTTCTGAAGCCAAGCAAAATCTCTCAACACATCTGTTGATGACATCTGCTTGTTTCAGGGAAGCTTCATCAAAGAGGACATCCAGGGGAGAGTCTCAAAGTGTTCCACTTATGCTCTCTAACTTCTTCTAAGATGCAGTGTCCTAATCTCTCAACACATAAAGTAAAAAGATAAGGGGAAAGGAGACATCCTTGTCCGAGCCCCCTGCTTGGCTTGAATCTCTGAATTTCTCCACCTTCCCACAAGACTTGCATTTCCACCCTAGTGACACACTTCATGATTATCTTGATCATGTTGTGAGGGACTCCCGCTAAGGTAAGAGTTTCCTCGACGAAATCCTAGTCCAGCCTATCATATGCTTTTGCCAGGTCCAGCTTGAGCAGCATCATGTGGGAGCTACTCAGTAGGGGATATGAAAATAGCGAAGGTACATTGTAAAAGGAAATTTTGAATCAAAGATTTCATACCATTGAAACAAATATTACACTTGGAAAGAAACACATATTAGAATAAGGTTTTAGTTTCCCAAAAAAAGTATTGTTTGCAAGCAAAAATAATGCAAAACTACCATTGATATGAGCATGAAACTAAGTGCCATGAAAGGCAACCACTTGACTAACTTGGATGTTTATAATAAAGTTGATCCATTTCATACGAAAATTCAACGAGTTTTCTATTTTTCTATAAATACGAACCCTCCCTCAATAATTTTAAGTAGCCCAAGATACCAATATGTCTTTAAGTTTTTTGCTCCTCGAGGACATGTTCCAGGTCTCACCAAGAACAATACTTGAAACTACATGCTCCCTAGTGAGAGACACTTCAAAGGGTCGGTTCTTCTATTTTTTAACCCACACTTTTGTGGATGTGAATTAATCTAGAGAGTTATTTTATATATGCTTTGAAATACATAGGGAGTAATTTTTAGATGTAAGCTCTAGAAATGAGTATGTATGCACAAGAATGAAAAATTAACAGGAGATAGATAGCATATAGTGCACTATAAAGGTTTCGTGATTTTGCTCAATATTGAGACCAATGCAAACTATAATGCTTATTGCTTAAAGTACTTGGTATAGACGCCTAACCACCCCTAATACAAACTCCAAACAAATATCAAGTATGTTTTCTGCGTATTTTAATTCTTAATTAGTTTATATAGATAATTTAGTTATCGTTTATACTCTATCCACCTCACAAACTTTACTCTAATTTTATCTCCTATTATTTGAAACCAATCTAACCATCCTCACCTTAGTGAGTAGCTAATGAAATGGTATGCAAATTTATTTTTAGTATTTATGGAGAGTTTTTTTTGTTGTTGATAAAATGGAGGCAAACGCAGGAGAACACAGAGGAAGTTATATAGCCCCTAGCCACATTTGCCTAGAACAGGTCAACTCTAAAACAAAGCAAAACCAACATCTACCCAACTGACATGACTCTTAAAGCAGGAATCAATCAGAATGGATCACTTGACGGGGAAAGCTGACTCCCAAAAGGTCTTCTTGAAGCATTGTCTTTAGTTCCGGAGGGGGTCCATCCAGTTCATACGTATCAAAGGGATAGACGAGACTATACTTCGAGAGCCAGTCCGCGACTCTATTTCCTTCTCGATACGTATGAACGAGTTGGACCACCCACCTTTGCGCTAAAAGTCGGCGAATAGCTCCCAAGATAGTGGCGTGAGGGTGAGTTTGATCTGTCCGATTTCTGATCAGGTCCAAAGCAAGCTGGGAATCTGTTTCAAGTATGAGAAACTGGGAATCTTTTTTCCAAGCAAGTTGGAAACCTTGGAAGATGCCCCAGAGTTCCGCCATAATGGTTGTGTCTGATCCAATCTTGCTAACAAACCCCCCCAACCAATCTCCTTGATCATTTCGGAGAACACCTCCTGCAGTTGCCAAGGTCGGGGTTCCTTGCGCTGCCCCATCAGTATTAACCTTCCTCCACCCCGTTGTTGGCAGATTCCAACCGATAAGAGCTTCGTGTCTGGATGTATTTATGGAGAGCTGATACACCAATTTGGTCGAAAAAACACAGTGATTTGTAATTATTTTAAAAGTTGGTATATTGCATTTATAAACGTACCAACCAAGTAAAAAAAAAAAGCATTAAGAAACGTAGTTGAGTGATTGATTTGTCACGACCCTAAAGTTAGTGGCCAACACATGTAATTGTCCCAAATTGCTCCGTGTCACTTTTCTCGTCTCTCCCTCACCGCCTTTCTAACTGATGAGTGTGTGTCTAACTGGCAGAAGTTTCCAAGCAGCCTATAAAAATAAAACCCAAATCTCCGACGCAAGGAATTCGTGTTCTGATCCCAAAAATTCCCCATCCCTTGCTTTCGCCTGGCCGATAATGGAAGACCACTTGACCAAACTCCACCGATGTCTCTTCGAATCCAGTTGCTCGTCCTCCGATTTCCTGCACTCCCTCCGCTCGGACACTTCCATCGCCATCGCCCTCCAGCACTTCTACTTGATTCTCAAGCGGGGTGTCTCCGTCGTCGAAGAAGAAGAAGAGCATGATGATGGCCAGAGTGTCGAGGATAAGAAGTTAGGGTTCCAGTTATGGACCGATTCACAGATTCAGTCCGTCGTCTCGTTCGGCCTCGCGATCGTCTCCGCTTCTAGATCTTTTTCAGGTACTTTTTCCTGTTTGAAGACAGTGCGGAAGTACCTGCTGCTGTCAAGTTCAAAGAGTTTTTTTTGTTCTTGCTTAGAGGCTCTTGGTTGTTCTGGCTAGGCTACGAAAGCACTGCCAATTTTGTTTTTGAGCTCGCAAGTATTTAACTAATTACTGATCGGTGTTCTTTCTTTCTTGGTGGTGATCTTGTGGATAGTTAACCAAGCGGAGCCAGTACTGATCGCTGTTGTGCAACAATTGTTGGAGTTCGCTGTTTGTTACTTGGAGAAATCAGAATTCTGCAATGACGAATCAAGTATACAGGTAGGTGGTTTTCATTTTGGTTCTTATATTCTTTATCGGTTTCTTGATTCCCTACTTTGCGACTCAATAGGTACTCTTTAGGAAGCCTTTGAATTGAAAGCATTGGACGAATATAATCAGTGGCTAATTCGATATAATATTTCCATTTCCGACTGGTGCATTAAGCGTGGTGCGTAGGGTAGTTGAAAGCGCTTCTGAAGTCCACATTTTTGCAGGAATGACTGAGACCAGGGAATCTGTAACTAACTGCGCTGTTGAGCTGCATAAAATTTTAGTTTGTTTTGTTGGTCTGCATGTAATTTATCAATGTGTTTGGATGATGATTGATGATGGGTGATAATAATCAAGATATTAATGAGAAACCAAGAAATAACCCCTCACATGCAAAATTATATAAGATCCCCTTATGATCAAGCAATTCCATTTTTTTTTTCTTTGACAAAAGGAAATTCCATAGAATTGAGTATATGATTGTATGTGTTATAGCATCTACTATACGAAGAATATCAATGAGCACGATTATTGGAATGGTTCAAGATACCCGTTTTTAGTTTCTAGTATCTATTTCTGATTTCATCGACCTTTATTTGGACAATGAGGTGATGTATGGATGTTTTTTATATTAGTTCCAGGAGTGTTTCTTAGAAGGTTAGGGTTTGGAACATGAGGAGTTCTTCAATCTTAAACACAGCAGTTATCTAATCCTATTATAATTGCTTTTTGTGAGTCTTTTGACCTAATCTGTAAGTGAAATCTCAAACCTTTTTTTAGTGGTTCTCAAGCAAAGTCCAACTCTTGGATTAGAGAATCAGTCACCAAACACTATTCTTTATCTATCGAATTTGAAGCAGCTTTCTCAACAGAATCCCATATTTCCTACTTAGTTCTTCAGAATTCTATAAACCGGGGACAGGCATTTGAATCAAGTTTGTAGATTTCAAATGCATATCAAAGGCCCGATTTCTGCTTTCGTACGTTGATCAAAATGTTTTAGTATTTTTCTTTTTGCTGTAAAATTGATTAGAATTTTGGATTAGCAGCTATTAATCAAACACATTTAAAACTTCATATATTATTAAATATATATAATTTATGAGCAGATAGTGTTTGGCCTTCAGATATGTTATCTGTATCTTAAAGATGTTGCAGACTATTTGTTTGCCACCATTTCCACTTGGACAGTGGGTTTTGGTGCTTTGGACTGCACAGCATTAGAAGATAGTACTTTATAGTCGGTTGAAGATGCAGGGTAACTGTAATGCATCATTGCGTGCAGTGAAAGCGCAATGTACAATCATTTGCTAATTCCACAATGGATGAAAGTGTTAACCCATTTTGTTTATTTCTCTCCTCTTCATGGTGACTGCTACGTCTAGCTCCTAGCTGTCACTAGAATTCGGGCATTTGAGTTTGGATCATTCCTTTCATTGTTTTGACCTAGTTTTTGCTACCATTTGATTGTACCGTTGCTTTTGTGACATATAGTATGTTGACCAGTGCTAGGGGAACATGGCCTTTTTGTTCTTTACTTCTTAGAGTGTTTGATTGTGTCAATTCTTTCATAAAATGTTGTATAGCTATAATTACATACTTATAAGTTTTTTTTTTTTTTTTGCAGATTAATTTGATACTACTCATGGAGTTGGCTTTGGTGAAAGAAATAGATAAAGTCCCTGACAGGTCTTGCCCTCTAAGTTGCATTTTAGAATTGTTGCCAGTTGTGTCTAGTGCTCGCTGTGATGTCCAGTTTGATAGCCATATAAAATGCATCCTCCAAGGTACTTTGTAAAAATGTTCTCTTGTTCCTTCTTTGTGGGTTAGTCTTGTTGGTATATGTGGTTTCTTACTTTCTTTTCTCACCTCTTTGCCATCCTGAGAAGGCTCCAGTTGCTTGAGGGCGGAGAAACAGGTGGATCGACTACTAATGACACTAGAGACTGAATATCTTCAAACTGAGGGGCAAACTTCTGGTTTCAATGGTCCCATACATGCTACGAGTAACTTGATATTTGCATCTCAACATTGGGCTCTAATTCATTTGGGTTTTGTTCGGCGTCTTATTCCTCATTGCACACAGCTGATTGAACGGGCCGATGTGCATGGTGAGAAGGTGGCAGCTGCCAAATTTTCTGAGAGGTTGTCGTTCAGTTTGAGGATTCTAAGGTTACTCAGAAGCATTGTGAAGGAGAACCCTTATGTTGAGTATGATGCCTACCTATTGGAGCAAGTTGCTTCATTGGCTGATACTCTACCTAGTGTCTTTAGACACAGGTTTGAATTTGCTGATAACCAAGGTGCCGCAGAGAGCGACTTTGAGAACCTTGTATTATCTCTACTAGAAGAGTTCCTTCATCTAGTCCAATCCATATTTGGCAACAGCAGCATTTCTCAAAATATACAGGTGTGTATTGTGGCTTCCATATTAGAAAACTTGGACTCTTCTATATGGAGAAATGAAAAGTCTGCTGTCAGTCCAAAGCCACCTTTAGTATATTTTCCTCAAACTGTTGTTCTCATGTTGAGAATTGTTCAAGATGTCAGAAGGGCAATCAGTCAGGGTCATAGGTCCAAGGAACTTGACATAAATCTCATTGGAAGCTCTTCCAATTTCCCAAACAAACCTCCATCATGCCATTTACGCCTGAAGGAAGTTCCTTTGACGAAGAGTTTAACAACTGAGGAGGCAATGAGAGTTATATTTACCTCATCGGCTCAGTGGCTGGATAATCTAATACAGCTTATTATCTTCCTTCATCTGGAAGGTATGAACTTCAGACCAAGAGTTGAAAAATCACAGTCCAGCAGTGTCAAAGCTAATTGTGCAGTAGAACTGGAAAATGCAGCATGCCACGAGGATGAGGCTCTTTTTGGTAACCTTTTCGCTGAAGGTAGCCGTTCGGTAGGATCAGTGGAAGTCTATGATCAGGCGCCAGTTGCTCTCAGTTCTTTCTCCAACAGTTGCAATTTGCCAATGCAAGCAGCCAGTGAGTTGTTGGGTGTTCTGAAAGATGTTATCTTCTCTCAAGAATATCCTACTCTGTATGAGGATGGCTGTAAAACGATAAGAAAGAATCATATAAATGCCTTGCTCTCTCTCCTTAATTGCCAGGAGTGTGGTTTAGAAGACAAGTCATCTGATGGTTTTGCGTCTGCGCCAGATGAGGGAAAAACTGGTAATATCCATGAACTATGCCTTGAGCTTTTTTGCAGTCTTCTCGCTCAGTGCACTATGTCAGCTTCCCTTGAAGAGAACCTTGTTGAACAAATTTTAGCTGTTGAAAATGGAGCATTTGCTTACAGTGATCGAACTCTGATGTTGTTGGCTCAGACAGTGTTTAGTAGAGCTGGTTCTGATGGTGGCAGATTGAGAACCAGACTGTATGGAGTTTTTGTGGACTTTATTACTGATAAGGCAAAACTTGTTTGTACAAACTGCCCTGATTTCAGGAAACTTCTTCAAGCTCTTCCGTCAGTTTTTCACTTGGAAATTCTCCTAATAGCATTCCATTTGTCATCTGCGGAAGAGAAGGCCAAGCATGCTGACTTGATATTTTGTTCCCTTCGAGCAATAGGTGGACCCTCTCATAGTTTTTCCTGCTCGCAATTATCCTGCTGGGGATTATTAGTTTCAAGATTCGTCTTACTACTGCGACACATGGTTTTCTACGCAGATACTTGTCCATCATCATTGCTTCTGGATTTACGATCAAAGTTGAGGGATGTCCCCTTTTGTGATTCACTTCCTACTGGTGTAAATGATGAGTTATTGTCCTGGGCATCAATTGCAGCAAAGAATGTTCTGGGTGCATTTGTTGAGGAAGAGTCTACAATCAGCTGTTTGATCAATCAATTGGTTGATATTTCAGCCCTTCCGCCTTCACTTTCTAGGGACAAGTTGGCCATCACATCATTGACCCTGAACTGCGATGATCTGTGCGATACATTCTCGCTGATTCTTGGGTACTGGAAAGGTAGAAAGACTAGTTCTGTAGAAGACCTGCTGGTTGAAAGATACATCTTCATGCTGTGTTCGGATGTACCTATGAAGAAGACCTCGGCAGACAATCAACTTCTTCTGTGGAGGGAGCCTGGGGCTATAGACATGTCTGATATTGGCTTCTTATTTCACTTCAGCAATGTTGTTATGGGCTGCAGTCTTGACAGTGGGATTGTTGATGACCTTCAGGCTGCTGTTTTCAGTGCACTACAACACATTTCTGCCATGAATATACCAGAGGACGTTGAGGAACTAGGTTGGGATTTCTTGAGGAGCAACATGTCTCTATCGTTTATACTTTCTTTGGTTAATGTTGGTTTGACCAGACATGAAAACAAGAGAAAGGACACTGAGGTGGGTTTATTCTTGGTTAAAGATGCAACCTATGATGATGTACATTACCTCACAGTTGCTGAGAAGCTGGTTTCATCCTTGATTGGCAGAAATTTGCTTGTAGACTTGTTGTCCTCCTTGTTGAAGATCTATCTGAAGGCTCACCAAAAGGCATTTCTTGCCACCCTTAGTAGTAGCCAATATGATCCTGAGGACTTATCACCTCTATTACTCCTGAAACTTTCCAAGTCCGAAAAATGCCTGATGGATGAGATTGTTAGGAAAAGTGGAATAAGCTATCGCAGTCTGGACTCCGCTTTTAACATTTTGACAAAGGTGGATTCTTTGGTCGATGAAACAGCTCTAGGAATTCGGAGCAAAGTATTTTGGGAATGTGCATTGCATGGTTTTCCTTCTGATCTTCGGATGCCAAGTGCCATTCTTCTCTCTTGTGGTATCAGCATAAGGGCTATTATTACGGTTTTAGATAAGTTGCTTGGACTTGAAAGTTTGAGCGGGAAAATTATCTTGGAATCTGAGGTTCACCAACAGCTTCTTAGTTCTGTGATGATGGTGAAGTTTGATCGGATTTTTGAGAGCCTTGCTGGAAGATGTGACACAGTTCTTGGTAACCTTAATCCTGATTTTGCCTTATCAGATGGTAGTGATTTGTTTCTGCTGACGTACATGGGGAGCTTTCTGAAGCACCAGAATGCATCAAAATCAAGCGACAGTAGCGTACTTGAATGGCTAATCACCAGGACCATTGATATTGCTGAATGCTTGAGGAGACAACCAAGAAATGTTGAGTTCTTTCTTGGCACATCAGATGGGGTGGGACTTGTCAAGCAGTTTGATTGGTTGAAGTTTGGTGACTTTTTAGGTCTGCTTGATTCGTTGGACAACTGTTCTTCTGATGCAGTTAATGTGAAGGTCCTCAATTTCTTCGTGGATCTCTTATCTGGAGAATCTTCTTCTGAGCTCAGACAAAGGATACAGACCAAGTTCCTTGAAATGGATTCTGTTTGTTTGTCCAGATGGTTAGAAAAGCGACTACTTGGTTCTGTTGTGGAGATATCTGGAGGGACACGATGTGGAAAAGGGAGTTCTGTTTCTCTACGAGAATCAACAACTAGTTTCATTTTGTCTCTCGTGTCCTCATATTGTGAATTGTCTTCAAAATGTCTGCACCATCATTTGTTTAAATCCTTGCTCAATTTACTTGATACTGCATTCTCGCTATTTGATGTTCATATTGCCAAGTCCTTCTTCCAAGTGGTTATTCAACTGTGCAGAGGAGAGCAATCGATGAAGTTGCTTCTTGAGACGACAATATTGTTGATGGAGAAGTTGGCTGGTAACGATTGTCTGCTTCCCGGGCTGAGATTTCTTTTTGGCTTTCTTGAAACTGTTTTAAGTGATTGTGGATCCTGTAAGAATCCTCTTGAGAAATCTGCAGAAAATTCTTTTCATCTTAGCAGTATTGGTGAGGCTTCAGCCCTTTTGAAGGCAATAGGATCGAGAAAGAATCCTGATGCTGTGGTCCTTTCCACAAATCAGGAAAGGAGTAGTCCTGCAATAGAGTGTGATGCAACCTCTCTTGATGAAGATGAGGATGATGGTACATCTGATGGCGAGGTAGCTAGTGTGGATAAAGATGATGAGGATGATATCAATAGTGAAAGAGCTCTTGCCTCAAAAGTATGTACATTTACATCCAGTGGCAGCAACTTTATGGAACAACACTGGTATTTTTGTTATACTTGTGACTTGACAGTGTCAAAAGGCTGTTGCTCTGTGTGTGCGAAAGTTTGTCACCATGGTCACCGGGTTGTATATTCTCGGTCTAGTAGATTCTTTTGTGATTGTGGAGCTGGTGGTGTTAGGGGTAGCAATTGTCAATGCTTGAAGCCTCGAAAATTTTCACCACATGACAGTGGGCCAGTACGTAGTACAGGGCACTATCAGTCCTTCTTGCCCTTCACTGATGCTACAGATCAGTTGCCAGAGACAGATTCTGATCTAGAAGAGGATTTGGCAGTGGACGCAGATAGTCCTGTTAGGTGGTCTATTCCCAGAGAGATTCAGGATAAGATCCCACTTCTTATTGAAGAACTTGATTTGGAGTCCAAAGTACTACAGCTTTGCTCTTCATTGTTGCCTTCTATAACGGCTAAAAGAGAATATGAACTCTCAAAGGATAAGAAAATCATTCTCGGTAAGGACAAGGTGCTTTCCTTCGGAGTTGAGCTGTTGCAGTTGAAAAAGGCTTATAAAAGTGGATCGCTGGACCTAAAGATAAAGGCAGACTATTCAAATACGAAGGATCTTAGATCACACTTGGCTACTGGTTCTCTTGTGAAGTCTCTGCTCAGTGTCAGTAATCGAGGCAGACTTGCTGTTGGAGAAGGTGATAAAGTCTCCATATTTGATGTTGGTCAGCTTATCGGACAAGCCACTGTTGCCCCGATAACAGCAGACAAAACCAATGTCAAGCCCCTTTCAAGAAATGTTGTCCGTTTTGAGATTGTACAACTTACCTTCAATTTAGTCACTGAAAATTATCTTGCTGTGGCTGGGTATGAAGACTGCCAGGTCCTCACTTTGAATCCTCGTGGAGAGGTGACGGATAGACTTGCCATTGAACTTGCTCTTCAGGGTGCTTATATTAGACGGATTGAGTGGGTTCCTGGTTCCCAAGTCAAGTTAATGGTGGTGACTAATAGATTCATCAAAATGTATGATCTCTCTCAGGACAACATCAGTCCTCTGCACTACTTCACCCTGGCTGATGACATGATTGTTGATGCTACACTTTTGATGGCTTCTCAAGGGAGAATGTTTCTGGTCGTTCTTTCTGAGAAAGGAAGGTTGTTCAGGCTAGAAGTGCCTGTGGAAGGAAATATTGGAGCAACACCATTGAAAGAAATTGTTCAGATCGAGGATCGTGTAATCGACACAAAGGGCTTATCTCTGTACTACTCTTCTACCTACAGATTACTACTAATCTCCTATCACGATGGTACTACTTTGATGGGTCGTCTACGTCCTGATGCATCATGTCTTTCTGAGACATCTTTCGTGTATGAAGAGGGACAGGATGGCAGGATGCTACCAGCTAGTTTGCATCGCTGGACAGAATTATTGAGTGGTAGTGGTTTGTTCGCTTGCTTCTCGTCCATAAAATCTAATTCTTCACTTGTTGTATCCATGGAAGCTGATGCCTTTAATGCACAGAGCTTGAGGCATGCTGTCAGTGCGGCCTCAAATTTAGTCGGTTTAGCTGCATACAAGCCTTTGTCCAAGGACAAGATCCATTGTCTTGTTTTACAGGATGATGGAAGCCTTCAGATATATGTACACTCACCAGGTGGAAATGATAGTGATGGAAGTGTTGCAGCTGAGCAAGTAAAGAAGTTGGGTTCTGGAATCCTTAACAGTAAAGTGTATGCTGGTGTGAAGCCTGAATTTCCTCTCGACTTCTTTGAGAAGACAGTTCTGATCACTTCTGATGTGAAACTGGGAGGTGATGCAATCAGAAATGGTGATTCTGAAGGAGCAAAACAGAGCTTGGGATCAGAGGATGGCTTTCTGGAAGGCCCTAGTCCTGCAGGCTTTAAGGTGATGCATTGTTGTTGTCCATTCTCTGTCTGTCTCTATTTATATATTATTATATTATTCTTTGTGTAAATTTTGGAAACATTTATGGTATATCCTCAATTCAATTGTGTTTTAAGTTTAGCTTGACTCTTTAGTTCCTTTCATGTTGTTAATTTGAGATATCCACTGATATGAGGAGTCTAGTCACTGGCCGTGTAAGGTGTTATGCAGTATTGGTGGCTGGAAACTTTACCCTTTCTCCTTTGAGAAGGGTTTTCTTTTTATGGATCTTTAAGAAGATCTTGCGGGTGGTTTATGGAGCAAAACATAAAAAATAATGAAATGTGAAGATAAATATACATCAAAGTGTGGGAAGTGAAGGGCAGTTAGCTGATATCGGGGAAGGAGCAATTCTTTTTCTTGGTTTAATGTCAAATGGGGGTAATGCCATCTGATGGGTGAATGTAGTCCCTAAAATCTGAATTTGATGTGGGTCTGTTAATCTGACATATGGTATGATTAGGTTACTGGCAGTGTATGTTTCTGTTGTCACTCTTGATCTTTTGTTGTTAATTTTGACATTGGAGACTTGGCCTGCATTATACAGCCTTACATTGGCAGTTAGTTATTTTCGAGATTTGTATTAATTTATTAACTCTTGGTACATTTTGTTTCCTGTAGATATCTGTCTCCAATCCAAACCCTGATATTGTGATGGTTGGTATTCGTGTCCAAGTGGGGAACACATCTGCAAATCACATACCTTCTGAGATTGGCATCTTTCAGAGGGTTGTCAAGTTAGATGAAGGCTTGCGTTCGTGGTATGATATACCATTCACTGTTGCAGAATCTCTCCTTGCTGATGAAGAATTCATCGTCACTGTGGGGCCAACTTTCAATGGCACTGCACTACCTAGAATTGACGCACTTGAAGTTTATGGGCGAGCAAAAGATGAATTTGGTTGGAAAGAGAAGATGGATGCAGTTTTGGGTATGGAAGCCCGTGTGCTGGGTTCGAAGTCATCGCTTTCTGGGTCGGGTAAAAAATCTAGGTCTGTGCAGTCTGCTTCCATCCAGGAGCAGGTTATAGCCGATGGACTAAAGCTTCTATCTAAATTATATTCGTCATCCCGGAGGGTAGAAGATCATGGTAAACTAGAGCTTCCTGAATTGAAGTGCAAGATGCTGTTGGAAAGCATATTTGAGAGTGAAAGAGAACCACTACTACAAGCTTCTGCTTGTCGTGTCCTGCAGGCAATTTTCCCCAAGAAAGAGAGATATTACCAAGTAAGCTTTGGCAAACTAAATCATTATACACAACTGCGATGGATGCAGGAATATTTTTTTTTGTGTGCTTTTGTGAATGTCTTTGATGTATGGTTTTAGTTTTTGGTCTGTAACTTCAGTCTCTATTTTCCAGGTTATGGTCTTGTAACTTCAGTCTCTATTTTCCAGGTTAAGGATACAATACGTCTCCAAGGAGTTGTTAAATCAACTTCTATTCTTTTATCAAGACTAGGAGTTGGCGGAATGACAGGAGGGTGGATTATCGAGGAGTTCACTGCTCAGATGCGTGCCGTATCTAAGATAGCATTGCACCGCCATTCAAATCTAGCCAATTTTCTGGAGATGAATGGTACGATCTATCTGTTTTAAAAGAATTGCCAGTCATAACTGAACTATTAAGAATCATCTATACATATGTGCATCTTTTTTACGTTTTCTATCTAAAGGATTTTGCAATATAGCACTTTATGGAATTCATCAACTAGATTTCATGGGTAGGCATGGGACTGAAATTGTGTGTATTTAATCTATGGACATCAGCAATTGACAATTATGAGGAAGTCTGAATCCCAACGGTTTCCTAGTTCTTAATATATTCAGTAACCATTAATGATAATCGAAGAAGGCTAAAACAGCTTGTAGTAACTGTGTCTGTGAAAGCCGTTGCGCTTAGGAAATCAAATTTTTATAACGTTTGTGCCACTGTTGCTCATGTGTAGGCGCAGAGGTGGTGGATGGTTTGATGCAAGTATTGTGGGGGATTTTGGACTTGGAGCAGCCTGACACGCAGACAATGAACAATATCGTTATTTGTGCTGTGGAGCTTGTATATTGCTATGCTGAATGTTTAGCTTCACACGGGAAGGATGCAGGGAAGAGCTCCGTTGCCCCTGCTGTTGCTGTACTGAAGAAGCTTTTATTCTACCCCAATGAGGCTGTGCAAACGTCGAGCAGGTACTAATTTCTTGTCCTTGTGTCTGATTATCACAGTTACTTCCCTTATGTGTACTGATGATGCTGCCACTTCTCCATATTCAGCCTGGCGATATCTTCAAGATTGCTTCAAGTACCTTTCCCAAAACAAACTATGTTATCAACAGATGATGGTGCAGAAAATGCTGTTTCTGCATCTGGGCCAGGTGATGCAACAGGCAATGGGAACACACAAGTCATGATTGAAGAAGATACTATCACCTCATCGGTTCAGTATTGTTGTGATGGTTGTTCAACTGTCCCTATACTTAGGCGGAGATGGCATTGCACAATCTGCCCTGATTTTGACTTGTGTGAAGCTTGTTATCAAGTATTGGATGTTGATCGTCTCCCCCCGCCCCATTCCAGGGATCATCCTATGACTGCTATTCCAATTGAAGTGGAATCATTGGGAGGAGATGGTAATGAGATTCACTTCTCCAGTGAGGATGTAAATGATTCTAACTTGATGCGTGTCACATCTGACATTGGCCTACCGAGTTCCGCTCCTTCAATTCATGTTCTGGAGCCCAATGAGTCTGGAGAATTTTCTGCTTCGATGACAGATATTGTCTCCATTTCTGCTTCGAAACGGGCTGTGAACTCCTTGCTTCTTGCTGAACTGCTTAAACAGTTGGGTGGATGGATGCACACAACTTCTGGTGTTCGGGCTATCCCTGTTATGCAACTCTTCTACAGGCTATCATCTGCTGTGGGTGGGCCATTTATAGATGGTTCACAGCCCGACACCCTTGCCCTAGAGAAGTTGATCAAGTGGTTTTTAGACGAGATAAATCTTGATCAACCTTTTGCAGCTAGAACACGTTCATCCTTTGGAGAGGTTGTGATTCTTGTCTTCATGTTTCTTACTTTGATGCTTCGAAATTGGCACCAGCCTGGTACTGATGGTTCTGTGAAATCTAGTGGGACTGTTGAGAAACATGATAAGAGTATTAGTCCGGTCATTTCTGTTACTTTACAATCTACCTTGGACGGTCAAGAGAAGAATGATTTTGCATCCCAGCTGATTCGAGCATGCAGCTCTTTGAGAAATCAAGCTTTTGTGAACTATTTGATGGATATCTTGCAGCAGTTAATGCAGGTTTTCAAGTCCTCTAGTGGGAATTTGGAGAGCTCTGTCTCAAACAATGGTTCGGGATGTGGGGCTCTATTAACTGTCCGGAGAGATTTACCAGCTGGCAACTTTTCCCCATTCTTTTCTGATTCATATGCTAAAGCGCATCGTGGTGATATTTTTATGGATTACCATAGGTTATTACTAGAGAATGCGTTCAGGCTGGTGTATACATTGGTCAGACCGGAGAAGCAAGACAAGACAGGTGATAGAGAGAAGGTTTACAAGGCCTCTTCTGGTAAGGATCTGAAGCTAGATGGATATCAGGATGTCCTCTGTAGCTATATTAACAATCCTCACACCACGTTTGTTAGAAGACATGCAAGGAGGCTATTTCTGCATATTTGTGGAAGCAAAACTCACTATTACAGTGTCCGAGATTCATGGCAATTCTCAAGCGAAGTGAAGGAACTTTACAAGCATATTAATAAATCTGGTTCACTTCAAAATCCAGTCCCGTACGAGAGGAGTGTAAAGACAGTTAAGTGCTTATCTACAATGGCTGAGGTGGCTGCAGCGCGGCCACGAAATTGGCAGAAGTACTGTTTGAGGCATGGAGATGTGTTACCCTTTCTTATGGGTGCAATATTCTATTTCAGTGAGGAGTCTGTTGTTCAGACTCTAAGACTTCTCAATCTGGCATTCTATTGTGGAAAGGAAATGAGCCACTCCTTGCAGAAAGTTGAAGGTGGGGACCCTGTTTCAAGCTCGAGTAAATCTGGCTCACAGTCTGGAGATTCAAAGAAGAAGAAAAAGGGTGAAGATGGAAACGAATCTAGTTCGGAGAAGTCATATTTGGATATGGAGGCAGCAGTAGATATCTTTACTGACAAGGATGGTGACACTCTGAGGCAATTTGTTGATTGTTTTTTACTGGAGTGGAATTCAAGCTCTGTGCGTGCAGAAGCCAAGTGTGTTCTTTATGGTACCTGGCATCATGGGAAGCATTCCTTCAAGGAAATGATGTTAGTGACCCTCTTGCAGAAAGTGAAGAACTTGCCTGTATATGGTCAGAATATTGTTGAGTTCACTGAACTAGTCATCTGGTTATTGGGGAAGAGTCCAGATAATAGTTCGAAGCAGCAGAGCACTGATCTTCTCGATCGTTGCTTGACTAATGAGGTTATTAGGGGTATCTTTGATACTCTTCACTCACAGAATGAGCTTATAGCTAATCATCCAAATTCTCGTATATACAATACTTTGAGTGGCCTTGTTGAATTTGATGGTTACTACCTTGAAAGTGAGCCTTGTGTTGCATGCAGCTCTCCTGAAGTGCCCTACAGTCGGATGAAACTAGAAAGCTTGAAGTCTGAAACAAAGTTTACAGATAACCGCATCATTGTAAAGTGCACTGGGAGTTACACCATCCAGTCTGTTACAATGAATGTCCATGATGCGCGCAAATCTAAGTCTGTGAAAATCTTGAACTTGTATTACAACAACAGGCCTGTAGCTGATTTATCTGAGTTGAAGAACAATTGGTCGTTGTGGAAACGAGCAAAAAGTTGCCATCTTGCTTTTAACCAAACAGAGCTGAAAGTGGAGTTTCCTATTCCAATCACTGCCTGTAACTTCATGATTGAACTGGATTCATTCTATGAAAATCTTCAGGCTCTATCCCTGGAGCCATTGCAGTGCCCACGGTGTAGTCGGCCTGTGACTGATAAGCATGGGATCTGTAGCAACTGCCATGAGAATGCATATCAGTGTAGGCAATGCCGCAACATAAATTATGAAAATCTGGATTCTTTCTTGTGTAATGAATGTGGGTATAGCAAATATGGCCGGTTTGAGTTCAACTTCATGGCAAAGCCGAGTTTCACATTTGATGATATGGAGAATGATGAAGATATGAAGAGGGGTTTGGTAGCTATTGAGTCGGAGTCGGAAAATGCTCATAGGAGATACCAGCAACTTCTGGGTTTCAAGAAGCCCCTTCTTAAGATTGTATCAAGTATAGGGGAGAATGAAATGGATTCGCAGCAGAAAGATTCCGTTCAGCAAATGATGGTTTCTCTACCTGGACCTTCGTGCAAAGTGAATCGGAAGATTGCTCTTCTTGGTGTCTTGTATGGGGAAAAATGTAAGGCTGCTTTTGATTCTGTTAGCAAAAGTGTCCAGACACTGCAGGGACTCCGCCGTGTTCTGATGAGTTATCTGCACCAGAAGCGTTCCGATGATTCTGTTACTGCCTCTAGATTTGTTGCGTCCAGGTGTCCCAATAACTGTTATGGCTGTGCAACCACTTTCATCACGCAATGTTTGGAGATGCTGCAAGTTCTATCAAAACATTCTAGTTCGAAAAAACAACTTGTAACAGCTGGCATCTTATCAGAGTTGTTTGAAAACAATATTCACCAGGGTCCAAAAACTGCACGGGTCCTGGCAAGGTCTGTTCTATGTGCTTTCTCAGAAGGTGATGTTGGTGCAGTGATTGAGTTGAACAGTTTAATACAGAAAAAAGTTATGTACTGCCTCGAACATCACAGGTCCATGGACATTGCTGTTGCCACTCGGGAGGAGATGATGTTACTATCAGAAGTGTGTTCCCTAGCAGATGAATTCTGGGAGTCACGGCTGCGTATTGTATTCCAGCTTTTATTTTCATCCATCAAGTTGGGGGCTAAACATCCTGCAATAGCTGAGCATATCATTCTTCCTTGTCTAAGGATTATCTCCCAGGCTTGCACCCCTCCTAAAGCTGATAAAACAGAAAAAGAGCAAGCCAGTATAAAGCCCGTCTCTACATCACGGTTGAAGGAAGATATTAGCTTTAGTACATCTTTCAGTGGTAAGTCATTAGAAATGCCCAAGAAAGATCGTTCAGGTTCTAATAAGACACAAGATATTCAGCTGTTGAGTTATTCAGAATGGGAAAAAGGAGCTTCATACCTTGATTTTGTGAGAAGGCAGTACAAGGTGTCTCAGCCAGTTAAAGGTCATAGATCTCGGCCACAGAGACATGAATACTTGGCCCTCAAATATTTGCTTCGATGGAAGCGACGTGCTAGTAAGACAGCAAAGGGTGGCTTGTCTACTTTTGAGCTAGGGTCATGGGTGACGGAACTTGTTCTTAGTGCCTGTTCTCAGTCCATCCGGTCAGAGATGTGCCTGCTGATTAATTTACTTTGTGCCCAAAGCTCATCAAGACGGTTCCGGTTGTTGAATCTGCTCATGGCATTGTTACCAGCAACTCTTGCATCTGGTGAAAGTGCTACTGAATACTTTGAATTGCTTTTCAAGATGACTGATTCCGAAGATGCTCTTCTGTTCTTGACGGTACAGGGATGCCTCAGTACAATCTGCAAATTGATTACTCAGGAAGTGGGTAATGTTCATTCCTTGGAAAGGAGTTTGCATGTAGATATTTCACAGGGATTCATCCTTCACAAGCTTATAGAGCTCCTTGGAAAATTCTTAGAGGTTCCAAATATAAGATCCAGGTATCATCGAAAATCACTGTTGTTTGCAAGTCTGCTTGAAAAACATGTTGTTTCCCTTAACTTGCTTCTAACAGTTGCTTTTGTATCAGATTTATGCGTAACAATTTGTTGCCGGATATCCTTGAGGCTCTTATTGTAATTAGAGGTTTGGTAGTACAAAAGACGAAGTTGATAAGTGATTGCAATCGTCTTCTGAAAGACCTTCTTGATGGACTTCTACTTGAAAGCAGTGAAAATAAGAGACAGTTCATTCGAGCCTGTGTCAGTGGCCTGCGAATCCATGCTAAGGAAAGGAAAGCCCGCACATGTCAGGTAGGGAGACTAGCGTGCTTTTGTTGTTCCATAATGTTGCATTTAACAATAAGTTACAAGAGCCCTGCTTGGATCAATGTTACCTTGATCATGGAAATGGATCAAAGTAAGAGATAAGTTACTGGCAAGACCGAGATGAATTAATTTTTAAATGTAGCCAAGATTTTAGCTCGGCTATCTGCCTGAAGGAAGTCTTGCAGACAGATTATGCTTATCACCCTTAGATATCCTACTGTTAATTTGGTTATTTTCCTTTTCCTTTATTGTGCTTTGAATCTTCAAAATATAGGTTGTTTAAATCCTCTTCTAATTCTCTGCTATACCTGCAGTTTATACTTGAGCAGCTTTGCAACTTGATCTGTCCCTCAAAGCCAGAGTCGGTCTATTTATTGGTTCTAAACAAAGCTCACACACAAGAAGAGTTTATGAGAGGATCCATGACTAAGAATCCCTACTCTAGTGCTGAGATTGGCCCTCTCATGCGTGATGTTAAAAATAAGATCTGCCAGCAATTGGATCTGCTTGGACTCATCGAAGATGACTATGGAATGGAACTGTTGGTTGCTGGAAATATCATTTCTCTTGATTTAAGCATTGCTCAAGTATATGAGCAGGTGTGGAAGAAATCAAACAGTCAATCATCAAATTCCATGATCAATAACACCCTGCTATCCTCAAGTGCTGCTTCGGCTAGAGACTGCCCACCTATGACAGTGACCTACCGTCTTCAGGTTAGCTGAATTGACCGCTTGCTATCATTTCTCTTTGTTCAATTCTTTCTGGTGTTTTGGTGTGTTTGCTTGTGGGAGAAATTCAGCAACTCATAGAATTCCCATCTTGTCCATCTAAAATTGTTCGAGTTCTGGTAGATTTGAGTTTTGCCAGTCTTTCTCTGTACTATTTTATCCGGTTTTGGCTTGTGATTTTAGTGTGTCCTATCAATATACCTCCTCAGACAAACATCCGACTCTGTGCTTTTATATGATTTAGGGATTGGATGGTGAAGCCACTGAGCCCATGATAAAAGAGTTAGAGGAGGATAGAGAGGAATCACAAGATCCAGAGGTGGAATTTGCCATAGCTGGTGCAGTTCGTGAGTGTGGTGGCTTGGAGATCTTGTTGGGAATGATCCAGGTACTCAGCAACCCTATAATTTCCAGTTTTTGCTCTTGTAATGCATATTGGCCTTCTAGAATCCTAGGTTCTAATCTCATGGTTTGTGCTTTCACCAGCCACTGCAAGATGATTTCAAGTCAAACCATGAGCAGTTGGTTGCAGTTCTGGATCTCCTCATGCACTGCTGTAGGATAAGGGAGAACAGACGTGCCTTATTAAAGCTTGGAGCTTTAGGCCTTCTTCTTGAAACAGCAAGGCGTGCTTTCTCTGTGGATGCTATGGAGCCAGCAGAAGGCATCCTTCTGATTGTAGAAAGTCTGACTCTGGAGGCTAATGAGAGTGATAACATTAGCATTACACAGAGTGCCCTTACTGTTAGCAACGAGAAAACGGGCACGGGAGAAGAGGCAAAGAAAATAGTTCTCATGTTTCTGGAAAGATTGTGCCACCCTTCTTCGGGCCTCAAGAAATCAAACAAACAACAGAGGAACACTGAGATGGTTGCTAGAATCTTGCCCTATCTAACTTATGGAGAACCTGCTGCGATGGAAGCACTTGTTGAGCACTTCAACCCGTACTTGCAAGACTGGAAGGAATTCGACAACTTGCAAAAAGAGCATGAAGATAATCCAAAGGACGATGTCATCACTGAGAAGGCAGCCAAGCAGAGGTTCACCATAGAAAACTTTGTTCGGGTGTCGGAATCGCTGAAGACGAGTTCTTGTGGGGAACGGTTGAAAGACATCATTGTGGAGAAGGGAATTACAGATACTGCGGTTAGGCATTTGAGGGAAAGCTTCGCTGTAGCAGGTCAGGCTGGTTTCAAATCTACTGCAGAGTGGGCATTGGGTCTAAAACTGCCATCAGTTCCTCTTATATTGTCTATGCTGAGGGGATTGTCAATGGGGCATTTCTCAACCCAAAGGTGCATCGATGAGGGACGGATCTTACCACTGCTCCACACTCTAGAAGGAGTGTCTGGGGAAAACGAGATTGGGGCCAGGGCTGAGAACTTGTTGGATACACTGTCTAATAAGGAGGGGAAAGGCGATGGCTTCTTAGAAGAAAAGGTGCATGAGTTGCGTCGTGCCACCAAGGATGAGATGAGGCGCCGAGCTCTGAGAAAGAGAGAGGAATTGCTTCAGGTACAGCTCAAGTTCACTCTGTTCTTCCCTAACTAACTTTTATTAAGTTCTACCAAATGTTCTTTAAAAAAATTCACGTACCATACGTTGTGTTGACCTGTTTCTTCATTTTGGTTTACTGTTGAGGTTCTACTAACATGCTCTTCTATTATGATATGCTCTCAAAACTGAAGGGGCTTGGAATGAGGCAAGAACTGTCTTCAGACGGTGGCGAGAGAATAGTTGTCGCAAGGCCTAACCTAGAAGGTCTGGAAGACGTGGAGGAAGAAGCAGATGGCTTGGCATGCATGGTATGTCGAGAAGGCTACAGCTTGAGACCGAGCGACTTGCTGGGCGTTTACACATTCAGCAAGAGGGTGAATCTTGGTGCTGGGACTTCAGGAAGTGCTCGTGGCGAATGTGTTTACACTACTGTCAGTTATTTCAACATCATTCATTTCCAGTGCCATCAGGAAGCGAAAAGGGCAGATGCTGCATTAAAAAATCCCAAGAAAGAGTGGGAGGGAGCTACACTCAGAAACAATGAGTCCCTCTGCAACTCCTTGTTCCCGATTAGAGGTCCACTTGTCCCATTATCGCAGTATGCCCGTTACGTGGACCAGTTCTGGGACAACCTTAATGCCCTTGGACGAGCTGATGGGAGCCGGCTTCGACTACTAACTTACGATGTTGTGCTGGTAAGGATTTCCCTCTGAACCTTTTGTTCTTGTGCCTCCCAGTTACGCACATTTTCATTTTTCTAGTCTATCGACAGGGTCATTATTTTTTTCCCTTTTGTGCTTTAACTTAATAGAGTCCTTCCTCTCTCTGTTTGTACAGATGCTTGCCCGATTCGCAACTGGAGCATCTTTCAGTGCAGAAAGCAGGGGTGGAGGGAGGGAAAGCAACTCGCGTTTCCTACCTTTCATGGTCCAAATGGCGCATTACCTCTTCGAACAAGGAAGCTCATCCCAGCGTCGGAACATGGCAAAAACCATCTCGTCATATATAGCTTCCTCTCCTTCAGACTCCAAATCCTCTGTTCTTGCAGCAGCACATCCTGTCATGGGAACAGAAGAGACCGTGCAGTTCATGATGGTCAACTCCCTCCTCTCGGAATCCTACGAGTCCTGGCTGCAACACCGCCGTGCCTTCTTGCAGCGTGGAATATTCCACGCATACATGCAGCACACCCACGGGCGATCATCCACATCCCGGACATCGAAAGAAGCAAGTACCAGCATAGCATCGGGCCAAGACAAGCCCGACGAGCTGCTCTCCATTGTTCGGCCGATGCTGGTCTACACGGGGTTGATAGAGCAGATGCAACGGTTCTTCAAGGTGGTGAAGAAAGGGTCGATGAGTGGGCCATCAGACAGAAGCGTAGAAGACAATGGCGAGAACATGGAAGCTTGGGAGTTGGTGATGAAAGAACGGCTGCTGAAAGTGAGTGAGATGCTCGGGTTCTCGAAAGAGCTGGTGTCTTGGTTGGAGGAGATGAACTCCGCCACCGATTTGCAGGAGGCCTTCGACATAATCGGTGTCCTGCCGGACGTGTTGTCTGGTGGGATAGTGAAATGTGAAGATTTTGTGCATGCTGCGATTGAGGCGGGAAAGAACTGAGCTTTGTGCCGACGAGGAGCATCAACTGTGTTCGTTTGTTTGTTTGTTTGTTTGTCTGTAGTAAATTCCAACTCCAGTCGCTGCTCAACCCGTCTATGCCTTTGGGTATGTTCTGTGCATTCGAGCCGTGTCTGGTGTTAGGAAAAACCAAAGCACATTTGTTCCTGTTGGCTAGTAAGAAAATATGGATGCCTCTTTCCCCGCTAGTTCCCCTGTTTTTGGGCTTTACAAAAGAATGCATTTTTTTGTTGTTTTTGTTGGTGGCACTCCTGTGACGTATTTGGAAGTCTAGGAACTGGGCCGCTTTTGAGGGTAAGCAGTACTTAATTCCTCAACTGATGCGTCAATACCATCAGCAGCTTCATGAGTGGTTGTCATTGCCAGTTGATAGGGATAGGGTAATTCAGGAGCAACCACCTGTGCAGCATAGTATGGGCTTGGTGGATTCAACCTCAGCCGTTTGTATGTGGGATGGGGCGGTTCGTACCGGCTCACACGCAGCAGGAGGTATAATCATAAGGGATGGAGGAGGCGCTGTTCTCTTGGCAAGAGGTGTGGTTTTTGAAAACATATAGATTCTCTTGTGGTGGAGATTATAACCCTCCGGGAGGTGATTAATTGGTGTTAAGGTCTCGGCATCCATCAAGTTCGTTTTGAAGGGGACGCAAAGGTGCTTATTGATAAGGTTAATGCTAAAGATGCGAAGGATAGTCGTGTCGGGTTCATTATCCAGGAGATCATCCGTTTGATGGCGCAGTGTAGTGGTTTTAGTATTCGATTCATCGGTCAGAATAGTAATGGGGTAGCCCACTCAGTGGCTAGGAAGGCCCTATCTTTGTCTCCGACTATATGTCGATTGTATGATTTTGGTGTCTGGGTTGGTTCCAGGGTGTAGATCGATATCTTCTTATTATTTAATATAATTATCTTTTGTTTAAAAAAAAACGCCAATGACAATTACGTATTTTCGGAGAAAGTGGCTACTGGCCGTATCGTATCCGGAAAGCAAATTTATCTACACATAATATAATACGCCGAAGGGAAAAACGGGAGCCCCATTTCAAATTTCCTGCAACGAGAGTGAAAGTAGGAAGGACAATTTGGTCTTCACAATTACTTTTTTTTATTCATTAAAAAGACACGTACTGGGATTCGAACCATGACCATTTTAAAGAAAAGCAAGGATAATAACCAATCACACTAAGCACATTTGTTGTATCTTTTTAAATTAGAAACATATAATAGCAGGGAGGAAAAAACCTTTCCCCCATTTCAAATTCCCTGCTCCATGAGCGTTTGTAGGAAGGGTAGAATAGGGAGTGTCAATTTTTTTTCTCTTTCCTCTGTGGAACGGGCCAACTTACCGTACACATGTGAATTTAAACGGGCCCAGGAGTGTCAATTTTTTTTTCTTTAAGCCCTTTTATTTCTCCGTGGTGACAAAATATATATGAAAAGGTAAAAATAATACTCCTTTTTATTGTTAAAAATAAAACATTTAACAATAAACTAATGCATGGTATCTAATGGGCTAACCGCCAACCATAAAATAAAAGAGTTGAATGTGCCTGACCTACATGGGATTTGGCCATCAAGTAAAATAAATGAACATCATTGGTTTGTCATTCTAAAATAAGCTAATTTCTCTGACATAATATATATTATGCTATTATTTTATATCTTAGTGGCTAAAATATAATGTATTTTAAAGTTATTCAATGGTTCAACCTCGACCAACACAATTAGTCCAATTTTTATCATTTCAAATATATATTTTATAATGATTTGATATCATAATGATCAAATTATAGTGTATTTTATAGGGAATCGTTTGGTATTTGTTAGTAAAAAATTAAACATAAAGATCTATTTGGTTATTTTAAACATTATAACGATTCTAAACATTTTCAGTTTCTTTTGAATTTTTATGGTTTTATTCCCGAATAAGTGATGTGCAAATGGCGAATTGTAGTCGTCTCTTTTCTTTCACTATTTTTTATTTTCAAATAGAAAGTTTAAAAGTAAAGAAGAATTAGAATTTGGCATGGGTCGTCAAACAGGCTGAATTTCAAGTTTTGGCCCGTTTGTTTTATGCATTGCAAATTTATTAGCATTTTGATGGAAATGGCTTGGAAAAAAGACATATAAGTTGTACCTTTGCAGAAATGTCCTCAAATGTTTTAATGCTTTGTGAATCAAGTTCTGTGACTTTTGTGATGGTGTATGTGCTTGACAATTGCTCGATGTTGTAATTGCTTAATTTGAGAGTAAATCTTTTGATTTTCCCTATGAGTTGTGATACTAGTTCTGGTGGTTGCAGCATGTTGTCGTTGTTAGCCTGTAAAAGTTGTTCCGCCGTGGTGCTAAATACCTTTCTTTCTTTTTTAACAAATTGTGTAGTAGTGCTATGAAACAGACCACCCATGAACGCTACGCTTATTATGGTCTGTTCTTACTTCCGGTGGTGAGAAATTGTGAATTGAGAATCATATTCGCCTACCGCACTGTGTCTGGCTGGTGGCTGCTTACTGTGCTCTCTAGAGTTATGAAACAGACTACCCATGAACGTTTCCCTTAAGAGTCCATAACTTTTGCGAAAAACCAAATTTAGGCAATCAAAGGTGGTGTATGTGTGATGATTTTTTATGGCTTAATTGTTTGTGAATTGGATATCTGATCTTTGTATGATTGGAGGGGATGTTTGCTTAATAGAATAATCCATTTTAATTCATGTTTATTTTTAACATGAACTTTAGTAACTCAAAACCTTCGAGACACATATCACCTACTGCATTGTATCATTTTGCCTGGGTGCTTGCTGTGTTGTCAAACTTCTTTGTTGCTGCTGCTTTTACACTAACAGGGGAGTTAAGAACCCATGAATGTTTCCGTTTGACACAAACAGGAGGACTTGCTTCTAAATCGTGCACTAAAGATGATTGGAGGAAACATCTCTATTGCAGTTGATATACTGGAGACCAGAACAAAAGCAATGTATAACATCAAAACCAACCATCTGAACTATTAGCATTATTGCTTTACTATTTTTTCGTGGTTGAGTCTCCTTCAAAAAATTTAGTTTGATTTTAGAAAATTTTGCTTCTGCAGTCCTGTCTTGCCACCAACGCGTTCAGTAGATGGAGATGGCAGAGGCGAAGGCTATTTTTGTGTTGTTGTTGCTGGTTTAGGGATCGGTTTGTGAAGAAGAGGGAGAAGAGAGGGGGAAAAGGAAATGCAGGAGAGGGGGGTAACTCTTTTCTCTGACAAAAATGGAGTGAAGAAGGGAATTATGATCAGTAAGGATATGGTTTACATAACGGTCTCTATTCTGTTTGAATTGAGCTTGGGAGGCAGTGATAAGGACGAGCTGCAACCAATTCATAGTGAGAAGAGAGCTATGAACTGTGATCATGTCTTATTTCAAGTTAGAAGGTAGTTTCAGTATAAGAATTATTTAATTTGACAAGTTGTTTCGTCCATGATTCTTGGTAGTTTCAGTGTCATTCTAGCCATTGTTTAGTCTGTAATTTTTGAGAATTGATGTGCGAGTAATGACTTTCACTTAGCTTCAACTATTATGTGTGTATTTATTGACATGTGATAGAAATCTCTTTTCCTTTTCTTTGAATTCAGTTTCATACTCTAATTGTATCATTTGTACATAGGCAACTCATGCTCGAGATGACAACTCGCTGATAAGGCTGGTGCAAGGAACGGAGCCATCATTAGAATTTATACCGACAACGGGGAGGGATGCCCAGGACTAATTCAATGATGATTGATGATGGTATAATAAAAACTGCAGTCTGCATCAACACCAATTTCTAGGCCTAAGTAAAGTTATTCAACCCAGAACTCTGCTTAGCGCTAAAAATTTCCCTCACCCAACCTTGATCCTGTTTGACCCACTTCTGAAGAGTCAAGATATATGAATATGACTAATCCTCTCCGTTCGTATTTTCTTATTGACTCTTTCTGACCCTTTAGGTTGGGGCGGGTCGGGAAGAATCGGATTAGTGGGTCGGTCCTAATCATGTGGAATCTCAATCCCTTCACTCTCACTTGCTTTCTCTCCTATTCCACAAGTGGGTAACAAACAGTAATCTGGCCAATGGGCCGGGTAATAGGCTAGTTTATTTTGAGAAAGAAAAAATTAGAACGAACGTTGTTATCCTAGAAATGGAATGGGAAAGTAATAACAAAGCGATCTTTCGGTGTGATCTTCTTCTACTTCGAGGCTTCGACCAACCTCTCTCTCTCCACACCAACAACCCGTAGGCCATAGCTGTCTCCATCACTCCCAGCAGCTACTCAAGGTCAAGGTCATCCACCTTCATCTTGCCGACGCAAGACCTCCACCGCCTCCTCATCTACTCGCTCCGTCCCACTCCTCCTTGCCGCTGCGCCGTTTCTGCCTGGCTGGCGGCGCCCTTTCCCACCACTGTTGTTAGGAAAAAGGTAACTCGTCGGTTATGATCTCTGAGAAATTCTTTGCTCTGGTCCCGGGGAATACTGTTACCTAGGATCTCTAAGATCACTCCAAACCTTCCCTCTCTGTCTCTCTCTGCTTTTGAATCGGTATATCTATATTCTTTTGTGTCGTTCGTTGATCAATTTCAGCTTCTCATTCGGAATACTGTCGGCTGCTTTTTCCCTTCTGGGTTTAGACATTCCTCTTTCCCTCGCTAGGACAGGTTGCCGCTTCCCTTAGAACTCACAATTTGGTTTCACAACACATGATCCATGCCTCCATGGTCTCTTTTAGACGCATAGTTTGCTCCTCTTGATCAAGTTGATTTCATTCTGTAGTTTATTGGGCTTCCTATTTTGTTGAGTAGCTAGGCAATGGTGGTGCTTATTCTCTTGGGAACTGAATGCATTAGTGGAACAATTTAAGATCATTTGAAGATTCTTCTGGGCGCTTGGTATCAGGTTTCAGCTCTTGAACCTAAGTTTGAGTAGTAGCGTGAACTCAGAAACATTACAGGCCATCTGTCTTTGAGTTAAGAGGGTTTGCTACTCGAGTAAAGCTCTCAGCTGGGTGAATGAAAACATCTCAACTTGACAAAATTGCATCCATTCTCCTCCCTTGATAATTATCACTTATTTTACATGGAAATTTCTCCTTGTTCAATCTTTCTATTATCTGATATTGACTGTGAATAAGCTGTCCAGTTTCTTGTTTGTTAGGAAATGGAGTAGCTAGCAAACCCTACTTTTTTGGTTTTCCTTATTTTCTTCCTTTAAAACAACTAACTAATAAGCCCTCTATTCTTGATGGGGAAAAGAGATGCAAGAAACAGGTCTTTCCCTGAGTAACTTGTTTATGTCATTTTTGCTGCAGTAAGTCCATTGTGGTCTGAGGGTGTCTGCTTGAGAGAGCTATGGTGTTTATCATTACAATGGTGGATCTTGCGTGTCTCGTGTACAGCTTGTAAGCCATAGAAAGGAAAGGTCACTTGTTCAGAAAATTATTTCTCCCATGGATATAAAAGGAGCTTATGATGTTGAGCACATGAGTTTAAAATCCGGAATGGAGCATGAATCATGGCCTCTTGATGAGATTGATCCAAAGAAGGCAAAATTTCCATGTTGTCTTGTTTGGACTCCATTCCCTGTCGTCTCATGGCTGGCACCTTTTATGGGGCATGTCGGCATTTGCAGGGAGGATGGAGCTATTTTAGATTTCTCAGGCTCTAATTTTGTGAGTGTTGACAATTTTGCATATGGTGCTGCTGCCAGATACCTTCAACTAGATCGAGACCAGGCATGTTCTCCTTTCCTTTAGCTCATATCTCATTCACACACTCAACACTGCTTTTTCATGATAAATCTATATTCAAGTGAGAAACACAAAGGGTGTGTTTGTTTCAGCTTACTTGATTTTTAACTTACAGGCCATCTGTTCTTAATTTCAGTGTTGCTTCCCACGAAACCGTGCTGGCCACACATGCAAGCATGGCTTTATGCACACAGAGTACGGGACTGCAATTACTTGGGACGACGCCTTACGTGCAAGCATGTCTTCCTACGAGACCAAGACTTACAACATCTTCACATGCAATTGCCTTTCCTTCGTTGCAAACTGCTTGAATAGGGCCTGCTATGCTGGATCGATGGACTGGAACATGCTACGCGTTGCTGCCCTCATTCTGTTCAAGGGCCACTGGATCGACTGGAAATCGATCGTCAGATCGTTCCTCCCATTCGTGGTTGTGCTCTGCTTGGGTGTATTGCTGGTTGGGTGGCCTTTTCTACTGGGTCTGCTCTCCTTTTTCCTCCTGCTCATTGGGTGGTATGTGATTTGTACATATTGTGTAAAGAACGTTTTGGAGTGCTAGTGGATGTTGTAAGTGGCTGCAAAGTTCATATTGGATTAAGATCTGTGTTGGCTGATCTTGCTCAACTTGCTTCAGGATAATATATTATTTTAAATGGTCCTCAGGATAATATTATTAGGACTGAAACAGCCGACAAAATGGATGAAGCTGCGCTTTAAAAGTCTAGTCTCTGTTTTGGACGAATTAACCAGTGGAGGAGGAAAAAACGATTACGGTTTTGCCAGAATAATGGAGAACAGTGATCAATCTCAATCCCTGAAACTCCTCCACCATTTCCAAGTCTCTCCTTCCCCGCCACCGTACGCCGTCTCCAATCTTCCCCTCACTTTCCTCGACTACCCATGGCTGCTCTGTCGCCCGATGCAGCGACTCTTCTTCTACGATTCCCCGCTCTCAACTCTTCAATTCACCCAGACCATCCTCCCTCACCTGAAGACCTCCCTCTCCGCCGCCCTCCACCACTTCTTCCCTCTCGCCGGCCACCTAATCTCCCCTGCGCCGCCTCACCGCCCTTACCTCCGCTTTTCAGACGGAGACTCTGTCCCCCTCACGGTGGCAGAGTCAGCCGGCGACTTTGACCAGATTATCACCAATGACCATCCAAGAGACGCCAGGGAGCTGCGCCCTTTCGTCCCCGAGATGCCGGATTCAATTATGGAGCCGGACGGCACGAAACTGGTGCCGCTATTGGCTATTCGAATCACTCTGTTTCCGGGGAAAGGCGTCTGCATCGGCTGCCAGTTCGCCCACGTGGCCACCGACGGAATGGGTTTCCACCACTTCGTCAAATTCTGGGCTTCTCTGTTTAGGTCGTTAAAATCAGGGGTTGAAGAGGACAAGAAGAATACTTATTCAACTGTTCCATCGCCGGCGAGCGACAGGGAAGTGATCCGGCGAGCTTACCCGCTTCTGGAATCGGTTCTATTGAACCAGTGGTTCGAGTTCGGATCGTCGTGGGATTTCGATTCGGGTCCGACCCATTACCGAGACCTCTCCGATAAGGTCCGATCTACCTTCGTGATTACCCGTACGAACATCGAGAGGATGAAGCTCTGGGTCCGGGGAAAAAGTCCGACGACGTTTCGCCTCTCTGCTTTCGTGGTGAGCTCTGCTTTCATCTGGGCCAATCTTGTCAAATCCCAGGCCGTCGGAGACTCATCGGTCGGCCCCGACGCTTTGTACCACCTCAGCTTTGTCGCCGATTGCCGGCAACGGCTCCAGATCGGGTTGTCCCCTTGGTACTTGGGGAATTGCCTGGGGATTTACTACGTTTCGATGAAGAAAAGCGATGCGGTGGGGGAGAATGGATTCGCCGTAGCGGCTGAAGCGATCGGGAGGAAAGTGGAGGAGCTGGAGAGCGGCGGCGGGCTGTTGAGAGGGGCGGAAAGGTGGGCGCCGGAGTGGAAGGAGCTGTCGGAGGAAGGGCGGCTGATTGCGATTGCTGGGTCGCCGAAATTGAAGGCGTACGAGACGGATTTCGGGTGGGGGAAGCCGAGGAAGAGCGAGGTGGTTCAGGTCGACAGTTCGGCGTCGGTGGCTCTGTGTGAGAGTCGCGACGGCGGCTGCGGAGTTGAGGTTGGATTGGCCATGGCGAGGAGTAAGATGGAGGTTTTTAGTGGCTTGTTTCATGGTTTCCTGGGTCAAATTTAAATATTTTTCCGGCTTAAAGGTCTATGATTTCGATTGTACCGTATCAATTTCACCAGTAATCCCCAGAAAAGTTTCCTCCAGCCGTTTCCGTTCTCCCCTTGTTTGTGTGCTTATCGGAAGCTTTTAGTTCTTGTCCATTTTGATTTGTCTTTTGCCGAACCACCACCGCCAGGGAAAAACGTCCGATCACCCTAGCCATGGCGTCGAAACAAATACGAACTCTCGCCCGGCGGTCGCATCAACGAACGCGATCTTCCCCTCGCCGCTCTATCCGCCATCCGATCCTCTTCCTCCACCGTGCTCGCCGAGTCAGTGACTACTTTCCGAAAAAAATCCCAAGTTACACATGTTTTTAAAAAAAAAATTCTCAAAATACACATGTTATGAAAATAATTCACAATCTACGCATGTTTGAGCCTTCACCGCGTGAGAGCAAGGCGGTGATTACTTCACTGCGTCAGAGCAAGGCGGTGATTACATCACCGCGTGAAAGAAGGCGATGATTGCATCACCGATGTAGAGGAAGGCGGTGATTGCATCACCGCTCAAGAGAAAGGCGGTGAAGGCCTAACCTGCGTCAAAACTTTAAAAAAACATAACTTTGTGCTCGGTTATCCGATTGTTTCGATTTTTTTTTATTCCGCATAATTTTTCGAGATCTTGCAAGCTGCTTCGTCTCGAAAAAATATCGTTTGCTACCCCGAACGAGTCTTTTTCGATTTCGTCAAACTTTAAACGACCATAACTTTGTGCTCCACAATCCCAAAATCATGAATTTTTTTTGATTTCGCATAACTTTTTAAGGACTACAATTTTTATCATAGACATAATTTCGGAATGTACTGGATTCCTGAAAAGGGAAGGTAAAGTTATTCCCAAAACCTCTTAATCCTTATATCCATAAATAATTCATTTTTTGAAAATTCTCTCCTACTAAAAATTGTAGTCCTTAATTGGGTAAAATCAAGTGGCAGGATGTTTTCACAATATTCCTTTCAATGTAGGATCCAGTTAGATGATAGTGAGATAGTTCTAATCAACACATACTATAATACGCTGAAGCAAAAAACAGAACCCCCATTTCAAAATCCCAGCCTCCAGAGTGTTTGTCGGAGGGGTAATTTCGGAACGGCAGTTTTGAAGGTTGTCAATCCGAGCCTCCTCCTCTCTCCTTTGAAGGTTGTCAATCGGGAGCCCCATTGCTGATTTTTTCTCCCGAATCTGAGCCTGCCTCTCTCCTTCCTCCGCCATTGTCAATCCGAGCCTCCTCCTCTCTCCTTCCTCCGTCTTCACCGGCAACGGGCCTGCTGAATTTTCTCCCAGTCAATCTCAGCCTCCCTCTCTCCGTCCTCCGCCGGTGTCTATCCGAGCCTCCTCCTCTCTCCGTCCTCCGTCTTCACCGCCATTGGCCCTCTGAATTTTCCTCCCAGACAATCCGAGCGTCCCTCTCTCCGTCCTCCGCCGTTGTCAATCCGAGTCTCCACCTCTCTCCAGCCCTCCGTCTTGACCGCCGAAATCGTTCAGTATCCCGGCAACCCTCTCGCGCTCTTGAGGTGATCTTTCCTTCTTTTGTGTTGTTTATATTTTTAATTCATTCATCTCAATCGATCCCAACGTCTTTGGTTTTCTAGCTTCTGTTTTGATTAGGTTCAAATTGTATTGAAAGGGTTTGTGTTTTTATACATAATTGTTAGGTGATTACAGTTCAAGGAACGTTTGTGGAGGCTTGAGGTTTAATAAGAGAGGAACCACACCTTATCAGCACCATTCCGGTTACAAGAAAAGGGCATTTTTGTTGCCAGTAAGTCAATACTAACTAAGGATATTGTTACCAGAACTTTTTTTAACACTTAAGTATGGAGAATTCGGTGTGTGTAAAAGGGGTTTGAGCTTGCGGATCACCTCATTAACATCTCTTGGGAAGACAGTAATCAAACTACAGTTGTACTGGTTTCAGGCCGTCCGTGCACGCAGGCCGTTCGAGGATTGTTCTGCAGGGTGCAGAATTCATCCATTTTCCAGCCGTTCGTCAATCCTCTCGGTGTCTGCGGCTGTACGATTGGGTTTCGGTGCCTCTCCCTTCAATTGCGGTTCCAACTACGTACTTGCATTTTCAAGAGGGTTTCGTCAAGTCGAGGGGTCAGGGAACTGACATATGTGGCCTGATCAGAATTGGATTCGTTCATCAGCCTCAAATAGTGAATTCTGAGGTCCCTTTCAAAGCTGAGATTCCAAGTAAGTTATCTTTCCCTAGCTTTTTCAACTTTGGTTTAGCATTCAGGGGTGCTCATGATTTAGTTGTTGTGTTTATTAAGCTTTCTCTGGCGGCATTTTGGTCTGCTTCCATGTCGACGGCCATGGCTTGCTTTGATCGGGATCTAAATTATGTTTGCTTCTGTTTGTTTGGTTACCTATTGTCATTTAGCCCTCAATTTAGTTCGGGTTCAATCTGTCACTATATTGTGAATTGAATGTCAGAACTGTACTTTTCAGTACTGGGGGAGATCAAGAGTGGGAAGAAGTGTTCCTCATTCTTCAGACCGTTTTGTTCCATTTGACTCATGTTTGAACTATGAAGTTAGTTGACAGTGGGTTCATTGTCAAATGCAGAGTCGAAATCGTTGTCGCAGGAGTTTAGATCAGGGAGGGTATGACGGGTGGTACCTTCCAATTTCGTGTAAGAGGTCAGCCACCCGGCCTAAGTTCCCTCCTAACCACCGTGTCCTATATTCACCTCCATAACTGGATGTCGCTATGCCTTCGATAGAACAGATCCCAAGTAGATGTTGTTATGTTTTTGCTACCTTTTGTGCCATTCTTTTGATTTGTTCGACCTTTTGAAGCAACTCTAGCTTTGGTGGGACTTCCCAAGCATCTTCCTCATCATGTGATGAATCATACTGTCTTTGGTCTCACAAGACAATGACCAAGAAGAAGTTTGTCGTCATGGTCTCGATGACGGGGCCGATATAAATGATAATAATTTATTTTCCATATACTGTGACGAGAAAGACGGGGAGTCCCACTAGGTATGTTGTTGTGTTGGCTACATAGATGGTAAATCAATTGCTGTGCAGACATGAATTACAACTTGACTGGGATTTACTAAAAATCGTCAATTTGATTTGTTCTTATCAAGAAACTTTCCATTTCTATATTCATGTTTTGATGATGGTCATGGTTGTCCATCGTGCCCAATATACTGCGTATATGCATTGAAAGTGATCAATTTTAGATATGTTAAGTCAATGGCCGATTTTTTCTTCTATTGACATTCATCATTCATGAGCTTTATAATGTGGCGAAGCATACTTCTGAATTGATGATGTAGTTCTGATGTGGATGTAGATGTATTTTAGATATGCCATGGCTGGTTTCCTTGGTTAATTAGTACATTTCAGTGCTTTAACTTATGTCACCTCTGCAAAATAATTGTCATTGTGTTTGTTAGCTTAGCTGCCTCCCTTAATGTACAGATGGAAGCCATGCACCAATAGAGCTAAGTAGTGGAGCTTGAATGAGAGGTGAAGAAGTTGTCTAGACAGCAAAATCGACAGTAGGGGATTCATCACCATGCCAAATTCATGGATGGAGTTGCTCACAAGGTAATTCTGTGCCAATTCCATCTATCCATCATAACACGACCTTGGGTGAACTAGATACATGGATGATTTGCCTGTTACACCTGAAGTAAAAGGGGAAACACACATTCTTAATTATATTTCTGATTTTGATGTTTTGTTTTGCTTTGGATTTCCGAGGGGGTGATTTAGGCTGTCGAGGAGAGCGCAATCTTGACAGAAAAGGAAGCAGCGGCGGTGGCCAGCAGTCAATCTTCAGGTCGGGACGAAAGAGGAAGCAGCAATTTGTTGTTTCAGGTTGCTGAAGTTTCCTCCTTTTGTTACATTTGAAGTCATTTGCTGTAGGTATTGATTCGCTGGTGGTGGCCTGAAATCCATCCTATTATCCTATAAATAGTTGTAATGTCCTTCTTTGTTATTCTGCCTCTTCCTGATGACAAAACCCGCTTACTGGCTTTCTATTCTGCATCAGAAACATAGGAATCATTCAAATGAGGGTGACTCTGAAAGTTGCAGACAACTTGGTGCCAAAAAGGTGATGTTCATACTTCATACAAAAGATGGAAGACCTCTATCTGTCCAATTCTCTACAGGTACCTCTCGCCTGAACCTTTTGTTAATAATTTGATCTAAATGGTTATCACTAAGAGACTAGCCTTTTTTGTCTTTTGCTTCTTCTGAACATTAATGTTGGTCTTCTATTCTTAGGACTGGTTTGTGGAACATTGATTTACTTTAGCAAGATTACATTATGCTCTCTAACAGAGTTTCGTTTATGGTCACAGAAACCCCCAGTGATTGCTTTTTCTAGGAAGACACAGTGAGGATTTCACTGTCAAATTATACGACTAAAAGAGGTTTTGTACATGGAAAGCATGTCTGCCTTTTCCTTTTAATTTTTTGCTTCCTTCGTATTTTATTCTTTTAGAGACCAAGCTGGACCACAAAATATTTCTTTGCATTTTTTCCCATGTTTACTGTTGGGAGAAGCCACCTCTCCTCCGGACAAAATATTTGGAACTACACAAGGCCTTGCTTACAATCATGGTTTGTTGTTTTTTAGATTTTTTATTTTCTTTTTCATTGCTTTCATTAGCTGGATTTTATTACTTTTGCTTGGAGAACAAGTTCTTACAGTAAACAAATGGTGTTTAGTGATCCAAAGTTCTTATGTTAGTGCGATATGTTGTCTTTGCATGACCAGTTGGTGTTGGGTGCTCATGATTTACTTGATATCTTATTTGTCATGAAACTAGGCAGAGACCAAGCAAAACTACAGAAGAATCTAATGTATCTAACGCCTAAAGTTGGAAGCTACCAAATTTTGGCCAATAGAAGTGGTCAAACATGTCTTGCAGACTGCTGCTACTTCGTTGCAGAAAGTTCTAACCCTTGAAGGACGCATAGCAGATGATGTTCCAACCAAGGTGAGATATGAATTACTGTGTTCATAACTCCAAATGAGAAAATTATTAGTTGCCAAGAACTAACATGCTAAGAGCCATATTTTCTGCTTGGAATTTTGGAGGTCACTGGAGATGTTCGAAGGATTAGACAGATACTCACCAACCTGATCATGTATTCTTTTGGCTTGAAACTTCTTCTGCAAGAAAATTGTTGATCTATATCCTGATTTCTTTTACTGGTTGCTTTGTAGCAATGCGGTTAAGTTCACACATGAAGGGAAAGTGGAAATAGACCTTTATGTAGTAACAGACCCATGTTGCCGAAGAGCATAAGAAAACCACCAGAAGTTAATGGTTGGTCAATAAGAAGTGTTGATTAACAATGAACCACTCTGTTAAAAAGGCCGAGTACTACCTACACAATTACAATTTACTATTTCCTCCATCTATCACTTGGAATCTAACCAACATATTTTGTTTATTCTTTCAACAGATTTAGAATACAACCTACAGTCTCTGGTGAGGCCCAATCTGTTCTCATGGACAAGGAAAGGAAGATGTTTTTTGGAATCTCAGCTCAGACACTATTTGCCGATGAGTAAAAGGACCCCCAATGTTGTACCTGCTGCTCTTCTAAAAATACAACATCTGCAGTTACAATTCCAGATAATGCTAACCGAATTCAATATCAAGATTTCGTCGCATGAATTTAGCATGCTATAAATTGATGATCCTTCAATAGAACAAGGCAAGCGCTGAATCTACTGCTACTGCCCAGGTTAGTCACTAAGCTTAACTGAACCGTTACTTTATGTTGTTGGTTAATTCAGTCTTTCGACAATTAACTGAATCACTGAACTCTAATTGGAATAGTTGTTGTTTTACACGGAATGCAAACCACCAAATCCCTTCACCTATAAAAAACTTGATGGATGGATCTATTTCCCTAATTGTCAACATGATTATAGTTATTCAATAATATAATTAACTGGGATCCAAGTCTTTCCTTTGAGTACTATTAATTGATAATAGTGATTATATATATCCTCATGATTATTCTATTTCGCCAATGATGAATATGCTAATAATGATTAATAATAATTCTCAAAGCTTTAAGTCTCACCCGTGAAAGGGTTTAAACTTGCAGCTCTTTTTGAAGATCTGTATGTCAACTAATTAGATCCACCCATGAAGTTAACAAAAACTAATTTGCAGCAGCCATGAAATTGATAGTTGGATAACTCATTTCTGTTTGCTTTTTGTTGAAATTGATTGAATAATATATTATATATTCATGTTAATCAGTCTTTCAAATTTGCAGCAGCCTCTTTCTACACTTCACAATGGAAGTTCGTCATCCCAATCTACTGCCAACGGAATAAGTAGTGAGCATGAAGCAACCAATACTACATAACCAAAGAACCCGTCAGTGTTCAAGAGCTATAAGATAAAACCCTCTAATGTCAGATGGGGAGTGATTAGGGAAAGAACTCTTAGTAATTTAAATATACGGTTTTATTATTTATATTAGGGATGGTCGTTGGACTTAGTTCATGAATTTTATATTTCCTATTGGTATTGTCTGCAGTACCTCTCTCTTTTACTCTAAACATCTTAAGTTGGGGTTTCTTTTGTTTTAGATGCCATGAACGGATACATAGAGGCCTTTTCTAAATGCCAGATTATATTTGACAATATATTGAATACATAGTGTTGCGACTTTCAGTTTCTACTTATTATTTTCGTATATGTTCAGTTTCGATCTAGGCATTTCTCTGCTGATCCGCTTCATCGAAATGACTTGGAAGGC